AAATATTCATCTCTTCGAAAAGCACTGTAAAAGCTCCCGGACTATAAAACACTTCCTCGAGCAAAAAAGTATTATTCTTATCACGCGTAAGATGCACGATATCACTTGCTTTGGACGCTTAAGGTAGCGAAGGGTTTGCCACGCGAGGTGTACAACCCCGAGTAGGTTTTGGCTAACATCACAATTTACCTCCATCTGGTTCGCCCTGCATCACTGCTGAGCACATTTTTGCTGAAATAAGATCATCAAAATCAAGATGTTATCCCTCTATCATTTTACCAGTTGATGCTGCCTCACAGATCAACTTTACCAACCCATCGTGAATGTGGCCAGTCCACCTCAATCTTGGATAATATTTTACTATCCCCAAAACACCCGCCTGATTTCTATGTTCGTTCTTAAACGACATTCACCTATATTTGGGTCATGTGGAGGCCCAAAAATCTTATGCAGTACTCTGCGGTTGAAACGCCTAAGCCGTTCTTCATTGGCTTTCGTCATCGTCCACGGTTGATGGACATACATCGCAGTGGGTCTTATGGAGGTCTTATCAATCCTGATCTTAGAGGAACGTACAAGATATTGTCAATTTGATAAATTATTAAGAGAGAACATGCACAGGTTCGCTGATTAGATTCTGCCTTTGATCTCCTCCCTCAGTGATGTCATTGCCGGCAGTCACCGTCACTTTAAAACGCCCAAATCTCTCAAAGTTGTAGGAAACTATTGTTACCTCTTTCCCTATATTGTCTATTGACGCACATGTATTTGGTATTGTTTCCATTAATTCTTAACCCCATATTTTTGGTCTCTGCGTCTAACCATCTAAGCATATCTTTAACTGATTACATTGTATTTTCAAGGTGCTTTTCTCACTGCCTTTTCTAAAATTATATTGAACAGAGGTGGAGATAGAAGCATCTCTCTACTCAATACCCATAGTTATATCGAAGGGGTCAGAGAGCTGATTATTTATTCGTAACCTGACTGTGCTATTTACGTATGCCTTGATGTTGATGAGCTTCCTTGGAACCGATAATTCAGCCAAGGCGTTCCATGATTGTTCTCTATGTATGCTGTTAGAGGCCTGTCAGAAATCGATAAGAAGATTATGAATGGTCCTATTAATTGATCAATTGTTGACCTGTTGTTCCTAGACACCATAATGAGATGAAAAAAATTAGATCTTGCGCTATTTAGTGATTTTATTCCTTTGGTTTTTGAATATATGCCCAGATTTATTTACAAATTACATACTGCTGCCAGTTATTGATACTTCAAGTAAATCAATAATAATTGCAAAAATCATTAAATACTTTCCCAGTATTGGTTGCCATTGTTTACTAAAATCTAGCTGGTAGAATGCACTAATCAATGCTAAAATGTAACTGACGACACGACATTACTCTAAGAATTCATGACTATTGGAGAATTTTCCAAAAAGAAATTAGAGAATAGAAAGCCATATTTGACTCGACAAATTTCTGAATTTTTTTATACTGGATCCACCACGCAGGCCTTAGGGTTATAGAGGAACATAGGGGAAAGGAAGAGGGAGACGTCACACGGAAGCTCGTATGTATGTGACATGCCCTTATTTCAGGTCCCACCTTAGAACATCCGCCGGGTGGTACCTTCATGCTCGATGGTCTGACACCGTCTGCCACCTACGAATAATCACAACATCCATAGCCAAGGGAATCGAACCCGCGTACCGGTAGCTCGCAAAGGCAATTCTGGTGGCTCACAACATATTTTAAAAAGGTGTAAAAATCATCGAAGATTCCATAAATTTTGTAAATTCTCATTTGGTTGTGCGCACGCCAGTAGCCTATTGGATCTCCTTCTGACCTGTCCCTTACAGCACTGCTGACCTGTCTCCTCTGGGTAACTCAGACGACGGTGTTGTGGAGGTTAGTTTTCGGTCCAAGCCCGCTGTGATAACAGAAACTCGCCCAGGCTGCAAAATATGGCATTACGGACATGCCGACTGGGAGGGCTCTGATACTTCTCCACCTTTCCTTGGGGATATGTTTATTTCGCTGATGTGGATGCCTTGGCGGTCTGCTCATCGAAATTATCCACGTTGGGATGGAAGAATGTATCTCTCATACATTGAAAGTGACTAAACCATGGTCCAGCGGATGGTTCAACAAATGGGACGACACTAATTTTCAGTAAAAGATCAAGGCACAAATTTAGGCACAGGGTAATGTCGCAGCGCAAAGGCAGTCAGTCCTTCTGGATGCTGGCCGAGCAGACTTTAAGGAACTTCTCATAGAGTAGCCTTCCACAACTTTATGTGTTAGGATGGAACGATTGTAACCGATTCAAAAGCTAAGGCGGAAGTGCTTGCCGAGACCCGTTGCTGTCAACTCCACCATGGACGTCCGCCCCAATGCCAGAGTGCCGTCGATTCGAATGGTTCCCTACACTATGCGGGAAATAACATTTAGGCAAAAGACCGTAAGACGGTGCTCTTGTCACTCGACGTCAACAAAGCTTCTAGTCCAGACTTGATTCCTCCCGTGATATTGAAGAGGTGTGCAGCGGAGCTTGATCCAGTTCTTTCGCGACTCTTCCAGATATCTTACGAATCCGGCACCTTGCCAGGTAACTGGAAATTTGCTCATGTCCAACCCAACCCAAACCACCTCGGATTGACTAGCGACAGGCAGTATGGTTTACGGCACTAGGGATCCATAGGGGACTCATCCAATCTTATGGTGAGGCTCATGTCGTTGCTCTTAATATCACGAAAGCGTTCGATCAGCTGACGCACGCTGACCTCTGTTGCAGTTTCTATTCATGGTCGACTGAAAATTAACTATGCCTTGATGAAGTAAATTATTACAACCTTTTGCTTATTTAGAATAATAATTTTATAGCAGTTTTTAAAAATATCGAATTTCATTTTTATAACAAAACACTTCTCTCAGTCTAATAATCTTAAGATAGAAAATCGTACTCTACTCTCCATCTCGTTGGAGGTCATTTTTTATAATTTCTGTCGAGCGTCAATACGAGAGCTGAAGGTGACTTGGGGCTATTTCCGGAGCTCTGGTGTAGGAATTTTCTGCGGCACACTGCTCGATTCTGTGAAGAGTTCACACGCTGAGTTGCGGATTTATAGGGTCATGGACTTGTTTTTTTTATCACCCTTGGTGTTTTTTTTTTGTAGGAACCTTTTTGTCACCCTTTTGGGGATTTAACCGTGCAATAAGCATCGAGCTGAGGGGAACCGCCTGAAGGGTTAGTCCAAGGCGAATTTGAGTGGGACTCACACCTGGGAGGAGCAGTTGCCCATCTTTGGTGAACCCACATTGTTCGAGGGTTTTACCACCTTCCGGTTTTACCTTTGGGTTCTACCCTTCGGTTTTAGAGTAACATCTGGGACTTCCTGTTCTCAGTTGCCTTTCGAGGTTAGACAAGTGTTTTTTTAATTTTAGTTTTTAGTTTGAAATTTTTGAATCTGTTGATAACCATTTAGCTAAGAGGGTAACACAAAATAATTTTCTCGGCATGTCTTCCAGGACTTCTTTGAATTCTTTTTATTTATTTTTTTTTGTTCAATAAATGTCTGCGTACCTTGTGAGTTTGTAGCTCCTTTAGCGCCAGAATCCCAAGAGTGATACTTTTACAATTTCATTTCCTAGTTTTTGAAACTAGGTGGCGCCCAAACAACCATTGCATCCAAAAACCAAAGTACAAAGAACCTCACCTTGAGGTCACATATCCACCGACTGACTTAGTTTTCTGCGGGATATCAGAGCTTTGCAGATGGGTGGCAGACTTTCTGGCCGCAAGATATCCGTGGTAATTGACGGGCTCTCCTCTGCATCCCAAAACATAAACGCAGGTACTTCGTACGACTAGAACTGGCCGATACGACCGCTTCTTTGTCCAGGCTGTGGAACAATTTATAAGAGGAGGCTTTTCCCTGATCTACTAACATTAAGCAGTTAAAAAATCGGATTAACAAAATTTCTTTGGGATCCTCATCGCAGCCGCGGGGTCCTGGGATTTAGGCTTCTACCTGTGCGGCTGTTTCGGTATACGATAAAAGTTCTTCCGTATCAGCAATCTGAATATAACTAATTTCCCAGGCAAATCTGGTACATATATTCTGAATCCGACGAAATTTTTCGCTGGCTGGCTTTCTACCCGTAATTCTACTTCACGACACTTACGGGATCGTTAGTGCTCCTGCAATTGTAGGATTTTTATAGCCTCATTGATTTTCATAGTTTTCTACTGCTCCGTGTCATTGTTCTATTTTGAGGTTATGTTACAAATAATAGCGACACCCAATTTCACGAGGATCCATCGCACTTTGACGTCTACTGACGTGTAGAGCTGATCAGCAACTGACATTTTGTGTTAGTCTGCAAGTTAGGCAATAATGAATCTGGTGTAAATCTAGCAAAAATGTATTTGTAACGGTTTTTTTTTGTATGCAAGTAAACTTTTCTAAATAAAAGATCTTCTAGCAAGTGCAAAATGAATCTAGAGCGTACAAAAAACCAAAACAAAAGATGGCTCTGCCCAACTGGCATTGACAGAATTGTGTCATTTGCCGATATGGGGAATTTTGAAATATTACCAGATAACCAGCTGTCAGTGTTCCGTGATGGATACTCGTGAAATATGGTATATTTACATCAAATTGTTCATGCTTTTGATTTATATCAGCTTAACATTTCCTACAATGAAAAAAGCATAGCCTCACAATACGAGAGCCCTGACGCTGACACGGAGCAGTAGAAATCTAGAAATTCCCCAGCCTTTCTGATGGAAAGAAAATACTATGAAAATCAAGGAGGCCATAAAGGCGTGCTACAATTGTAGGAAGGACTGACAATACGGCCCTTAGAGTTTTTTGATGGGCATATGCGAATTAAGCGTCCCAAATTCACCTAAGTGCACTGAGTTTCGTTCTCTTGTAGTTAAGGAAAAATTATTATAGGGATACAACAACGATGTGATGAAAAAATAAACGCTTTCTTGTGAACGTTTATTTGATATAAAAATACAATTTATACATACGTATGTTCACATTTGTTTGTACTTATATCATTCGAAAAAAAAATCGCTCGGTATTATAATGTACCCGTGGCACGGGTAGGTGGCGCCACTAATAAAGTAACCAAATTTTGTTTGAAAAATAATTTGAGTCAGGCGATGGAAAGCCGCGCTGTTGCCGGCTTGACACTGACGGTAGAGATTTTGGTATTTGCATCGACAATTTATTGCATCATTGAGTTCTCGGATAAAACTATGCTTATAGCTTTCCTAGGGTATCAGTAAGTGTACACATTTTTACGTCTCTCCGTGTTGTGGCTCAAACGTCATGCTGTCAGAGTGGACAGACATTCATATTTTTATAAATATGCAAGGTGTTCCGTACTTAAATGAACTAGTATTCAATTAGCACATCTCATTGGCTTTTTTGTACATAGTCAAACATTTCAATATTGAGCCCAGAAAGTGTTGATTTTGATAAACAAGTGAACAAAATCGAGTTCAACCCTAGATTTTTTAACCGTCCGCCTAGTTTCGCAATACTCCTAGGTAATTTTGTTATCATGAATAATTTAAACAAAATCGGTTCAGTAGAGCCTAAGATATGTGGTATTTCAGATTTGACAAATTTAGTTAGATCTGTAAGAACTGAATTTCACTTTCTGATTTTCAGGTAGAAGAAGGACTCGATCTATATTACTCGTATTACCTACCATTTGACCATGTCCATTTAAGTACGGAACACCCTGAGAGATAAAGTAAGTAAAATTAACGAAATTTGGTAGTAAGAATTATAGATACGTGAAGTGTCAATTAAATTCCAGGAATGCAGTAATAACTTGAGGTCTGGCAACACTGCGTCACCTGTCAACTTCTGCCCCGCAAAAGCGATCTCTTTTTGAGTTACAGTTCAAAACTGAAGTCGATTGTACGTGTGGTTTGAATTTTGTGGGTGTTTTTTGAAGGAAAGTTTTTGAGTGGCGTCGTGATAATGAGTTACTCTCATTACAAGTAACGGATTGGAATACCTTGGTGGCTTTTGCTCAATTAATAAGAGTAATGATAATATTTAGTCTCTAAAGTAACACAATATTTGGGAAATTGACAAATCATTATAGCTATCTGAATTCAAGATTTGGAAATGACACGTTATATATCTACAAATGAAATCAATTAAAATATTTTACCCAATTAATGAAATCTTAAAATAGCGTTTCTGTGAACCAACAAGTTTTCAATCATTTAAAGTCGTCACTAGTATGTAACAATATGGTTCCTCAGCTCACATATCCGTAATGCTCCAATGGGTACCTCAATATTTTTTTGAGCCAGTTTGCAACAACTTGAGCTAACTAGACGTTTAGGCCTATGCATTCTATAAACCCGGAAATTTAATTACGGATCGTTTTGAGACAAAAGACAACTAAGAATTTTAATTGAAGGATAGTCATCCGTAGAAATACCTGAGACGGGAATTTTAAAGAATGATTTCAATAACACAGCTCCCATACTTCTACATTCTGATTATACGAGGGTCTATTTAAGTAAGAACTGTTTTGTAATGGAGTGAGAGAAATGTTATTTATGGATGTAAATTTCATCACAAACTAAAATACGCACATCTTTTAATTTTTTAACATAGTCACCATAAATATTTAAACACTCGTTAAGTCGTACCTCCACCTTTTTGATTCCATCGTCAAAACATGCTGCCGCCTGACCATAAATCCAATTAGTAACTATCTTTCCAAGAAGTTTTGGTATAACCCCAAAAAAGGTAACACCCACCCGGTGACTCAACTTTAAGAACAATGTACAAACACAAAAAAATTAAATCGCTGGCACAGCTGTCTTCTTCGGTGATTCCTCCACAAGTACTAGCTCAGCTCTATGTATAATTCGGGGATTCCCACAAAATGAGAAAACTACGATATTCCAACAGAAAGACGACTTTGTCGTAAAAAACGGGTGGTCGGTGAGATGACCAGTGATGCAGGACTCACATTGAAAAAATAACTTTAATGTGTTGACCGATTCAGAGTTGAACTCCAGACAAGATCGAAGTCTCTTCAAGAAATAGCTTAACTATTTGCGATCGTACAAACAAATACTTTGCTTTTGCCGAAAATTGAAGAACTGAAATTAGATACATCCAAATTTACTGATTTTTATGATGAGGTCTCAGAAACAGAATTTTACTTTTGGAGATACTAAGACTGCGAAGACACATCTCTAGAATTTTTAAAGTTTATTGTAGAATGGGATTTTACAGAATCTCTTCGAAATATTACGATTGAACTAAAATTGTTCATGGCGGTTTGCGTAGTCCGTAGCTTCATGTGAAAGGAGTTTCAGTAAACTAAAATTAATAAAAAACTATGTGCGGGCAACAATGACCCAATCGCGGCTTAGCAATCTTGGTATATTAGCCATCGAACACGAGGCAATACAAAGTATAAATTTTGATCAAGTTATATCTGAGTTTACAGCTGCCAAAGCTAGAAAGAAGAGAATTTAATTGTAAGATAAAAATATGTTTTCTGTCTTAGTTATTGGGTTCTGTTATTTGTTCAATACTTTAAATATAAATATTAAATGATCCATGTCGTTTATGAATCATAAAATGTATTGCTTTTGACTTTCGATGGGGTGACACCACAAACTTCCGCATCAGGTGCCACCCAAGGTAGCTACGCGACTGGAGACTCGCCAAGAGGGTCTATGGTTGAATGGAAGTCACGTAATACGATGCGCAAGGGGTTATTACTTTAAAAATGACCTTCGTATAACCAAACATGGTATTTTTCTCAAGCTGTTGGTTTTATTCAAAAACAAAATCCTGAAGTATCTATTGGGATAACCATTGTAAACGTGACAAAAACAAAATACACACTAGTAAGCTTTCTTAAGGGCATTTTCTGTCAATTTGTGACTTTCCCCCTTCTTGGTACTCCTGAATGGATACCCACATTTGCTGGAATGTGCCGATCGATGCAAGAATCGAACCACCGACCCAAGCGCCGAACCGTCTTTCAACTGTTCCATTGGCTGCGATCATTTTCAGTCGCATCGAGCCTGGCGAACGGGATGATAGGTCTCTGCTTAGGCGATCACTGAATCCCTGAAAAAAAAATGGCCAAGTAGATTGACACAGCACTTCGCACGCGTTGATATTGTAGTATGGTAAGATACAGTATGATACAGTGAGAAAGTACACTTTTTGATTTAAGAAAAAAAATACAAACTAAATACCACTGGATTATTGGAATATACTTTTGACATTAGATAACCCCTCAAATAATCATATGGCGTGAGGTCGGGTGCCCTTGGAGGCCAATGAATGTCTCCAAACTTCAATATAACTTTTTGCGGAAAAAGTGCTTTCAGCGTGCCCATCGATTCTCTGGAAGTATGGGTAGTAGCCTGATCCTGTTGAAACCACGGGTTTCTGTTAAATCGACGTTCTGTTTTTACAATAGGAGCAAAAAAGTGTCAATCATGTCCTTGCATCGCTCGGAATTGACTGTCAATGCATGACCGTTTTCATCTTCAAAGAAATACGGCCCAATAATAGCGCTAGAGGATATGACGCACCAAAAAATCACATTTGGACTACGTAGCTGTTGTTGATGTTTTTCTTTTAGGTTCGTTGGTGCCCAATATCTGCAATTTTGCTTGTTCACATAACCGTCTAAGTCAAAATGGGCGTCGTCACTGAAAACAACGTTCTCGAGTCCGCGCTGCGTAGGAAAAATATTCAACATCCGATCAACACACGATTTCAGTAATACGTAATCACATTCCTTTAAAGCATGGACTGATTAGATTTTATAAGGATGAAAACCCATTTTTGTCTTCATTATGCCATGCAGTGTTGACCTAGGGATTTCCAAAGCAGCGGAATGCTTCCGTGCAGAACGCCGACGATTTGCAATGATCGAATCACTTATTCGACGCACATTTCCTTCGGTTGATACAGTAGGTGTGCGGCCAGGAATGGTTGACTAAGAGTAGAGCCTGTTTCACGGAAGCTCTTGATCCACTTTTTCAATAGGGCAGCTGCGTATGAATCACCACTCCTAAAGTAAGCCTCGATATCAAAAGCACATTTCGCTCCGGTCCAACGTTCCATTGTACTATTTAACCCGCACGCCAAACACGTCGATCAAGACCTCTCCCCACTTCCTCGCGTAATTCAAATTTGAAATGTCAACATTTCCACTGGAAACCCTGTATATTGTTATTAGAAACTTGTTAGGTGCTGCAAGTAATATTATTCACCGGAAATGCTGCGCTAGGCAAAGGAACGACCGAGGTACCTTGCAGTACCTATCAATACACGTTTTTAGACAATAAAGTTAATCATCCTGAAATCAAGTTGTGTTACTTTATATATTTTTATAAAATTTTGGGTATAAGAGATTTCCAAAAAAAATATTGACAAAATACTAAGTTTTTGCATATAATGTGAGTTAATGTTCTGTGAAGTTCAATGTCATACTGCCCAATATAAACGGATAATATGAATAAGAAATTGTGGAAAAACGAGAATAACTCTTAAAAGAACTTTGAAACTGTTTTACTGACGTTAACAAAAAGAAGTATTCATATTATAAACGTAAATGTATAATGGTCTGCCATCAAATTATTAAAATATATAAATTTCCTAGGTTTACTCTGAAGTCAAAAACATGTTTGATCAGCAAAAGTGATTTGTTCCTCTATTCTGTTAAAGCTTTTAGTGGTATAGTGTTTTGTTTATATTTATGGGTTAAGAGGAAGAGCAGCTGTCAAGCAATTTTGCCTTCAATTTGCTACAAATAACTCTTGTTTTTTTTTCTAGAGTGCACTATTTTCATAAGAATGAAAAAAAAATTCGCGAATCTCCTTCCATTTCTGTTTCTGTAACTACGAATTTTTTAGAATTCTAGAACACAGTTTGAATGTTTTAGGTGTTTTAGGTCTTCTATACGACCAAAGTCATATCGCTGGTTTCAGTGTGTATCTAGCTCTGGCAATAGCTTTTATGTAAAGCTGTAGCAGCAACAATTGCTAAATCAATTTTGCTAAAATCTTTGATAAACTATGTTGTGGGGTCATTGTACCTTCGAATCTTTTTTATTGATAAGTAATGTTACCTCCTGTGTATCAACCGCAAATAACTTACCTGTACTAAAGAGTTGCCCCCTGTTACAACTACAGAACTGTATAAAGCTGGTCGAATATCAACATCGCACATTCCAGCACTTGTTGCAGCTGAAAAAAGAATATATATTTAAGCACCCGTGTTTCTTCATTAAAACGTTTTGAGGTATCTTTTTCTCTGATAAAATAAAATCAAATATACCTATATATCCCGCACCCAGCATTGCATGGTCAAAAAGCCCCTCTGCTAGTTTGAATCTTTCTGGTCCAAAGTCCTGATGATATCCAGTCGGAAATTCATAGTGAACACTTGGTATATTTGCCACTTGCCTCTCATCATATGGGTTTTCTGCCACCTTAAAACAGAACATTTAAAATTTCCCTGAGACTTAAGTCTTCTTTTTTATTAGAGATCTATTATATGTTGTTGTAATAATTGCTCTAATCCTAATAAGTGTCCCACATTGTACTTCTATATTTACCTGTAGTACAGTCTGTTGGAAATCTTGGACAGTCTTCTTTATCATATAACTCATCCAAGAGTTTGTAGTTTGGAAAGAAAGCTTTTTCTTGACAAACCTTGGCTTATCTTTGTCTCTTATCTGGAATAACAGTTGAAGATAGACAATACTTTATTTATCAAAATCCGTTTATTCATGCAAACAAGTTGTCTATCAGTTACAGAGCCACTGACCACCTACTGACTTATGAAGAATAATGTTTATGACACATAAAAATTACAAACCCACTAGATTTTCAATTTAAGGGTCCTATGCAAGAACCGGCCAAGTCCATTTATCAGGCAAATTTAGTAAACCTCATGTTTTTACCCAGTTTAAAATTATCTATCAGGCTGTACAAAAACGAGACATGCAACCCCGAAAATAAACAATTTATAATTGATTTGTTGTTTGGCTGCTTTCTCAAACATTGCAAAAACAAGTCCATACATTTTTTGACTCTCCTGTAAAATTATAAACAATGGACTTGACTGGTTCTAGTATTGGTCCCCTCAATTACTTTTTCAATTTTATAGTACATTTTTTGTTTTTTGCTAAGATATGACAATGCTACATACCACATCTTTGCTAGCTATCAGTGAGGCTGGTGTCAAATCAATACCAGCTGCTTCTAGCATTTCCCTTGCTCTCAAAACCAAGTAATCTCCACCTAATGGAGACTTTACAACTGCATTTGATATGACATAACCATCAAGAACTGGTACCGCAGAAGTATGTGTTGCTCCTGAAAATAGTCAAGCACAAATTAACATGAGTAATAGCATATGAACATATTTGCTTTTAGAATAACACAACTCAATAGTAACCAGAGGAAAATATGTTGTCAACAATTAACTTTATTATTCTTTCTAAGTGTCATTATTTTTAAAACATAATTTCTCACCACTGTCAATAACCAATGCTGTAGCTCTCCCATTTGCAAATGCTGCCAATGCAGCATTTTTTACCAAGAAGAATGCTGGTACCTTGTATTTTTCAAACATTATTTCTGTTAGTTTTTCCCTTTTTTGTCTTTGATTCCATGGTGACTCAGAGAATAATACTGGATGGTACTGAGATTCAGACTGGATAATCTGAAAACATATAAATAAAAGCTTTTAATCTCTGTCAACTTTGATCTGCATTATTTGAAGTTACTCAGCAACAAAATTCAATTTTGAGATTTACTATCTATTGAATATGATACAGAAATGATGAAAACTCATGCTTTCAAAATTTTGGTGCTATTTATTTTAGTTGGGGATTTAATTGTTTCTTAAATAATAATGATATTTATTTACTCGTGAAACACAATACAAAGAATGAGTAAATAAATATGAAGTAACGGCCCATAGGAGTCATTGCCTATACCTTGAAATATGAATAGAGATACAACTAATCAACGAATTATAGATCACATTTAATATTAATTTGTATACATCTGGTCTTGCCAAAGAAAAAAACTGTCAGGTAAATGTATACATCATTTAGGAATTAAATATGATCATTGCATTCTAGATTTATTTAGTCTAGATACATCTGTTCTTCTAGCATGTAAGAGATAAAGCTGTTTTAAGTCATATACATGTGTATAAGACATACAATTTTGGTTTGTTGAACATTATTTTTAAATTTTTTTTTGGATAATCATCAATATGAGTTGAGCATGCAGCTCCTCATGGTAGTATACATATCTAACTTTTTTCTAAATATCTGAAATATGAACATCCCAACACAAGTGTGGATCCAGAATATTCCAAGGTATTTTATATCCGATGCTCTGTTAATTTCTAATTTCTGATTATTTACAATAAATGAGACATTTGTGAAATTTTTCCTGGATAGGAATAAAATGGTAAAACATGTGTTTTAGAGTAATTAATGCACAATTTTCCATACCACCTCGTATATAGAAAACAAGTTACACAAATACTGTAAATACACTTGTTTAGTAGAGAAGATAAAGAGAATCTACACTTACTTAAAAATTGGCAAAATAAAGCAACTGATTCTGACAGAAATTTGATGTAACTTAATAACTACCCAGCAATTTAATAAATGAGTAATACTTGTAGAAACATGGTACTCAGTAAAATGTGCCAAGAATGTCAAGTAATAGCTTCAAACTGAATACTAAGACCTGTATCGTCAGTCGTCCCTACAATTGTAGGGCGTCTTTATGACCTCCTTGATTGTCATAGTTTTCTCCTTCTCAGTGTCAGAACTCTTTTTTGAGGTTATGTCACAAACATCTATTTGCATCAAATTGTGCTTGCTTTTGAGTTATATCATGTTTTATCAGCTTGAAATTTCCTACAATTTAAAAAGAAAACATATCTTCACAATAGGAGAGCGCTGATGCTGACACGGGACAAGTGTAATCTAGAAATTTTTGAAGGAGAGAAAGGAGTATGACAATCAAGGAGGCCATAAACGCGCCCTACAATTATAGGGACGACTGACGCTATGAGCCTTAGTGCATCCCTAATTTTGTGTTTGAAGGGTACCATAAAATATAATAAAAGCTGTATTTTTGCATCTAATTATCACTGGCATACCTTTTCGTATGAGTAGTCTAATATTTTCTCAAATAAATCCCAATTCTCAATCATTCCATCTTTCATATAGTTGTGCAATTCCATATTAGGCCTTGGTGTATGAAGGTATGCTGTATCAATATAATACTTGTAGGCTGGAAGATTACAATATGGATTAAAGATTCAGTTTGTATGTTCAAATTTTCATAATTATAATAGATTCGAGACATACACTTACAAATAATTGTGATAATACAACTAAGGTGTTTTGCTAAAGTGTTCATTAGATTATATTATAGAATTTCAATAGGGAATTCCCTTTTACCCATTTTATGAGAAAAAAATAATATTCAACCCAGCCATAATGCTGCAGCTGACATGCGTGATTTTGTTATAGCTTTCTTGTCTTAGGCCAAGCATCCTACAAGCTGAATGTGGGATAGTTGAGAGCACTGACTCCATTGCTCCATGATTCCTTTGTTGAAAAACTTCCTGAGAGATATTCTCCACATTAGTACAATACCAGAAAAAGGGATTGAGAATAAAAAATAAAACTACAATTTGAGGGTCTGATATCACTTCGTCAAGAAAAATAATAATGGTAATACAAAGAAAAACGTACATGGCTGATTAGTGGCTACATTTCCATCCTCAGGCTTCACTTCTGGCTCTAATTTGACATCATCTGGGGCCACACCGACAACTGCCGGTATTTCAGCCTTTGGTGTGTCTTCTTGTGCATAACCAACGCGTAGAGAGTGGTGGCCTGGGTCAAAGACGAGTGCTCCAATTTCATCGCCCCCATATAGCATTCCTCCCGACATTTTATTCTATTACTTCAACAAAAACACAAACAAAAATATCAATCCAAAGCAACAGGAGTGGAATTTTTAAATCGTCCACCACAAAACACAAAAAATCCTTGTTTACACGCGAAAGCCACTCTGTCATTCACTATTCTTAATAGTTCAGTCGTTTTAGTAGTAGATATTTTCCTGTCCCAAAATACCAGAAAGCAGCAGACAAAATTTGTAAAAACAAACGCACCAAGGCTTGAAAATTATTCTTTATTTCACTATTATTCAAAATACAGTAATATAGTGATAACGATAATTCAAGACATGTGACGGACTACCTTTTTATTTTTACGTGCACTGTGGCAACACTGTGGTCCGTATTTCCGCATCACAAAATATATACACTGAAGAAGGTTCAGCCCCTTGCTATTCGTAGGGCAACACGGCTGACGTATGTCAGCGTCAAGCCGCCATTTTGTCTCGGTGGTACATGGTTGGCAGAGTGAGCACAAAGCTTCATGCCAGCTCTGTGCATAAATCTGAGGATACTGATTAATTTTATAATATTCATTTTTAATGGTATATGGAAGGTTTTATGACGCCATAACATATTTTTGATATTTTGACAAACCAGTACTCACTTATATTTTAAAACAGCAACGTCAATTACACAGGCTATTATAAAACCGTCCTTATATCGTACAGTTTATTTGAAATTTTGCGAACAGTTAAAAAAATTATATTTACTTTTATTTAAATTTTATTTTGTATGAACATATCAATATTTATGGTCCATATACAGGGTAAACTTTTGACGTTTCAGTTGAATGTGTACAAGGAAGAAGCGCGAGAAATGCTTATCAACACATCTTAGAAGGAGATAGAAGCCGGCTGAAGAGGAAAGATCATCATCTGCCAATATGTTACACCAGAAAATGTTCACGCATTCTGCTACAGTAGGTGACGTTACTTTCAAACCCATCTGTTCGACTTAGTGTTTTAATTTATTTCAGAATTATCTTTAATTTCCATCGATGGTAATCAAATCAACTCATCCTGAGCGACAGCAGCGCTGACGCAAAATGTAACAAATAACGTAACGCAATACAACTATGACTGACCAGAATCGCTCGACTATGATCATGGAGGTGAAAGCCTTGCCTAGAAATGTACAAGATGATTATGTAGTGTTGCAGAATTATTGGCGATCCTGACCTTTCATTTCGACCTATAATAAAGCGCTGTTAGGACCGATCGGGAATCAATCCTGAACAGAATCGACACAATTCACAAACGTGTACGCTCAAAATAAAAAAAATATCATTTAGGTATTTCGGGCTGTTGAGCCGTGGTCGGGTTGGATTTGATCCAGAGCTTTCGGCTACATCTGCGGTAGCCATCTTCAGTGGCGCTGTCGCCGAGAGCAAAGTGCTCGCCTTGACGAGTCGACTGAAACTTCATTGGCACACAAACGTGAAGCTCTCATGCGGTTAGGTAATCAAGATTCTTGACCGTGTGGCGTGTACTCGTTTTTTGAATAATAGGAACATGTTTACACGGTATAAATTGCAAAATATGACATCATCCATGGACAATTATAGTCCGATTTTTGTCTTTTTTGTTAAAAACTGAGTTTTTTGGGATAATTGGAGGCCCGAGTAAAGATAACATGGCCACGCAAGGCAACTATTAAAATATACTCTACTTTCTACTAGACTCTAGAAGACAACCCGTAGCTAAACTTTTCTGAAAATCGTTGCAAAACACTTAAAAATATGCAAATGAAGATTGGAAAACTGCCGCTTTGACGTTCTAAATGACTCCGTAGTTACCCCCAGATAGATATACGTTTTGAAAGTTGACTTTATAATTCTTGTCACCTGGTTTGCGGCGTTGTCAGCTCATAGGACGATTTTGCTAGAATGTTATGAAGTTTTTTATAAAATTTGAGGCGTAGCAATGTTCGCCAAAAAACTAAATGTGATTCTGATAAATAATCCCATTATATGTACAAGAGCAAACAAAACCATGAGACTGGTGGTGTCCATGTTTTATGCAAATTAGTAGTTTTACTATTTGTTATCAATTTTTTAATCATTCATATATCCTGTCCACAATTTGCACACAAACATAAAACAATTATTTATATTGTAGATTTACATGTGTATAAATAGTGTGTCTCTAGGTATTTTGGAGTAACATCAAGAGTAGCATATAGGACTGATATTTATACTGGGAGATAGGGTTGTAAAAACTTTTCACAAACCGTATCAGGTAGATTGCATCTGTTTCTCACTTGCCACTGAAAAAGTTTGTTATCCATGTGATGCAAGATTTGAAAATAACGGATCGTATCATCACAATATTCAAATGAAAAATTAAATGATAATTGCTGCATGGGAAGTACAGTGTCAATCTAGGTACTTGGTGCCACTTTCTTGAAGTTCAGCTCGTTTTATTTCCCTTTTATGAAGCCTACTGGCGGCGAAGTATTGTAATCGCGAAAAAGTCGCCATGTCATTCATTTTCGTTGATTTGTCCGATAATCTGATAACCGCCTATAACTCGAGTACCGCTCAGAAATCGATGAAATTTTTACACAATGCTGTTATACAATGCTAAGGACTCAAAAACTTTGTAGTGATGGAAAGAATGTATGTATATTCGTTAATGTACTGAATGTGTGTGAAGTGCAGGACTACTTGACTAGCGTCGGTTACTGGTGTCCTAGGAGTCCATAATTACTTGTTATCAAAGGTATTGTAATTTTTGGCGACAACAGTTGTCAAATTTTGCCGCGGGTGAACTGGAAAAAATGCTAACAGTTACTGTCATACAATTGTTCCATCTAGAAACCATTTGTAATTCAAAATTGCGCGTTTGTGATTGGTTGAAATTAAGACCAGGGAAATAGTCCCCATGAAAACCACAGAATAAGTTTCAGATGGTACATTAATACAAAAACTGGTGCCACGGCTTGACTAGTGTTTGTCATAAATAAAATTTCTCTGACTGAATTACAGAACGGTTCTTACTTAAAATAAAATGACCCTCGTATAAACCGTTACTTCAATTGTACTTTTTTTTAAGTTAATAACCGAGGCATGCTGGCGATTTTCGATTGTACGAATGAAGCCAGAATTGTGGAATGACTTGATTTTTCTTCACCTGATACAATAAATCTTAGGGGTTTTCCTCGCCCAAGTGCGAATGCAGTCATTAAAAAACCATATTACCTCAATAAATAGTAGAGAAAATGAAAATCGTACTTCTCCTATTGATCTTGTAATTTTAGATCAAATAATTAATAAATATATTTATGTAATAAAACATTGTTTTTTTCAATTGTTGGAAGAAGTCCCGTATTCAAAAATTATTTTATCTTATAAAAGTGCTTAGAGACATTAATTCCATTGGTATTACTCAATATTTTATTCAAAGCTTCTTTCTTTTATAATATTCTGGCAAAATAGCAGAGGTAGGAAAATTGTCCGATGAGCTGGCAACGCCGCAATCTGGATGACAAGGTCAATTGCCAAAGCGTATGACTATCCCGGGTTAATGACGGCATAATTTATTACGTCAAAGCGGCAGTTTTCCAATCTTCATTCGCATTTTTTAAGCGGTGTGCAACGATTTCGAGAAAAATTTCGCTACAGATAGTCTTCTAGAGTAATACTTGTCTTGCCTAGCCATGTTATCTTTTCTCGGGTCCAATTGGGAAAATCTTCGGAATTTCAATTTTATCGCAATAACCGGCAATGTAGGATGGTATATGCTAACATATGATATACATGACAATGACACATTAGGATCCACGACGTGATTTGGCATGATGTGGACCACCGAGAGTATGGCAGTAGGATTGAAAATGGCGTCAGATTTTTTCTTGTACCCAACCGCATTTATTGCCAATCTTTGATAAATTTCATGTTCTATAGTCCTATGACATATTGCAATGTCGCCAGGTTACCATCGATGAATCTCTGCATCGATGCGTGACACGGAACACAGTAGTTTGTGAGCGTTCCGCGTTCTGTCATTCCATGTCGGGGTCAATGTCATCGGTGTCAACGATTGGTTGGGGCTGAAAAATCTCAAAATCCAAACTCAAAATCCGTCATCTCATTTTCATTTAGCCAGTAGTGTTGTCGTGGGTCGCCATGTTTGTTATTGTTCTCGATGGGGGAGGTAGTAATAGTGAGGCTCCGTCGCCCTGTTGATGAATCCAAGTACGTTTAGTGCGAGTGTATAAACATTGGACAAAGAAGGACAATGACGGTAGCCCGCGGGTAGTGTCTTCTTTAACTGGTACTTCGGAGGTGCTCTTTGTCTCAAACTGGCGGCCACAGGAAACCTCGCAGGCGGGGAGGATGGACCCGCCGCGATGTTGGACTGGGGGGATCGTGAGGGTGACAGGTTCAGTTTTGAAGACTCCGATAGATTCGAGGAGGACTCATTATGTAGTTGGAGCGACGGCTCGGGCTCCGAGCCAGAAAGCGTCTGCAACAATTGGAGAGGTTGGAAAAAGCCTTCGACGACAGCTAGTAACATCTTTGGCAGCAACAGAAAGTTTGCAGACGGTATGTCACTTGTTCATTTTTTTGTAGTAGTTCGACGAGTTTCTTTGTTTTGAGCCATTTTGTTTTTGTCAGACTTGATTTCTCTCATCCTTTGTTTGACAAAACTTGAATAAAAACTCACAAATATAACAAGGTTTTGTATAAATTCAAGCAAGAAATTATTCAAAAACGTTACTCTAGGGGCTAAAAGAAGAGAAGAACAAAGGATCTTTTGTTTTTTGTGCTATTAGGTATAAATGTGTTTGTTACTGCATACATACAAACCAGTTTCCTTTTTTAGTTGGTTAACATGTATATCCTAGATATTATTTAATTTTATGATTTTGTTATGATTGCATAATATGTTTTCAAATAATTTTGTTTACACAAGTTTTGCATCCTTGATGTGTAGTGACTCAAAATATAAATAATTATATTGTCCATGCTATAATACTGTATGGAAGCACCTGTAAAAGTGCCAACTAAAAATTAGTACATTATAAAAAATACATTTCAACTAGAAAATGATTCACTCATCGATAGTCAGGAACAGAGAACAGAAAATTCAGTGGTTGAATAACTTGAATGTGGGACATTCCTACGTTTTTACATGCTACTATAAAAACTATTACCCAATTACTTAAATACTGTACTTAGATCTTTTTTATTTAACTTTTTACCTGTTTTGGATTATATTTCCACCTATTCCTGGGAATTTGAAATATACACAGTTACAGAAAATATGTAAATAATTATATCATAATACACTTGGATATTACATTCACTTTTAACTATTCAGATCAAATCAGATAAGACATGTGATAAATTCTACGGTCTGAATAAAGATGTAAACAGTATTGTTGCGGTCTTGTCACAGTGGCAAGCTAGACATTATCCAGTTCAATCTTACAGTAGAGTTTTTTGAGAAATATTTGGGAATGGAATTGATATATCTACATAATTCACAGCTGTAGAATAGTCATGGCTTTCAAACTGAAAGGGGCCATTTTGCAGCTAATTATTCCTTTCAGGTGAACACTATATTCTTTCAATTGATTGCTTTTCCATTTAAGTGTAAAGCAGGTAATGATTCTCAACCTGCCTGACAATTTGAAAGAAACAATTTTCTAAAGTGATTACCTTTCAAGATCAAAGTTCTACACCAAAGCTACACCAATCTATGTTACCTTTCATTCCTGATGTTTTATAGCTTTGTTTAAAAATACAGACAAACTTAAAAGTCAGTTATATGAGCCTTATATTCTATGTGCCATATAGCAATATAAATTTGAGCTTGGTTAAAAGTACATTTTGCATTTCTTCTTTGTTTGAAGTTGTTGACCATCAACCCTTTTCAGATGTTAAGTTGTTATTAATTAAGCATCCAAGCCTATATCATAAAAGATAGATACATCATCAATATCGGTAGATGTCATCTTTTCGACAAAAAAATAGTACTACATATTTGTCAACTGTATATATTACGAGCCCCTTCCCACTTCAGTTGGCCCACTTCAAGATTTGTACCAAAATATGCCTTTATAAACTAAACATGATGAAACTATTTACTTCTGAAACAATTTATTTTCTCAGAAACATTTTAGATACACTCTAGTTGTAAAAAATAGATATTTGAAATCACTTAGACCTATAACTAATAGATCATCTGAACAAATAAACAATGTGCGAATAAATGCGCGAAGTTAACAGCAACAAAGTAACATCACCTTTATTTTTTATTACGGCTGAAATTCTTTGGGGCATAGTGCTAACCAAGTTTTGGCAAAAATTTGGTGTAAATCAATCCCATATTTCTTGAAGCTTTTGTCTCAGTTCGGTGATTGTACGAGCAGGATTTTGTCGTAGAACCTTTTTCATCTTGTGCCACCAAGTTTCAATAGGTGACAGATCTGGACTGCTAGAAACCCATTTCAAAAGTGCTACATTATTTTCTTCCATCCATTTTATTGTTGAGGTGTCCATTGTCTATGTTCTTTAGCCCATCTAAGCCAATTTTTCTTTTGCAGTTGAGTTAATAGTGGCTTTTCTTTGGCATATAAACAAGTTGTGCAACTTTAGGGTTTTTACTTCACTTTTTTCTATAAGAAAACTTACCTTGCAAGTGCTAAATCCCAGTTTGTGGGCCTCTCTATGAGTTGTGGACCTCGATAAGTCTAACAAAGATGCAATTTCTGAGTTTGATTCCCCAGAATTAAAAAATTTAATTAACAGCAACCGAATTTTCTCACTAATAACCTTTCCTCTACCCATTTTGAAAACCTTAACTACCCAAAACTATTTTAAACGTATTCTGACAGCTGTGATTAATAAAAACAATTGTCATGGCTTTTATTTTTCACAGCCACCTATGTGTTATAGACTTATTTTGCATTGAAATGAAAATAGGTTGATATGCTGTAATTGCAACATCTGTTATCTTTATGCTGCAAATTTGATTAGAGAGTGATAAAGTTGGTGTTTTCTACTATATATTATCAAAATATTCATTGTTAATACTTTAAACCTATAACACCCTGCTACATTTTTATTATTTGTGTTTGATAAGAAAAAAACTAAGATTTCAATAGTTGGGCCAACTGAAGTGGGAAGCGGCTCTTAGTTCTACATTCTTAGGAAAGGTAATTTTGCACTCGAATTAATTATGTAAACATATTTTAATGTTACGAGATTTTATGGACAAAGGATTGTATACAAAAAAAACTATTAATAACACATTTATTATAATACTTCCAAATCTTTTTATCGGATATAGTGACAATAAATAGCTGGAATTTACATATTATACTCAACTAGAAAAACCAAGTAAAATTCATGCAAGGTGTTCCACTACTTCCAATATCAGGTATTCTGCAATTGTTACATATGCTGTGCTGATAATAAATATTTATGAGGGATGTCTTTCAAGTATTGCATATGCAAATAAAACAGCACTGTAGGTAGTTTTAAATGACTCTATTGTTTTTCGAAGTATTCTCCATGAAGATTAATACACATCTGCATGCGCTCAAACCAATTTTCGAAGCACTCATTCCACTCGTTTGGTGGCAGATCCAAAATGGCATTTTTTAATGTGTCAACTGCCTCTTCTGGTGACTGGAACCTTTGACCATCCAGTCTATTTTTAATTTTCGGGATAGTATAGAAATCGTTAGGACTTAGATCGGGACTTTATGGAGGATGGTCCAATAATTCCACGTTTTCTTCCATTAAATACTGCCTTGTTTTTTGGGCTGTGTGCAAGCTTGCATTGTCTTGGTGGAGGATGATTCTTCTTTCAGGGTTGATTTTTCGAAGCTCGGTGATGACTTTTGGCAAACAAATGGTGGTATACCAACCCTGGCTGCATTCTGCTCTTCAGTCAACAGGTGGAGTATCCAACGAGAAACTAATTTTCTTACTCCTAATTCTTCATGTAAAATTTTTTGAATTGAGGTCTTTGAGATCTTCAAGGACGCCTCAATCTCGCAATATGTCACATGTCTATCTTCAATGATGAGTTTGCGCACAGCATCGACGTTTTCCGACTGCCGTTTTTGGTGCACCCACCCTGGAATCGTCGCTCAGACTCACCCGTCCACGTTTGAATTCTCCATACCAATGGGAAATTGTCGACTGATGTGGCGCTTCGTTGCCGAAAACAGACAGTAACTCAGCAAGGCATTCTTGTTGCGATAATTGTGTCTGAAAGTTGTAATAAATTATGACGCGAAAATGTTCTCGTTGAGTTCCATTTTTCTATTGACTTGGTGACACTTAAAAATTCACTGTAGTGAGAACACTGCACATATTGTTGTGAAACTTTGAATTTAGGTTTACTAAAGAGTGAGGTTAAGATTCAGTACTGACGTTCAATCCGCGCGGCCTACTATGTTTCTATATGCAAACATCCCTCGTACCTTTATTTTTGCCTTGTTTAATTTACCTCTATTTGTTAATAATAACTGAGTAATTCATATCACAATGCAAATAGAATTTCCATCTTGTTCTATGTAAGTACACCCAGTATAAATAGCTGCTTGAATATATCCTTTCCAGAGAAAAGAATGCCCACACAGATGTACTGGTTTGTTACTTTGGTAGGTACTGGTAGGTAAATTGGGCAAAAGTATGCACTAAAATGACACAATTTGGCCGAACAAACAATGCAGTGTACACATATAGGCTGGTTCCTTCCAATCTATTCAAATTCATTGGACTATGAAAATGCCATTATGTAGGTTGACCCTGCACTTTCCGTGCAACGCGATTATCAGTTCATAAAGGAATATGTTCAGCACAAACTAGATCATCTAAGAAACAAGTCAGTCAAACAGGTCCATACAATTCATCTATAGACATTCTTTTCCTGCCCTTCCGGCATAGTATCTGGGATCGTCGCCTCTCCCGATACCTAACTCGGGCAGACGTGACAACGTGGTAGCTTGGTCAGAGCATAGAAAACACTATGCTGTTGCGTGTGATTCCATAGATACGCGATCCGTCACCCGGGAGTATTTTTAGTGTGAAATATGTCTAATAGGTTTGTAGACTTACCAATGGTGGGAATTTGAAAATGTACCAGCATCAAAGAATTGAGATAAACCCTCCCCACCCCCTTACAACCCCCGCCCCAAGTTTATTTACCTCTAATTTTTTCCAAAAATGATCAGGATTCTCTGAAATCAGAGTGGTACTTTTCAAGTTATAGGTGATTATTAATGACTGACTATCTAAAAAACATATTTCATTTTCGTAAATTTTCGCGATTACAATACTACAAGGCTCAGTTTTAGCACCCCTTGTATTCATTCTGTATATACGTGATTTGCATCTCTCTGGATTTGTAACAAATTATGAGGATGATACGTCAGTTGTTGTAAGTGGAACTACACCCAATGACATTATTGCAAAAATAAGTGAAGTAAAAGGTGAAATGAAAGGGTGGTGCCAAGCAAATCGTTTGATTTTAAACCTCGGAAAGTCCGATGTTGTATATTTTTATACAAACGCCCCTATTCTAGCAAATCATGAGACTTTCAAAACTACGACATTCTTGGGAATAGAAATGGATGCAAAGCTCAGTTGGCGACAACACATGGACAGTGTGTGTAAAAAGCTGAACCAATCATATTATGCGATTCTTAAGCTCAAGTTTTGCTTATCAGAGTCAGCTTTACTAGATGTATATTATGCTCTCGTCCACTCACATTTATCAAGAAACATCATAATTTGGGGACAAGCAACTTCAATCTCTAGAGCATTTGTTCAACAGAAGAGAATAATCAGATTGATATTCAACATTCGTAGAAGAGAATCCTGCAGAGATATCTTCAGAAGTAAAAACATCATGACTCTACCAAGCATTCATATTTATAAGTGCGCCCTTTTCACACATACAAACAAAACAAAATTTATATAGAACAAAAACATCAACACACATTATAATACAAGGGCAGGTGACAGTCTGAGTAATCCAAAACACACACTGACGCTGTTCGAAAAGTCACCGGAATATATAACAAACTTTCAGCTAACCTCAGGAATGTCAGTAGTATTGCTAGTTTTTTTATATGTGAATGTCTGTACGCCTTAAGTTGTCCCTGTTTGTACTTTGTAAATACTTATGTTTGTTTCGTTTTTATTTTTAATTATGTGTACTATGTACCTCCCTCTTAGGACGAGTCTTATGTCATTTTTTATGATCTACAAGACAATAAATGTATCTATCTATCTATCTATAGAAGTCTTCACCAATCCTCATGTTAATTAAATGCTTTTGCGCTGTTTTGGAAATTAATCCTTATTTTTAAATATACAGTGCTTTTCTTTAATGTCCCGCACCGCTTTGATTTTTTGAACGGGTCAATTCAAAAAACTAAAACGAGATAATGAAATTGATGCGTGGATACCATATTTTAGAGTCAAATTGACAGATGAAAATATCAAGATGGCCGATGGAAAAAAAGTTATATGAAAACGCTCCTGACGAGTACTTTATAACCTTAGAATATAAATCTCTAGCAAATATTGCAACCATTGTTTTTATTTAATTGGCTTTTGACTCAACAACCACATTAAAAATAGTAACAAACATTCTGTATCAAACTAGGGTTAGTGAGCACTGGTCAGAAGTGTGATAGCCCTTGAAAATACTATGAACTTTCATAATCCATCATCTTCTCAAAATGTTTATGCTATGGCAGTTTCAGGGCATACAGACACAAGCTGTCTTTGGGGACTTCACCATCCTTTCCCCTGTACCCCCATATAGCTTTGCATTACAGACAGGCATTTATTTAGGTCTTCAGCCTGAGTGGTGGCCCAAGTATAAACAACCTTGTAAGCTGGCGGATCCAGTGGTATACTGATGGGCGCTCGCAGCATCAAGGTGTATTTTCATCAGTGTGTGCTGCTGGACAGAAAAGCCTCTTCGATGTTCCCCTCTGTCGTCCGCCAACGCGCGCCAGACCTTAGGATAAACTGACTTTTTGTTCAACTGTTTGCCAGCATAATTGTTATTGCTGTTTTCTGTGTATTAGAATCATGTGCCTCGCCTGTGACGTCACTGACAGAGCTGTCCGCACGCTGCGTCGCAGCCCACATCCCGTTCGAGCTGGTGGAGCATGTGTATCCTCCAGTGCCCGAACAGCTCCAGCTGCGAATTGCCTTCTGGAGTTTTCCAGACAATGAAGAGGACATCCGACTATACTCCTGTTTAGCCAACGGGTCGGCGGATGAGTTCCTGAGAGGGGAGGCGCTTTTCAAGAACCGCATGGTTAAGGATCCCTTGCAAATAGGTATGAGGATTGCATTATTTTGTCCTTTTTCAAAGGTTTATTGGTTCGGTCTCCTGTGAAGGATCTTTTATTGAAATTATGAGTGATAGTCTCTGTTGAGTAACTGAAAGGTGGTGTAGAATGATTATTTTTTTGTTTGTGTGTGTTTTCAGGTTTTCATTTGTCAGCCAGCGTTCAGCAAACACCCAGAGGTACCCACAATGTCGCCGTAACTTTCGATCGTCGTCGCATATCATCATGCAACTGCACCTGCAATTCCACCGCCTATTGGTGTTCACACGTCGTTGCTGTTTGTCTTACACGCATACACTGGGTAAGAATTTCCCCATTTGATATAATGAATTATTTAAAATTTTCATGTTGCTAAATGCCCAATCTTTAGCTTTGATCAAAAGTGTCTGCTAAAGGTACATTTCCAAACTACAAGTTCCTGTATATGTTGCGCAACATTCGTCGTAACATCCTCCCGGTGCATTTTACCTGTTTTTATAAATGTTGCAGACTATTTCGTTTCTAATAAATTTCTGGTACATATGCCGCCACATGTTGCATTGATCCATTGTGAATGATGGCATACACAGGGTTTTGTATTTAAATGGATTTGCTTTGAGAGGAGAAATAGGGTTTGTTTGTTTGTTTTCCAAATATGTAATATGATAGGACTGCCCCTAAATGAAAATTCATACTTATGCTTGAATTACTTATTACGGATGACGTTTCGGCCATCACAGATACAACTGACAATGCATGAAATTGTCAGGTGACCTGAAAAAGGCCGCTGTGGTGGCGTCACTACAAGGCAATTCAAGAACCGGATGCGCCATCTTTTATGTCGGTATTGAAACATGACTTTGATATTTACCAACCGAGTGATTTGGTTATACGTGTTTCTGAAACGTCAATTTACTACAATTTTAGTCATGAATCGCTTTACACCGAAACAACACGCCGGAATAGTCACAATGTACATTGAAAATTATCGTTCAGTTGTGTTAACGCAAAGTGCATATCTTCGAAAATATCGTGGCAAACAGGCACCGTCTGACAACACTATCTGTCGTTTGGTTTCGAATTTTCATGAGTACGCGACAGTGGGAGATCGTCAACATACCGTTCATCAACGACCAAGACGTTCCAATGAATTGGTTGAAGCGGTCAGAGACAGCGTTGCCCAGAACCCAAAAGTGTCGTATCGTCACCGCATTTGGCATCAGTGGAACCACGTTGCGGCGCATTTTGAAGGATAATTTGCATTTGTTTCCTTATAAGGTGCAGCTAACACAAAAAATATTGCTAACTCACCGTCCACGTCGCTTGGAATACGCCCAAACAGTCGCTCGCATGGTTGATGCTGAACCTGATTTTTGCAAGCAAATTGTGATGACCGACGAGGCTCATTTCACGCTCTCTGGCGGCGTTAATAAGCAAAACTGCCGCATTTGGAGGACGGAAAATCCACATGAGATCCACGAAATGCCGTTGTATGACCGGAAAGTGACTGGGTCGGCGTTTGCGCCAAAACCATCATTGGGCCATTTTTCTTTGAAAACGAAACAGTCGATGGACATCGATAAAAAGGTGGATGCTGGCTCATTATGTCTGCCCGCAGATGCGTAAAAGTCTTGATGGTTACTGGTTTCAACAAGATGGTGCGCCATGCCACACTGTAAATGAAACAATCCAGTTTCTGCAACGAAAATTCCCTGGACGTCTGATGTCACAAAGAGGTGACATTGTCTGGCCACCCAGGTCTCCAGATTTGACCCCACCGGACTTCTTCTTGTGGGGTTATTTGAAAAGCCAAGTGTACGCCAGCAAGCCCCAGAAGACTGAAGAACTCAAGGCAAACATTCGTACCGCAATCGCCGCTAAACCACTAGAGATGCTCGAAAAAGTAATTCAAAACGCAGCAAAACGGGCACATTTTGTTTTTGGCCAATAAAGGTGGCCACTTGATAGATGTGTTCAAAAACTAGTCCCAATAAATTGTAAAGGACCATATTTAATAAAAATACCCGATATATAGAAATAAGTTACTCGTTTTCAAAGTTATTTCATGTTTACATACCGTCATAAAAGATGGCGCACCCTGTATATACAGTTTCATTTAGTGGTCAGGCAATCATTGAGTCCTTCCAGCATGAAAACTAACATGATAAGTTTGAGATGCCACATTTATGTAGTTCTGAATACCTAATAAGCCCAATAAAACTTCGCAAAAGGGGCGGTTTTTGAGTAAGATTATTGCAAAAACAATATTAGAATATTTTTCCGAGCAGTTGCCAAGATACTACCTGGACTATAGGTCATTTCACAGCAACTTCTGTTAAATTTATCCGAGTTCCAACTTGGTGCACGCCCATTGAGAGGAAGGGAAGCGAAAAGAAAACCCTTCCGCTGGGTTCTTTTACACACAATCAAATGAGAATCCGGGCACTGGAGCGATGTGAAGTGAAGCGACGTGCTACGTTTGACGCGTGTAAATGACAAATGTCCTCACGGTTCTCTTTGGGTCGTTCGCCTGAACGGATGTGCAACTTATCTAAACTGGTATATTAAATGTTTTTCAGCCACACCTGGTGACCTTACGTGCTCCTGTGTCCGAATCGCTGAGCCGTCTGCAGCGCGACCAGCTGCAGAAGTTCGCCCAATATCTTATCAGCGAGCTGCCCCAGCAGATCCTACCAACTGCCCAGCGGCTACTGGATGAGCTTCTGGGCTCTCAGCCGTCTGCGATTAACTCCGTGTGCGGGGCACCCGATCCTACAGCGGGGGCCAGCGCAAGCGATCAGACATCGTGGTACTTGGATGAGAAGACCCTCCATGATAACATCAAGAAGATATTGATCAAGTTCTGTGTCCCTGCGCCGATGGTGTTCAGGTAGGAATATTCAGCATTATTTTTTACCGATCCTTTGTAAAAGCTCTATTCTCTATTCGACGCGATTTCATAGTTATGTGTGTTTCAATTATCTTCATAGAATATAAAGAACCTCTCAAACTAACTGGTAGCAATGGCGCTACCCGGACAGTTCATAAGCTACGTTACACTCAAGCGTGAGAATATAAAGAACCTCTCAAACTAACTGGTAGCAGTGGCGCTACCCGGACAGTTCATAAGCTACGTTACACTCAAGCGTGCGAGGTTCAAATTCCCACTTTCCTATTGTCCAGCGGGCCATGAGTGATCCTGTTTGTTTTGACTGTTCGTAAATCGGTAGCGGGTAGGGCACTCTCGTTCCATATTCTGTTTTTTTTTTCATTATGTTTTTGTACGTTACGCAATTAGTCATATCGCAGTCTCTTGATGTTGTGATTGTCCGTAGGTGGTAGAAGGTCTCTGACTATCTAACGCGGAGGTACCACCCGGCGGATCTCGTAGACGGGGCCAGAATGCACACTTGTTCCGTCGCTAGGGTCCGTGTGATATCCTCCCCTTTTCCCCTGTATCCCCCTATAGCCCCATGGTACCCCATGGGTGTTTAGGCCTTAGGCCTTCGTGGTGGTTGGAATATAAAAAAAAGTCTGTGTGACATTTTTAAGATTCTCATTACATTTACATCTCTTCCTCTAAATAAATCTGCCACTACCGCCGCTCTTTTTTTTTATTAGGTTGCAATGGCCGATTAATGTGAACGCAGCTCTAGCTACATCTAGGTCTGATATTTAGACACAGATTGCAGCAGACAAATTTGACCGATTGAGCAAAGCAGTCCAAGTGAACATTTGCTGGACACAAATCATGAACGTTGTAATGTAACGCTTGATGTGAGCATTACATTACAGTGTTCGCCTTCAGCCAGTCGCCGCCTTTGGGTATATTCCCACTTTCACCTAATTATGCGGAAAATAGTGAGTCTTGGTAATTTTTTGACCCCTTCATTTGTCGGCTATGAAGACAGTGTGGACCAAAACAAGGTAGCCAAAATAAAAATAGCGCCAACTTCAATCAAAACAGCTAAGTAAGGATGCAGTATTGGCAGTCGATATGAATGCATGAATATTTGATGGCAATGATGATGTGCATTATTAATTACTTTTACATATCGATTGATACTGCAGTTTGTTTAATGAACTATTCATGAATTATTGAATTTTTTTTTGTTTTAATGGCATTCAATTAACGACAGACCTTGCATGCATCAAGGGGTTAATAATGATATGTGTGAAACTCGGTGTTCTCAAAACAAAATATTGGTACAATATAAAAAATATGTTAGGTCAAAATAATCAAAGGTATACAGTTTAGTTACGCACCACTGATCTGATTTCCAGTGCTTTTGGTTTAAGAGTTATGTAATCCTAAAGTTGCATAAACGGGCAGGGTTACACAAAAATAATATTTAATAGCAACCTACCATTCATTGTTGCCATTTAATCCTGTAATGCTTTCTTGTCACAAGGCTGAAAGGGAGATAAAACACACTTGTCGTTCAAAAATTTCCCCCCGCAACTATTATGTGCGTTCGTTATTTTGCTTCTGAATTTACAGTGGGAAAACGTGTCACTCCAAGTGGAATTCGTGCGGATGAAGAGTGTGTTTCTGTCAATTTTCGTATGTATTCCGGTAGTGTTTGTATCCATCCTGAGCAATGTTTTTTTAAAAATCATATTCAAATCAATTATGAAGTTGCACTTGTCAACTTAACGTGAAAAAAAAAACGCCAAGTCAAAAATACTCACATAGAGGGAGTTCACATTACACAGTCGAGTAAGCTTCAGGATTATATCAACATTTTTTGTCTAATGATTTTAACAATGCTTAATCGCTTCCTGTCCTAAAATATTGTCTTCTTCATCTTTGCTCAGTTGCTTTCTTATTTATTTTCCTCTTCCATTTTTCCTTAACATTGTCTGGTTTTTGAGTAACCCGACCTGACAGACATACGAACTAATACTATGAGACAAGAGCAAAGGTCCTACACAAACGAGTGGTTATATGTCGAGTTTGCTGTTTAGCATCAAAAAACTAGTTTTTTAACATTCCATATCAGTACGAGATGTAACCAAAACTTTGCGGTTGGACCTTGGACTATCCTTGGACACTCCTCAGTCCACCGATCGCCCATAAAACCAGTTAACCGTCTATCCCGGGGTAACGACGGAGTCATTTAAAACGCCAAAGCGGCAGTTTCCAATCTTCATTTGCATATTTTTAAGGGTTGTGGAACGATTTTGAGAAAAATTTAGCTACGGGTAGTCTTCTAGAGTCTAGTAGAGTATATTTCAATAGTTGTTTTGCGTGGCCATGTTATCTTTACTCGGGCCTCCAATTATCCCAAAAAACTCAGTTTTTCACAAATAAGACAAAAATCGGACTGTAATTGTCCATGTATGATGTTGGGTTGCAATTTATACCGTGTAAAAATGTTCCTATTATTCAAAAAACGAGTACACGCCACACGGTCAAGAATCTTGATAGGTACAATGTTGCGGTAATCTAATAGCATGAGAGCTTCATGCTTGTGTGCCGAAAGGTGGCGCCAATTAAGTTTCAGTCGACCCTCCAAGGCGAGCACTTCGCTCTCGCCGACAGCGCCACTGAAGATGGCTACCGCAGACGTAGCCGAAAGCTCTGCACCAAATCCAACACAACCACGTCCCGAAAAACCTAAATTACATTACATTGAGAACCAAATTTGTCTGATGGCTTGAGTTCAATGTGTACGACAGAGAAGTGTGTAGAGACACATAAGTTAGAAAGAGATAGAAGCCAGCTGGATAGCGAAGCTTATCACCGCGTTGCCCAGAGACGCTGACGCGGCGTTGCCAATGTGTTACACCAGTTTCTTGAATTAAGATGCGTGTTGAGAATATGCGTTGGTTTATTCTCTACGCCCAAATAATGGTTTTATTTTGAGCGTTCACATTTTTTATTTGCGTCGTATCTATTTAGAATCGATTCCGGATCGGCGCTTCATTTTAAGTCGAAATTCTGCAACATTGCATCATTGGTTCGCTTGGCAACACCGCATCTCTTACATTCCAATGTAAGGTTTAAAGCTCCATGATCATAGATGCTTCGAAATGGTTTTGCATGTCATCCTGCGTCACCCTCGCTAGGCAATGTGGTGATGTCCTTCGCTTTCAGCCGGCTTCCATCTCTTTCTAACATGTGTTGATACACACTTCTCGCGCTTCTCTTTCGTACACATTGAACCCAATCCGTCAGACAAATTTGGTTTTCCCTGTATATTTCGTAGGCTGCAAACGGATGATAAACATCCCCGACCATCAATAAATGTCAAACAAAAGTGAATTTGAACAAAACATGCGTTCACTACAAGTGGTGGTCAATGAATTAATTTAAAAAGTAATATAATTATATCTGGTAACAACGCATTTATACGAAATGAGAACAGCCGTGTTAAACACCATAATCTGTTTTGTGGAGGCCATGTTTTTGGAGTCATTCACTCTTATCTCTCACTTTAATTTTATTCACCTTGTCTGTCTTCTCTTTATATAACTACTCTTTGCCTACACACCGCTCAAATAACCAGCGATGATGAGGTAGTTCATCAACTGGCACTCATTCCGTGAGGATTTCTTTTTCCTGCAGTAAAGAATGCTCCCACATGGACTGCAAATATGATATCTGTGTTTTAGCTCCACTGAAACTGTAAATAGCACTGCAGAACACTATATACCTTCAGTGAAGTGGACAGTCGGGGAAGTGAATCGATCGCCGTGCACGACGCGGACAAAAAGAGAAACATTGACAGATTAATAGTGGAATACACTCATAGTCTCTCAAAAGCAACAAAAATTAATCGGTAAACTTTTTAATATACGTATTCCACTAAATGCCCGAAAATTGCGTCCAGCGAAAGCTGATTCGGCGATTTAAATGTAAGGTCACTCCACTAAACAATAATGCCAGGAATAGTAAATGAAAATTCTGTAGAGTTTTTAGCTAGTTGGAAATTAGAACAACCGAATAAATGGATAGCTAAAAGATAAAAAAAATAAGTTCACATATCTAACCTATCATCGAAATTATTTTATTTTAGGATTATTTATTTTAGATAATTACATGAAAATCGACTAAATAATTGTTATTTTTAGTAATATTCGCTTATTTTCATATTGCACAAATATTTCAGTCCGGCAATATTGTGATCGCTAGTTGGCGCTGTCATCCCGCACAAACAGAATTGGACTATTCCGAGTATCACATTTGAGTATTTCGAAAACTTTAAAATTCAACCATTACAATTTTCCAGCGATGTCAACTATCTCAGTACGGTGGCGCCTCCAGCGGCAGCAGAATGGACCTCTTTGCTGCGCCCGTTGCGTGGTCGCGAACCCGAAGGGATGTGGAACCTGTTGAGTATAGTGAGAGAGATGTTTAAGAGGAACGACAGAAATGCAGTACCTTTGTTGGAGATCATCACCGAGGAGTGTCTGGCGTGCGAGCAGATACTTGTATGGTGGTTTAACACCAAGGTGAGTAGTAGACTGGATACGCCAGCGTGCAATTTTTTTTAAAGCACACCTAAACTGATAAATAATAAATACAAGTGAAGTACAGCGCTGAAATGTTGAATATCTTGCACAAAAAAACAAAGTTCCACTGTCCAGAAGTTTCTTATGTGGGGAATTGTCTTGTAGGAGCGTGACTGAGTGATGACGTCACATTACACCAGCTAGCACGGCCACCACAAAGCATTGCGCTCCCGCGTGCACTTTGCATCATTTGCAAACGTTACTCTGCTTTGTATTTATGATTTACGGTAAAACATGGGTCAGACCTCAAATACAGGCATCATACCATGTCCAGAAAGAGATTTTTACCTATGCCAAATCAGAATAATAAGAATTAGAAGACGTGGTGCGGGGTGTGGTAGTGGATAAGAATATGGATGACAAAATTACCTCTTTCGAAATTTCATTGTACTGTTTTGGATCCCATCTTGATGTTAGTATTTATTTAGTTAATATGGTAAAAAGGATCATTCTTATTATTATTAGTGTATGTGCCTAGTTTGATGGAGAACGGACCTACTTGGTGTGAACGAGATCGGGGATAGATTTAATTATTGCTTTTATTTCGAGACAATGTGAATATTGTTATAATGATAATGTTGTGGCTGGGTGGGAGAAAATTCCTCAAAACTTGTGTGCGTCGAGGTAGTGATGCACATACATAATAGAGTTTTTACAGCAACAAACGAAGCATATCATTAAGCCTTCCGTTACGTTATTTTTGACAGCGATAGCAAATAAGGATGGTTGGAAGAACAATAAATTTTATGATCACCAAACTGAATCCTGGAAATTTGATAGTACTTACTACTGACAATCATGACAGGTTGCTTATTTTTTTTATTTTGACGTGAAGCTAACCACATACTGTCAAAATGTAAATTTTTCAATGGAAATTTTTTGCAAGATTTGCGTTTTGATCACTCCCAACTGGGTAAGAACTAAATATACTTAGAATCTTAGATCAACAGAACGACAAGTGACCACCAATATACCAGGACCAAAGTAAAAGCTACCCTGGCACATTACATATATGTATAATAAAAATCAGGACAATTCTATTCATTCAGAACTCGTAAAACTTCATATTATACTTTAACTAATATGTTTTTATAACTTGAAATTATCTTGATAGTGAATTCGGCAACAGCGCTGAATAAAGAGAAAATAACCTTACGAAATAAGCGCTCCCTTATTCTCTGTAAAGTAGTGCAGTTTATCATTCCTATATCGGAGAAGGAAGATTTGTAGAGACTACTGCCTGATCCCAGATTAGGAAGGAAGCAGCAAAATAAGAGCAGTAAAAACTCTTTTAACTGTTATTAGCTTTCCCTTTGGAATACTACTAGAACCGGCAGGCAGAAACATTTCTTCCACTTCAATTATTGTATAACTATAATACAGCACAGCAGTATATGCCAAGGTACCTACACCTAGAGCCTAAAAAATGAAAGCAATATGGGCAGCACGTTGTCCGTTCGCGACCGTCCGTGCCGAAGCTGAACTTGTGTAATGTGACGTCACGGCCGAAACTCGACGCGCGATGGCGGTCGGCCACATAACATGTCATAACTTCCTTAAATTTCAAGTTATCGGAATAATTCTTTCAGATTTGTCAAAGATACACGTTATACTATTATATACAGTATTTTCGACTATAGAAAACGTCTTAATTACGCAATTGAGATGCGTTTTGACGCGACGTTAACGTTATTTAAGTATGGCTATACCAAAGAAAATATAAGGCGATGGAACCAAATCTATTTAACGTACGAAAATGCATTTCCGGTTACATTAAGCTTTATACAGGGTGGCCGATATATATAGGCTGGTTTGTATCCTGGATATTTGTGAAATGAAATAAAATACGTCCATTTTTTCATCTTAATCTTTTATTGAAGCTTAGACATTATGTCGGAAAAATAATATCAGAAGCCACGCAAACTTGAGCCCTCTTGATTACTTCTTCCATCACTTTTTGGGGGTTTCGGGAGGAATATTTTCAATCGCTTCCGTAATATTGTTCTTCAGCTGCTTTGCAGTATTTGGTTTGTTGGCATGGATCCTACTTTTCAAAAACCCCCTTAAAAAAAGTCAGGAGCCGTTAAATCCGGTTACCTTGGTGGCCAGTTGACATCACCAAATCGAGAAATTAAACGTCCCGGAAATATTGTTCGCAAAAGATTCATTGTTTCCCTAGCTGTGTGACAAGTTGCTCCGTTCTGCTGGAACCACATGTTTTGCAGGTTAAATTTTTAGATTTGAGGAGCCAGAAAGTTTTGCACCATATCACAGTAGCGCTCGCCAGTGACAGGAAGAGAATTACCTGCAGCGTCTTCAAAGAAGTAAGGTTCAATGACACCTCCATACCAAACATCGCGCCAAACTGTGATTCGTCGAGGATGTAATGGTCGTTGACCGATGACACGAGGGTTCTAGGGTTCTCTAATTCCAAGATACGACAATTTTGCTTATTAACAAAACCGTCCATATCGAAGTGGGCTTATCGGTTGCCAGTAAAAATCGTTATTTTGGGTATTAAGCTGCAGCAATATTGCGTGACTGTATTGTCGGTGAGTTCCATGGTAACTAGGCTGTAGTTCTTGCGTTAACTGAATTTCGTAAGGCCGCAAATGCAAGTCTTTTTTCAAAATAGTGCGACGAATACCCAGTTCTTGAGAACGATGTCTGGTAGACGTCTCAGGGCCCTCCACTAGACTGTCACGAACTCTCTCGATATATTCCGGAGTACGAACAGTTCGAACAACCTTGGCAAGTCTTTCCGAATCGTTGCTACAATCGACACATTAAAGTAAAACGTTTTAACAATACGGACGCGTTGTGGGATCGTGTAGCGCTCCATGATGAATTGGACGCTTGTGCTTTGATCACCTACTGAAATGCAAGTATCAAAAGTTTCGCGCAATTTAAATCAGTCAGTTATATATTGGCCACCCTGAATAACTAATGATCTGATGTAATTTTTTACAGGTGGCTCTGCTCAGTGGAGGTTCCGGATACGGCGGTGGAGGTGGTGGCGGGGGCGGTAAACACAACAACGTCAACAGCAACACGCACGCCTCCCAGCATGCCTGCTCCTCTCTGTGCGATGAGGTTGTTGTTTTGTGGAGGTTGGCAGCACTCAATCCTGGGCTGGCGCCTAGCGAAAGAGATATGCTGCATAATCAGGTACGTGAAATAGTGCTGGAATTTCATAGGAATTTTCAGTTTTGTCTAAAAACCCAATGGTTTGGTGCCCAAAATTGGGATTATCCACACAGTTGTGTGTGAGCTTTGTAAAATCAGCGTTTTTTACCATTTGATGTATTTTTTGTAATGTTCACTCTGCTATTTCCAATGTTTGCTTGTTCTGCCGTCTTAACTGGTAACAAAGTACAGTGTTCACTGAATACATTTGTGTTTTAGGCGCATCTGTGTCCATATAAAAAACATTGTATCTGTACCTATAAATAGAAATCAGGATATTTCACATTTTGTTTCATGAACAGTTAATCAGATCATTTCACTATGTAGCTTGGAACATACCACTAATTTGTTTACATGACCATATTTCACAGTCTCCTTGTTTAAAATAACGGATTATAAGTAAATTGTAGTCTCAAGGCGTTTCTTTTTTTTCAGTTCACTACATGGCACATGAAAATATTGGAGAAAGTGACTAAGTTCCGTAACAGCACGTCCAGCTCTACATCCGGTTACAACAAAAATTCAAGCTCTCTAAAAACGGATCTAGAAGTGTTCACCGGCTTCAAACCGGCTATTGAGGCGTGCTATTTAGACTGGGATGATTACCCTATGCCTGGCATCACGTATAATCAAGATGTTAATCCTATGTACCACTGTCCATTTACGTGTTTTCGACATGGTGTTGACAGCAGTAGAGGAGAGAGCAACGTTACTCAGGTAAGACAAACAAAAAAAGGGGTCATAGAAAATATTTTTATAGTATTTGTGTTGTATTTTTTTCCAGCTCTAAACGCTCTGAAAAATTTCCACTAATATGTCCACACAGGCGAAAATTTTCGAAAGTGAAATATTATGTTTTTTGGATGTTATATGATATTTTCATTGAATCACAAAAATCACGTTTTTTCATTCTTTGTTGTCGAATGAAAAGTTTTCCCACAAAAATTGCTGTATCCATTTTATGCGTCCATGATTTAAATACCCCGTTGAACAATTTGCATCAATAAAACCAGACTTTACAATTATTTCGGGAACATTTGCTAGTATGATTAGACTAAAATATAAAAATCGTCGAACTTCGTTTTTGACGTTTCACAGGATCCTGATCATTTTTGAAAAAATATGGAAATAAAAACTTGGGGGTGGGTGTTGTAGGGGTGTGAGAGAATGTGTATCGTGATTTTTTTGATGTTTGTATATAAATAGGCTTCGAACCCCGGTAACTCAACGCAAATATTTGACATATTTTAGACACTAAGATTTTCCCCGTACATTTACCGTCAAAAATGTATTCAGCAGACAGATCGCCTATCGGTCGCATATGCCGTGCGTCACAGGACGATTCATAAATACAGTGAAAGCTCCCATAAGCGGACACTCACGGTTCCGTAACTTTTGTCCGCTTATGGGAGGTGTCCGTTTAAAAGAGAGTATGTAAGTATAGAGTATAAATAACGGGGTATATAATTATGAGGAAATGAGGTATTATAATCATGAGAAAAATGAAACAGAAACTCGCCACATTTTTAAAGTATGTATTTATGCTATATATCTATATAATAAATGTACATATACGCATACAAAAACATAAATGCTTCAATACATGGTACGAGAATTTAAAAAAAACATTATTCTTTAGCTTGTTGAAAAAAGTTTAAAATGTTTGTCTGACGAAATTTCACCATCTTTTGCTGAAGGAGACAATTTTCGTAATAACTTTCTAAATTTTTCAAATGTTGAAATGCAGTGAAATCATCTTTAGCAAATTTTTTCAATATAGAAATATGATTTACAGCTTCCCCATATGAATTTATCGTTTTTGAACTGCTTAGTGAGTCCACCAGTTCCACTTCTTCTTCTGAGTCGTTTGGACTACCATATTCAAGTTGGCCTGGGCTTTCTACATCCAAATTCGAAAAGTTGCTAATGGCATTTTCTTCTGTTGTTATGTTATTGTCTATGGCCAGGAAATCATCTACTTTCTGGGGATCTGCTACTCCTAAATGTTTGGCATGTCGCAGTAACTGAGCAAGTGTCGCTAAGGGCAGATCGTCTTCAGCATCGCAATAATTTTGCTCAGCAAATTCTGAGCTACATTCACTTTTTCTGAATCCAGCTTTGCCAAAACAGTTTTTAATTATAGAGGAATTTACTTTATTCCATGCTGTTTTTATAAAATACAAAGCTTCTAACACATTGATAGACTTTGTAAGCTCAGATAAGCTTTGACCATCGTCAATTTTTGTTAAAATATGTTTTAAAATCAAGTGCCCATAATAAAATTTAAAGTTCTGTATGACACCTTGATCCATGGGCTGACAAACAGAAGTTGTGTTTGGCGGTAAGAATATAATTTTCACATTTTTCATTTTCATATCACGAGGATGAGAGCATGCATTGTCTAAAAATAAAAGAACTTGCCTTTTTTGGATTCTCATTTTCCGGTCGAATTCGACTAACCACTCAGACATGATTTCTCGGGTCATCCATGCCTTTTTGTTGGATTTCCAAGTCGCTGGTAGATCCTTAATAGCAACGTTTTTTAAAGCACGGGGACGAGCCGCTTTCCCGATCACAATCAAATCGCATTTTTCACCGGCCATATTTGCACAGAATAAAATGGTTAGTCTATCTTTAGACAACTTTCCACCCACACATGTTTCTCCTTTAAAGGACAGAGTTTTGTCGGGCAATGCGCGAAAAAAAGTCCACTCTCATCTGCGTTGTACACATCTTCTGGTTTGTAGCCAAGCAACATGGACGGAAGTTTCTCCAAAAATTGTGACACATCAACTTGATCTACTGCAGCAGCTTCGCCAGATATGCATTTGAAACTCACACTATGTCTCTTGCGCCACTTTTGCAGCCACCCGTCGGACGCACTGAAATTATTATAGCCCAAAGTAGTGGCGATTTCTTTAGCTTTCATTTTCACTAACGGCCCTGAGATTGGAATGTTCTGACTTCTAGCTTTCACAAACCACTCAAAACATGTTTTGTCTATAGCAAAACCTTCCTTTTTTAAAAAATCCTTCTTTTGATTTATATTAGTTCCTGATTGCCATTTACTCCTGATATCTTCCTTATTTTTGGCAATTTCAGCTGCTTGCGTTTTCCCAATATTAAACCTCTTTGCCAAATGACGAACTGAAACACTTTCTCTGTCTAATACGTTAACAACTTCCTTCTTTTCGTTTAACGAGAGCATCCTTTTTTTTGGTGCCATTTTACAGTTACAATAATAAAATACGTAACTCAATCAACTACGAATTTGCCTGAACTGAAGACAAGCCACAAGATTACATACAGGCTACCCAACGAAATGCGTAAATGGGGAATCACCTAATATAAATCGGGGAATTACCGAATTTTATGTATGTAGATATGTGCATTGCAATAAGCGGAACTAAAAAATCGTCCGGGTATTAGAGTTTCGCGTCCGCTTATGGGAGATTTTTTGATCACATACAGGAAAATCTAGTGTCCGCGTCCGTTTATAAGAGCGTCCGTTTATCGGAATGCATTTAACATTGAAAATTGATGGCTGAAATTCGGTTCCAGGAACTTTGTCCGGTTAAAAGTATCGAACCTTTGATCGGCATATATATATTTATTGATTTGAAGGTACGAAACCTTAATCACCTTCAAATAAGTAGTCTCCTTGGTGATGCACACACTTCTCCCAGCGCTTATTATATAATAATAATAATAATAATAATATCTTCTGTTGACTCAAATCGGGTCCCTTTTAGCGGCATTTTCAGCTTAGGAAATAGTCAAAAGTCACACGGAGCCATGTCGGGTGAGTAGGGAGCCTGACGAACCACAGGAACGTTGTGTTTGGCTAAGAAAGTCTGAATTAAATGCGAAGAATGAGCGGGTACGTTGTTTTGATGGAGCTGCCAAAATTTTGCTGCCCACAGATCCGTCGCACACCATCACGAAGGCGGCGAAGGACCTCCTGTTAGTACTCCTTTGTGATGGTTTGGCCTTGGGGTGCGTACTCATGATGCACCACAGACCACACCACGGGAATCAAAGAATATGGTCAACATGACCTTCGTTTATGGGTCATACCCATAAACCCATGACTCATCGCCTGTGATCACGGTGTTCAGAAATTTGGGGTTACTGTTTGCATTATCCAGCATGTCCTGTGCGATGTCCAGACGGCACTGCTTCTGCTCCATTGTTAGCAGCTTCGGTACGGATTTGGCAGACACTCTCCTCATGTCCAAATCCTCGGTCCTGCATGATTACAGTCTCCAATCCAATAACATTTCGGCTTGTTGTGGGTCTGCCTGAACATGGTTCGCTGTCCACTGATGTGCAGCCATCTTTGAAGACGATATCGCCAAGATTGTAGCAAAATTTGATGCAATATCTATGCTCAAGTTTTCCTGTCATTTTACGAAAACTGAAATCCGATGACTGCTCTACACGTTTTCACACGCAGGCCGACTGTCAGCAACTGACGCTATCTGAGGGCGGGAAAAAAATCCGGGCTACGCATGTCCCCTCCACATCTCTACCAAAGGAAGTCTCCCGCGCTTCATTGGTTTACGCGGGAACATTTAAGGTTCGATACTTTTTGAACATCGCGTATGTGAGCGTTATGCTTCTAGTATAATTGAATCATGTCATTTGATTTCGTGACGTACTATTGTATAGGAAGTTTTTATCAAGAGCTATTAGAATCAGTTTTCAAATATCGTTGACAAGCAGTTTTACACTTGAGTTCCAACGAAATGACGCTCCCGTGTGCGGATACGCTCATTGTTGCATTCTGAGATTTTTTTTTTCATGAAGAGCCCAAATAGTGCATTACTGATTCTGACAAAACCTACGTCTATTTTTGATGTAATTGCACTACATGAAAAATTGTACTAGATGTTGTTTCGAAAGCGTGGGAAGTGTGGAGTCAATCTACTTTACGCCATTTTTTTCTAGAATATCTTTCCTATATTTTTGCAAATCACTTGTGAGGGTAGTATACGAGTATTGTTAATGCATATTGGCTGGGAACGGATCAACCACTGATAACTAAAGATTCGTCAATCCATTTCTTTTCAGTCGATTAAATAACGTAACTTGCTTTAAGGCATGTTCCAAGAGAACACACTGGTACCACGAAGATTAGCGGTTGGAGGTTAAACTACCTATCGGATACACGAATTCATATGAGGCCAATCCTGTAGCCAAGGGTGATGACGCTCTCTGAAATCTAGTGGGCGTAGATCATGGCGTACAGCGTCTGCATATTAAAAAATTTCAACATTGCCATGCTTTGTCGGTTTATTACTTCGTGGTTTATTATCCAATATTTCTGCTTGCAACTCCGGATTGTCAAAATTTTTTGAGTTCTTTACTGTCATGACAACAGCAACAGAGAGCCACATAAGCAGAGCTTGAAATTAATTTTCTGCGCAGTGTGCACTCGAGAGATACGCCATTTGCACAGTATCTGAAATTCATCTTCTGTGCAGTGTACTAACTCACTTCATCGTCGACATTTTTGGCTTTACCCCCACTCCATGAGTTCAACCTCCTGTACATCTAGTCTTCATCCATGTTGCGCTCCAATCTCAAGCTCCAGTTCATGTAATAACATCATGGATAAAGCCTGTTGAGATGAATAGCGCGGCCTCCGTGTGACATGTTAACGTCTGTCAAGTTGACGTAGCTTGTCAAATATCGGTGTTGATTTCTTGGATTGGAGTTGTGATTGTAGCGTGTGGGCGTTCTGCGGAAAGCGCCCTTGTATTGCTAACCTAGCAATCACATTTCTATTGTCTTCAAACAGGTGAACTCTAGCAAAGCTGTGCTGAACTGCGAGCTGCACAACCACGGTTCGCTAGCCGCCCACCTCCGTCACAGCGGTGGCGGCGCAGTCGCCAGTGGCAGTCACTCCCACCACATGCACCACCACCATATGCATCTTCACCATCACATGCACGCGCCGCGCGTCACCAGGTTCGATTACGTCAATGTGATGAGCCTGAACCCCGTGGAGTACGCGGCGGCAGCGGCTGCTGCAGCGGCGGCGCATCATCAGCTGCAAGAGAGAGATGGGAATAGGTCGAGTGTCAGCAGCGAGGGATTCTGCGAGGTGAGTGTCGTCAGTTTTACTTCCTACGCCACTAGAAAGGATATAATCGAAAATAATTTTGAAAATTGACAATGCATTTTTGGAAGTTATATGACATCAATATCACGAATCGTGTCTCTCATTTCCGTCACTGTCTGAAGGTGTCTGTCGGTCTGTTCGTTAATCATTTGCCCTTCTATAACTTTGAAAGCGATGGATGTACCTACATAATATTTTCACATAAGCTTACTACTAAGTCAAGGATGAAAAAGTGTTGTAGTTTTGGAAAATCGGTTTGCAAGCGGCAGAGCTAATGGCTAAAAACTATGCTACTAAAAATAGGTGAAACATGTTTTGGGTCAGGTTCGTCTTAAAATATTTCTTAGTTGAGTATTTCATCACACCTGGCATGATTTTTTTCTTAAGATATCGGGAAACCTGCATAAAAAGTATTCCAAAATCTAAATTTTATTGAAAATCCATTCTCATTGCTGATTTTCACACCTTGTTCTGTAGGAGAATAAGTTTTATCACCGTGCCACTTAGTCCAAACATTTTTTGATTACGGATTTTAAATTAATTGTGTTAATACATGTGTTCAAAATATCGTTTACTGTTACGTTTTCCGTAGACAATTAGAGCGTCATTGTGAAGTATGGTAGCTGCTTTAAAAGGGATCCACTGTGAAATCCACATAATGACATCTCACTTCAACACTCTACATATCATTCTGTCACTAAGCCATGTGGCCTTAACAGACGTATAACTGTTTGAAGTTGAAGCAGAAGTACAAGTTTCAGTCAAACGAAGCAGGAAACAAAAAAACAAAACACCTGAAGTATCGGGTTTTCCAATAGGGACTTGACAACTTTGAAGTTTCACTGTGAACGCACCTTTAAATCAATTACCGAACGGTCAATGTCAAAACATTCAGTAAAGAAAACATTTTCATCATGGTGAAGTCCACCAACGAACAAGCTTACAAATAATTGAAATTTACTACGAAATTCAGAGTCGGTGACTGCAACTTTGAGAGCGTTAACGCCAATTCTTGCTCGTAATTCTCGTCCCAGTGGACAACCAATTCATAGTCTAGTAAACAAATTTGAGTCCACATATTCGCTGCTGGATGTATCCGTGCCAGTGAGACACCGGGTTGGTCGAAGTGCCGAGAATATTATTGCTGCCGTTCAAGCTTCCGTCGCAAACGAACAGAACACGTCGTTTCCAAGGCGTTCTCAAGAATTGGGCATCGCTCTCTGGCGAATTTTGCGAAGAGATCTTGGCCTGCAGCCTTGTAAGATAAATTTAACTAAAGAACCAAAGCCGTTCGATCATACGAACCGACGTACGTTCTCGAATTGGGCTCTAGAAATGTTGCAAGAAAATGGCCAATTTCATCGCAAAATCATTTTCAGTGATGAGGCGCATTTTTGGATAAACGGCTTTGTCAACAAACAGAATATGCGTTATTGGTGAGGTGAAAACTCACATGTGCTTCAAGAAACACCACTTCATTCACAAAAAATAACTGTATTGTGTGGTTTTCATGCGGGTGGTGTCATTGTGCCGTTTTTATCTCAAATGTTTTGCGTTTTATTTAAAAAGAAACTTGTCAAGTCCTTAACGGAAAACCCTTTAGTTTTCAAAGCACGCTTTGTCATGAGAAACAGTCCACTGCATATTTTTTATATTTTACTTTTTATTTTTTTTTACAACACAACATTTTTGAAGGTTGACGATGACATGAATATCCTACGAGAGAGCCGTTACGACTCCGATTTTCAAGAATGCGGGGTCAGCGACTCATCCAGCAACAGCAGTTCAAGCAGCAGTAGCAGCAGCGTAGATAGCAGTGTTCCTATTCAAACGCCTCAACCAATTGTTGAACCTTCCGTGAAAAAGGTATGTTAATATGGAATATTGTTTTTATTATGTATGTATATGTAGTAGTAGTAGAAAGATTTGTTTAACTCAAATCGCTACGTAAACAATTGAAAGTAATTTATTGTAACCCTTATTTGTTTTCCAAAAAATAATAATCCACTGGAGAGCCTTTGGGCTGCTCAGTACTCAATTTGGTAGGGGTGGGTAGGGACCCTAATTCTATCTCTCTTGATGGGGACCGAACATTTACCACTTCTTCGTAAGAAGGTGGCGCCCCACATATCTGTTGCTTTCTTCTATATGAACCTATAAGTAATTTCTCAATAATAATAAATTCAAACAATATTCATTATTATATTTGCAATATGTAACATATCATGTTTGATTTTTTTTTTGGGTATCTAGTCGTTTTATGTCAGACTTTAGTGCAGATAGACATGATGGAAATATACTATTTTTTATTTTATAAATAAAAATCATGACTCGGTATTAAATGAATTTTGTCAAGCCACGTACTGAGCATTTGATTGATTGCCGCATATTTGTTTTTATTTACTATTATTCTCACATTTATTTCGTAAAATCTGCAATTTTTGGAAAACTGAATCATTTGCCAGATATAAAACCTTTGCGCTATAGCAAAACATTTGTATAATAAATGACGTTCTTACTGTATAGAGTTAAACTCCCGGAAATACGTGATAGCTAGCAAATCAACAAAATCAATGTTTTTGCCACTGATATTTACGTATAAATTTGTAATATAATTTTTTACAATAATCATAGCTTTTGTTTTGCAGTGTTCAAATTTAATTTGCTAGATATTAGCCATTCTGATACAGGTTTTAAATCAGATATACCTGATTGAAAATTCTGAGTATTTGCATAAATTCACATATATTCAGTGACAGTGGAAGTAAAGGGTGTCTCATAAATATTTTCTTATTTTATGCCATAAATAAAAATACTTAGAATATTTTTACAAAGATAAATTTATTACCAAACGAAAGCCTAAACATTAATTTTATTTATGGAAAAGAGTATCGGATAAATGAGCACCGTTCATGTTTTCACACTCTCTTAATCTCGAACTGAAGTTTTCGATCACTCTCCGAAGCATTGCTCGAGGAATGGCGTTTATTTCATCTGTTATTTTTTGCTTCAACTCCCTCAAATCTTGTGGCGGTGGGGTGTATACCTTACTCTTCAGGTATCCCCATAAGAAAAAATCTGCTGGTGTCAAATCGGGACTTCTCGGTGGCCAGTTAATGTCTCCTCTGCGACTGATGACCCTCTCTGGGAATAACTGATGAAGAGCATCCAAGGATTCATTCGTGACATGAGAAGTCGCTCCATCTTGCTGGAAAAACGTGTTTCTATTGTAGCCACCATGGTTCTGTATAGCTGGAGTTAAAAAAGTGCTAATCATGTGGCAGTAGCGCTCAGATGTTACAGTTTGAGCTTGGCCACGATTGTCTTCAAAAAAATACGGGCCAATGATTCCTTGCCCTGACATAGCAGCCCAGACGATAACTTTAGGCGAGTGTAATGGCGTCTCATGAAGATTTTGCGGGTTCTGCTCGGCCCAATATCGGCAGTTTTGTTTATTAACATGCCCGTTAATGTGAAAATTCGATTCATCAGAAAACCATATGTTGTTGTAACCGTTAAAATGCTCTCTCATTGTTCTGCAGAACTCTAATCGATTAGCGGGATCTTGTGGTTTTAATTGTTGTGTAACAACAATCTTGTATGGGTGAAAATGCAAATCCTTGCGAATAATGCGATGAACAGTTGACTTATGCAAAGTTAGAGACGCTCCACGCAGTCTTAATGATTGCCGGGGATCCTCGTTAACGGACTGGCGCACACGTTCAATATTTTCGTACGATCTTGCTGACCTTGGCCGTCCAGGCGGTTTACTAATACACGTGTTTCCAGTGCTCTCGAACTTTCTTACCCAATATTTAATTAAATTTGCGCTTGGGACATCTCTCATTCTTGCTATGTTATAATGATTTCTGTACAAACGACGTACAAGCACATAAGAATCCTTGTTTTTATAGAACTCGCGAACACAAAAAGCACGTTGCGGCCCTGTAAAACGCTCCATTGCAACTAAAATTTAACAATGTTGCCAAACGTTTGTCAACTGTCTCGTTTCTCCGGAGCATGCGTATTCCGCCAGAGGACTGATCTAAAAACGAAAATATTTCTGAGACACCCTTTATTACACCCAGAAAAAATAATTTTTTTAACTACTAGATTTTTCTGGCAATGAGGTAGTCTCACATCAGGAATGAAACGATATTTTATTGACAAGTAATAAAAAAAAATTGATGTGTTTGGCGAACCCTCAGCTGAATACACTCCTCTATACATCTAGGCATCGACAAAATGATATGATTGATGATTGTTGTGGCACCTCGTTCCAAGCAACTCGAAGTTCGTGGATTACCTGTGGCAGATGGTGCAAAGTGGATAGTCTCCTCCCCATCATATCCCACACATGTTCGATGAGATTTAATTCCAGCGAGTGGGATAGCCACAGCAAAACATCAACGCCTGCTTCATGAAGAAAGTCCGTAATACGACGAGCAATATGGGTACGTGCGTTGTCTTGCTGAAAAAGCACGTGTCGACGGCCCTCTAGATATGGCAGTAAAGTGGTTTGTAGGACATCATCAACTTAACGCGCAGAAGTCATATTGCCTTGAACAAAGAGAAGGGGTGATCGGATACCATAGGCAATAGCCTCCCAAACCATTACTCCAACAGTTCTGAGTGTATGCCTCTCAACAGCAAATACAATATCAAGTCGTTCTCCGCGGCGGCGTCTTACCCTTCCATTCGTCGCTGAAGATGACATTATTCCATTTTGCCTCCCAATGTTGACGACAGTGGTCCGCAGTCAGAGGAAGCACTAACCGTGGACGGTATGAAAAAAGTTCAAAGGTTGGAATGCGGCGATAGAGTGTACGCATAGTAATAGGTCTACCTTCTTCTTTAAACCACTAGGTCAGCGATCTGATGCGTAGTAGCAAAACGGTCTCGTAGGGCTAGTTGACTGAAGCGCATATCTTGACGCTCTGTGGTACGCCTCGGTGGACCAGTTGGCCTTCTTCGTGTCCCTCTACCTTCTTCTATCCACACACGACACATACGCATTACCGTCGTTAACACGGCGGCCAATTTCGCGATAGGACAAACCAACATCTCGATAGTCAATAATTATACAACTGTAAAAGTCGCTAATATGGTGATAATTTGGACGTTTTCGAACTCTAGGCATTTCATTATGCTTAACACTAGTAAATGAAAGGACAATAACCAAAAATATCTGTACTACTCAGCTCTCAGAAACTGCTTCCTTCACAAAAACTAAGAGATAACATTTTAACAAAGGTAAACAAAAACAAAGATAAAACGTTGACATTGTTGCCACAGCATGCTTTAACTATAGTCAGTATGTTGCTAAAAAAAACAAGCTGATGAAATTATTTTTTCTGGGTCTAACACTTCTAATAACTCTGACTATATTTGCAATAATTGGATTTTACAATTTTTTAGTATTCTGGGCAAATCATTTATAATGATGAGAAGCAGTGCTTCCAGGATACTATTCTGGGCTCTTTTAAATCATTTTCCATCTTTGATGGTGAATGATGAATATAATGCTATTTATCTTAGTTACTTGCACCCTATATCCTGTTGGTCAGAAAACCATTTCAATATCTTTCCAGATACACCACATATTTCCAATTTGCTCAAGAGTATGGCCTCATTGTTTCAAATGCTCTATTCAAGACAAGGAATACAGCTATCATAACCCCATTACTACCTATAGCTCTTCTCCAGTTTTCATTCACTGGTTGGAGGATTGTTTCTGTAGACAATTTCTTCCGAACTTGCGACATTATATAATTGTGATCGATTTATTTCTAGGTAACACCGCCGACTCAGAATCAGACTGCAGCGAATAGTAGTTCATCAAATCCCGAATGGCAGCAGAATGGAGACATCAGTGAAGAAAGGCGGTTATCTAAGGATGATTCGACGTCTAGCTTCAACTCTGAGTCACCTAATTCGGGTGATGAATATAACGTTTACTTCTACAATAGCAAAGATTTAAGCACCTTAGAAGGAAGGTTAGTTATAAACATATTCATATATTCATATGTACACCCCGGATTATCCATATCACATCTAAAAATCTCATTTCTACGATGAAAGTTCTTGCGATTGTAACAAATTCTTTCGGTCGTATCGTGTGAAGGAAGTGCTTTGTATAAGGACCAGTAATGGATCAATCTTTTGTTAAAAAATCAATTTATAGAACCGGTGTAAAATGTTATAAGAAAAGGCAGGTATGTTGAAAGGGAAGATACAAGTGAAGTTGAAAACAGAATTAAAAGTGCACGAGTGTGAACGTTACTTATAAAATTGACATTTTTCAGTTCGTCTATGACCACTGGTGGTGCAACCAGTAGTCAGGCTCCAAAGACTGAAGAGACCGAAGATAAGTCCACCGTATTCTCGACACTGCGTAAATGCGACGATCCTTGGGACGTGTTGTTCGCTCGTGCTGAAGGCTTACACGCACATGGCCACAGTCGCGAAGCGTGTATTCTGGGTGTCAAATTGGCAGAAGAGCTGCTCATGCATCCACCTGATCTCATGATCGAAATTCCACCAGCGCCTAGAAAGAAAGGTAAGAGATATTAGATCTGTTATTTTGCCAAATATATAGTCTGATCACGGGAGGCTTCTCTCACTATCGTCAGACCACATAACGCCTACTTTATAAGGGAATCTGTAATGCTAAGGTTTGTCATTAAGTTTGTAGCGCCATCCCTGGGATATACTCCGAAGTTTTTATAGAACCTATACGAAATTTTATATTTAGAACCATTTAAAAACATAGATATTGTTTAACAAGTTCCGATTGAAGAAAAAATGCACAACAACATGCACAAAAAATGCATTTTTTGACAAAAAAAAGCAAAACATTGTTTTTTAGTCATGTCTATACACATCATGAAATTATCAGATGAAACGTATTTAGAAAACTGCTGCAAACAGGAAGTTCAAAAGAAATCTTAAATAAGGGACGTGCCACCTTAAGACTCGAATGAAATATTTTGTATATAAAGTGACTCAGCCGCTGCTCACCAACGCGGCGAATTTTTACCTGAATAGATGAGTAAAGGTAAACGATGCCTGGGTGATTTAACAATTGCGACTATCAGGGCAATTTAATTTAATACAAGGTTCTTTTGTTCAGAATTGCATGTCATTTTCCTATGTATTTCTTATTCACTTTTTTGCCACAATATATGGCGATAATATTACATTATTTCCTCAGGCAAGAAACAGCAAGTGAACCCAGCGACTCACCAGCTGAGCTGCTTGGCATCGGCAACGTTATCCAAGTGCGCCTTTCTGTGTTCTGTCTTGGCCGAGAACTGTGAACATTTCCATCTGGCTTTCCGCGTAGGGATGTTTGGATTGGAGATGGCCCGTCCGCCGGCTAGCACTAAGCCGTTGGAAGTAAAGTTGGCCAATCAGGAGGCCGATCTAGTCGGATTACTTAAGAGGATACCATTAGGTCACAGAGAGTTGCAGATGCTTAGAGAGAGGGCCGAACAGTTGAAGGAAGGTAAGTCATTGAACACCTCAATGCAGCGGGCGAGTTTTTGTTGCGTTACAGTAAAGCGACGCACAATATAAAGCAGTGCTGCTACTTGTAAGTGGAACCTTGCTAATGCTTCGATGTGCAACAATGACAATCTGCAGGCTAGCGTTGGCAATTGAGTTTGTTGGCGTCACATGCCCCTCCCTTCCTGTGTTTAATCTATTTTTTGTCTGTTTGTTGGCGAAGCGATGAGTTTCCTGTCTTTTTATTTAACATTTCGAACTTATAAGTATGTCAAGGCATGTCCTCTTGCCCCCGACGCTTCGCCTCTGCTAGTGGTGTATTTTGTGACAGACTCGCCGAAACACAAGTGTAATGAAAACTGTCAAAGAGGTAACTTGAAAACTAACTCTTAAGGAGTTTGCTAGTGCTGGTTTGTAGGGCTCACTATCTAGCTGCCTGCTAGGCCCAATATACTCCAGGAGGTTGTTTGAACACGTTGGAGGCACCGTATACAGCCGAGGACAGCATAAAGATAAGAGGGCCTTGTGCATTGACCAGTACTGTTTTCATTAAATTTATTTCTTATGCATCCAAACCCCCTCTTCAAAAGGGTTTTACCGCAATCCACTTACCTCTCCTAGCTATTTTTCGCCAATTGAGGCTCAATTGACGAACGCGTGCCTAGCACACAACATGCTTATTTGAATCAATTTGACAAAAGTTAGAAGTTGATGTTCTGCTTCAATAATGTCAAACGACAACAGCAATAACTATTTTTGTCTTCGCCGTCTATCAGTTCCTGTGAATCCAATATGTTTTAGCAGCGTTAGTCTAATATACAGAAAATTTGAAACAAGGCGGTTTTGTTCAGGTAGCAGCATTATACTACCGTGCTCAGAGGGAGTATCAGCAACTTTAGGGCATATTTGCTTATTGACAACTAGTGAATCAATAAAATTATCTCTACCCATTTCATACAACAACTTTCTTAGAATCCCACAGTTTTGTTTGACATGTCTGTACAAATGAATCAGAGGTATAGACTTTGGAGGCTTTTTTATCGATTTCATGCTTGGTGCAGATACCTCCTCTACACTTAACATGCCAACAAATGTTAACATTATTATGAACTATTTTCATATACCTAAATTGTGAAACATAATATAAATATCAAAGTCTACCTTTGGCTCCCTTATACAAGATTTACCTTATCAATATTCAAATTCTCTGAAAATAAAACGCGCGTTTTTTTAAATAGCACGGTTTTTGTAATGACAAAAGTAGGGAAACATTTCAGTTCTGCCGTATTTATTCGTTCTGCGATACTCTGATATTGCGTGCGGTAAATATTAAGGCGGTAAATATCAGTGAGAATGGCAAAAGCAAAAGAACTTTCAAAATATTTAAGAGACAAAGTAATTGAATTATTTAAAAGTGGTGTCAGAAATGTTGACATTTCTGAAAGAAAGATAATGCCCCAAGTATACCTCAAAAATTCGTAAAGACAAAAAAATGTTATTGATCTTACATGGTCTTCGCAATCCCCGGACCTAAACCCTATAGAACATCTCTGGGCGCATGTTTAAAGACAACTGGCAAGAAAAACTAAAAAAAATAGGAAAGATTTATTTGATTATGTAAAAAATGTTTGTCAAAATATCCCAATAGACGTCTGTAAAAATTTGTTGTCTTCTATGAGCAGCAGATGTCAGGCAGTGTTGAATGCTAAAGGCTATACCTATGCTTTTCTATATATGTATATATATACTCCAACTACCACGAAGGGCTAAGGCCTAAATACCCATGGGGTACCGTGAGGCTATAGGGGAAAGGAGGAACGCCACACGGACTCAGGAGAGCGAACACGTGTGCATGCAACATTCCCCGCCTACGAGATACGCCTGGTGGTACCTCTGCAGTCAGAGACCGTCTACCATCTACAGATAATCACAACATCCATAGCCAAGAGAAAAATTTCTCAATTATTAGCTGAACAGTATTTTTTAAATCTTTTTGTAGAGTTATTGTATTTTATTTTGTAATGAAAAATATGTTTCCATACTTTTATCGTCTCATTTTTGGTCATAAAATAATATGAAGGTATTTTAATGCTAGTCTGTAGTACCACAGCAAACACAAATTCATTTTTATCCGCAAGACTGTAAGCAATGCGAAAAAATAGTCCTTAATAATAAAGAATAAAAATTAGCGCACTTTTTAAAAATACTAAGAATGTTTCCAAACTTTTGTCCGCTACTGTAACTGAATTTATGATTGGCAGTCTGAACGATATTTAACTATTTTCTTTTATATTCAGGTACCTTGAAATCACGAGGCGAAGCTCTCCTTCCGATCATGTTAGCTTCGTTCGTTTTTGACGCCTTGGTCATCCCTAGCGTAGTGGGACGTGATCGAGTGAAGATAATGAGCATGAGATTGCCATCTGACGAACCATTGGGTTTTGAAGCTGCAGTTGCTGCTCTAGGACTCAAAGCGAATGTTTCCGAGGCTGACCATCCACTTCTGTGTGAAGGCACGCGTAGACAAAGAGGCAAGTACACAACATTATGTAAAATAAACCCTATGTGGACGAGGGATACTTTGTTTGGAACATTGAGTTTCGCCGTTGTATACTACAGTATCTCTAATTAGTCAGGCGACTCAGTGCCTCTAATGAGTCAAAACTGCCTACCTTCATTCTCGTCGAATCGTCGGTAAAGTTGAAATAACAGCACCAAGTGCCATCTAATACATGAATGGAACACTCTCGCAGTGGCAGATCGATTTCTCTGGAACGATTGGTTAAAATTTGGAAAAAATCATAGGAGCAAAATTTTTGTATCAAAACATCCTGTAATCTGGTTGAAAGTGGAAGTGGTTATTTCTATCTGCTGAAAGTGATACTTTTTCGCACGCGGCGCGAAGCGGAATTTGGGCAAGCCGTCAAGCGTGGAAAATACACTTTCCACAAGTGTTAGAAGATTTTTTTCTACCAGCGTGCGGAAAGTACTCACTTTCAACACGCATCGCGTGCAGAAAGTAGCACTGTTATGTGTACGGAAAACTGCTACTTTCTGCACGCGGATGCGTGTTAAAAGTGAGTTACCTAAATCCAAATCTATATCCATCATAGAATTTTTGCAAGGTTTTGAAAAGACTGTTTGTTCCCTTACCAGGCTATGAATATTTCTAGGTGATTTGGCCATCGCTCTTTTGACGTTTTACAAAGACGATTGCTGGAAAGTAGCAAGAATAATGGACAGGTTATTAGATAGAGAAGTACATCAGCTGTTAAAGACACCTATCATGAGCTCTTACTATTCAAGCAATCCCCCATTGAGAAGTCAGTACAGTAATTTGAAGAGAGAGGACAACGACAAAGTTATGACTCCAATTAGCCCATTTTTGCCACCGGCAGAAATTATGTCCGCAGATTTGGGTGAGTACAAATATATAAGTCTTCCTTGAACTATTTTATTATATTCAGTCCCAATAGAAAAACGTTGCATTGAATGAGCTGAGTTATACACTGAGTTTTATTGCTAATCAAATGATGACAAAAATTAAATAAACACAACTTTTAGCTTCAAGGTTGTTTCATAACAAATGTGATCCACTGTTTCGGCTCGAATTGATAGACTTGATGGAGTGGACAGTCTCTGTTGGCTCATCGTGCTTCTCAACTAGGTCTTCATCCACTTTAGTTTTGAGTTTCTTTCAGCAGATGGTGCACTGACTGGAACTGTGAACATGATTTCTATTGTTATGTAAACATTTAGATATACTTCTTAAAAATTAGTTTCTATAATATACTGGATAAGTGGTCTTCCGTCATCGACAGAGTATTGTGAACCGGGTTTTAAAAGCTGGAGTTCTTCACATAGTTTGAAAGTCTGTATTTTCACCTTTCTGAAATGGGAAACTTTATTACTATCAACATATTCGTAAATTCTGCGGGTTTTATTTCTCAAATATCATTCCGTCCAAATGTTTGCCTTCTGACACGCTCTTCTAATCGCGCGCGCAAATTCTAATCGCATGGCATGAGGTCGGATGACCTAGGAGGTCAGTGAGTGTCTCCAAACTTGAATATAACTTTTTGAGGGAAAAGTGCTTTCACCGTGTCCATCGATTCTCTGTGGAAGTATGGGCGGTGGCCCCATCCTGTTGAAAGCATATGTTTCTGTTAAATCGACGTTCTGTTCTGACAATAACAGCAAAAAAAGTGTCAATCTTGTCCTTGTATCGTTCGGAATTGACCGTCAATGCATGACCGTTTTCATCGTCAAAGAAATATGGCACCTTTGGACTATGTAGCTGTTGTTGATGTTTCTCTTTTAGGTTCGTTGGTGCCCAATATCTGCAATTTTGCGTGTTCACATAACCGTCTAAATGAAAATGGGTCTCGTCACTGAAAACAATGTGCTCGAGTCTGCGCTGCGTAGGAAAAAAATTCAACATCCGTTCAGCACAAGATTTCCGTAAGACGTAATCACTCGTCTTCAAAGCGTGAACTGATGGGATTTTATAAGGATGAAAACCTATTTTTTTCTTCATTGTGCTATGCAGTGTTGACCTAGGGATTCCAAAAGCAGCGGAATGCTTCCGAGGATTTGCAATAACCGAATCACTTACTCGACGTACATTTTCTTCGGTTGATACAGTAGGTGTGGGGCCAGGAATGGGTTGACTAAGAGTAGAACCTGTTTCACGGAACCTCGTAATACACTTTTTCAATTGGTTCTTACTTGTGGCATCTCTTGGTCGGCGAATGTTGTATCGTGTACAAAATTTCCGAAGGGCAGCTGGGCAACACTCTTAAAGTAAGCCTCGATAGCAAAAGCACGTTGCGCTTCGGTCCAACGTTCCATTGTGACTATTTAACTCGCTCGCCGAACGCGACGATCAAGACCTCTCCCCACTTTTCGCATGTACGGTTGCTGCGTAATTCAAATTTGAAATGTGAACTTTCCAACTGTACACCGCCTTGTATTGTACCTAAGTCATTACAACGTTTGACATGATCCTCCTTTGGTATTGATTCCAAGACCACGTATTCTCTTAAAATTATGACTCTGATTTGGGATCACAGATACTTGAAATGAGGTAATATCATTTTTTCAGAGTTCTTACAATAATTATGGAATTGATCTCACTTGAAAGGGATATGTTTTAGAGTACAAACAAAGTGTATCATAGTCACGACCATCAATTCACTATAGATAAGCTTGCCCCAAGAGCCCCTCTTGATGTGTATGTAATTTTCTGATGGCCATTTTTGCTGTGAGATTTTCACAGGACATTAAACTTCCTTTGCGGTTTCGCGGTTTCCGGTTAATTTTGATTTCGTTGTATGTTTGGATGGTTTTATATTCGTAGTCTGAATAGTGGAGGAACTAAATGCTGGATCAAACGGGAAGCAGTACGCAAAATAGAAAACTGCGTGTTGAGAGAAGGTAGCACTCACAAAAAGTCTTCTTGTCTGAAAAGAGTTATCGTTACTAACCACACAAGGATAACGAAATGGATCTTTACAGTCGTTGGACAAAAACTCCTTATCTATTAGCCCATTAAGCTCATTTCTTCTACAAAAAAAAACATAAAACATCGATTTTTCTATACGTCGATGTCAACGATGTTTTGTTGATGATTCCCCGAATATCTCACGCGATATAGATTTTTTCAAGTTGATGGCTTTGAATTTCATTTCTTTTGAACCTAGAATCGCCCAATGGCAAAAAATAGGTTATTTTTATACCTTTCTTGCGGTTGACGCCTAATGTCACCACTGTTTACTGTTTAAACTCAAGCTGCCAGTGTCAGTCTCTGCTCAGTTTATAAAAAAATTTTTGACATTGTATTGGTTTTTTGTGGCATTATGTACGGTTTTCTATAAGATGTTAACTTAGCACTAGCTGGTGGACACTTGTGAACTCTTTTTGTAGTTGTACGTGTTGCCAAGAGGTCATGATGATTCAGTTATAAATGTCTGGCTCTGATGTGAAGTAAAATCTGCTTCAGAGATGGCATTCCTGGAGTTCTAAGCTGTAAGTTGTATACTACAGCTAGAAGGAAACGGAAATGCATAGGTGCATTGTGAGGATTTGTGTTCTAATAATATGTGTTAATCATAATTCCGCTGGATTCTTGTCTCGAATACACTTGAGATTCAAATCTAGAAATTAGTTGCAGACCAATCACATAATCATCGAGATGCGATCTTGCTATTCTTTCACATTCTCAGAGATGAAAACTACAGACTACTCGGCTTCACAAAATATATGCGACCATCAATGCGTGTAGTTGAGCCATTCCTCCATAGATGGCCGCTCACAGCGGTCATAGCGAGCAAACTTGGAATTAACTATTTGCACCCTGAAAACTACCTACTATACTACAAGATGACATTTTATGGTTTTTTTCCCCGTTTTATAGGTTTTTTACATAATACCCGTACCGGCATGGAACGCCGTTACTATTCAAGAAACATAACTTTATACTTTATCATATTAAAAAAAAAAAACATTTTATATCAAACCGTCATATTCCAGCATGCTGTAGCAGACCTCACAGTTCGACGAGCGCAGAAATAGAACAGGGTATGAACAACCTGTCAGTGAGCGGTCAACAAGTCTCGCTGTCACAGAGCGCGATTACGAGAACAAAAGACGGGAGATACAAAGGCAAGAGGGCATATCCATCCATACCAAATCAGCCGTCCGAAGCTGGAGCACATTTTATGTTCGAGTTGGCCAAAACAGTTTTGAACAAGGCAGGAGGTGAGTTCTACCATCTCCTATCTCTCTTAGTTTGTTTGTGTGTTTAAGATTTATTCAGTAAGATTGCTACAATTACATTACATCAATTACATAACATACAAGTATTTAGAAAAACAAAAGTTGCATCTGTGAGTATTTTCACTGTAAATTAAATGTTCCTCTAATTTTCTTTTAAATAACTTTAAATTACAAACAGATTTTATATTATTTAGTTTAATGAATTCAAGTAATCCCTTCTGAAATATTGATTTGCTGGTTTATTACCCTTGAAATTTTTAAATTGGAAATCTATAGTTTCTGTAAGACAATAATATTTATAAAAGGAAAAATCCAGTACCTTGATTCTCGTAGATGTTCAAGGATTCTAAATTAAAAAGATACTACAATTATAAATAGTTTATGATTACTCGGAGTGAAAATGATTGGCTAGAATACACAACATCAAGAAACCATCTGTAGCAGTTCTACGAGACGAAAAGAAAAAATATTACAATGCCAAACTTGATGAGAGTAAAAATAATAGCAAACAGATGTGGAAAACTTTGAAAAACATTGTTTCTCCTATTACAATTATATACATTATCTAAAATGAAGTTCGACGATGGGGTAATAACAAATGAAAAAATAATAGCAGAATAGAAAGTGTCAACGACATTATAAGATCAATTATTGCCGGGGATCCCAACCAATCTCGCATTAACTCAGATTATAATGCAACATTCAGTGAGTTTAGACCAATAAACATTAATTGTCTCAAGAAGATTATATCGAAAATTAAATCAGGTCAACATAAGAGTGAGATTTTGTCTGAAAGTGTGTTTAATGAATGTTTTGATATCATTGGAACAAGAATATTATTCGTGATGAATTACTGTTTAAAATATGGTGAATTTTCAACAAAACCGAAGAGCTCTACCATAACTCCTGTTTCGAAAGTTAAGAGTTCTGAGTTGTACACCAATAAGCGGCCAATAAATGTTCTGCCAGATGTTGAAAAAGTTTTTGAAGAAATTATGTACGAACAGATCATCGAATTTATTGAGGGAAATGAAGTTTTAACCAAATTTCAAGCTGAATTCAGTAAGAAACACTCAACTGAAACGGCAATACAAATGGTTTTAGAGGACTGAAGGAGATGTATGGACAATAGGAAACATACAGTAATAGTGTTTTTGAACTTCAAAAGGGCGTTTGAGACTATTGACAAATATAAATTACTTACAAAATTGTATCACTTCGGATTTAAAGGATCTGTATTAAAAATTCTACAAAACCACTTAATTGACAGAAGTCCAAAACCTAAATTCGATCTACATTATCAAGGTCAAAAAATATATCTGTTCGTATACCACAAGGTAGTAAACTAGGTCCACCACTATGTATTTTAAACATTAATGATATTTGTAATATTTTAGATTATTTTAAAATTCAGATATTTGCAGATTATACACTAATATATATATCAGATGAAAATATAGATACTGCTTTGAAAATGCTAAATTCTGACTTCGCAAGAATCATAAATGTAAATAAACTAAAATTAAATACTTAGAATAGGGAAAAACCTAAATGAAAATACTATCACAGTTAGGATAAATAGTGAAATAATTGAAAATGTTCAATCAATTAAATATTTAGGTATATATATTGATAGTGAAATACAGTTTGAGGATCACTATGAATACATTATGTGGTCTAATTTTTTAGGTCTCATAAATACCTAAAAATCTTATATGTAAAGTTTTTTCGTTCCTGTCAACACTTTCTATCGAATCCCATAAAACACGTTTTCTTATTCTTTGTTATCAAATAGAAAGGTTTTCTCACAAAAATTGGTGTACCCATTTTATTCGTCCATGTTTTAAATACCCCCTTGAACAACTTGCAGCTATAAAATCAGACTTTACAATTATTTCCCAAACTAGGGGTATTTTCATCTAACATGATTAGACCAAAAACCATTTGTATTGCCGCTCCACCGATACTCTTAGTTGTACTGTCGAGCATGTAACCAAGAATCATAGAATTCAACTCTTATACATAGTAGGCAGTAAGCGTAGGTCTGACGTACCATATAGTGACTAATTTCAATTTTCCTTTCCTGTACCATTTTTCTGAAAAATCGTTGGATATAGAACAAAGTTATTTTTGCAATTATCAAGGGTTAGATGCATGTCTTGTGAGTAATATGGATGGTTTGATTGTGTTCGCTTATTTTTGTTCCAGGTACTAGCAGTACGTCATTATTTACGCAACCATCAACGAGTCAGAATCATCATGGACCCCACAGAGCTTTGCATATGTGCGCGTTCCAACTGGGCTTGTATGCACTTGGTCTCCATAACTGCGTTAGCCCCAATTGGTTGAGTAGGACTTATTCATCACACGTGTCGTGGATAACAGGTAAAATATTATTGAAATATGTTTTGGCCAATGTTTCGTATCAGAACAAAGTTCTTTAAATGCAATTCCATAAGTCTGACCCGTGGTATACCTGTATTAAATATCATACGTTTTGAGTTATATATATATATATATATATATATATATATATATATATATATATATATATATATATACAGTAATGGACAAAAGTATATCGACAAATATGAATATTTACCTAAATACCTTTAGAAAAGGAATTCATACTTCATTGCTCCATAAACAAATGCGTTATTAGTAGAAAAACTAAATTCCTTGTTTTTACATTATCTGCAATGAACAATACAAGTCTGAATATAAGCACTTTTTTATGAGGGACAGTGACGAATCCAAGTTCAATATGTTTGGATCAGATGGTGTTCATTACATTAGACGTCCTAGTGGAGAACCAAGTACACTTTGCCCACTGTCAAACATGGAGGCGGGTGTGTTATGGTTTGGGGGTGCTTATCGGGGTTTGGGAGGGGACCTTTACATAGAATAGATGGCATTATGGATAAATTTGTATACACAGACATACTAAAGCATGTCATGTTACCCTATATGGAAGACAATATGCCCCTAATATCAATCTTCCAGCAAGATAATGACCCGAAGCACACTTCAAATCTCGCAAAGAAATTCTTTCTGGATGAAAAAATACCAGTTCTCAAATGGCCTTCACAGCCTCCCGATATAAACCCCATTGAAAATCTATGGGAATACTTAGATAAGCAAATACGAGATAAAAATTATTCAAACAAGGATGAATTTATTTATGTATAAGTGAGTATTATGCTATAACGAATTACGTATACAGGTTGGTGTATTAATAAAACAAGTTAAAAAAGAAATACACAGTATTAATTTGTCTGTATACTTTTGCCCATTACTGTATATATAGTGGCCAGTATACTGAATGTCCCATAAGTAATGGTAAATAATTTAACAGCAGATTCCTCTCAAAGAAATATTGAGATTAAGATAAATTTTAGTCCGAAAGTCAAAGGCAACCAAGATACAGGGTGATAAACTAATTGTCATTTTTTTGAATTTCGGTAATGAATTTAGCATTTGGTATTCGTTTTTAACGAAATTTGTGGGTTGGTGGTATGTTGATTTTTTTATATAGCAAATCAAAAAATTTACCTTTTTTCAAATTATCTTAAAGAGGGCGCACCGGCAAAAGTTTTTTTTGAATTTCGTAACTTTTTTACGCTTGGTATAATTCAATTTTTTATTTAAAATATGCATTGTGCAATCATGTTTGCTTAAAAAATGTATACTTTAAAAATTTCGCTTTGATTCACCCTTGTCCAGATATTTTTATTTTAGTTAAAAAAAAAAGAAAATTTGATAAAAGGTAAATTTTTACCGATGTTTGAGTCGCTGCATTTTCCTTTTTATCTCGATACCGTTTCCTCACATAGGACAAGCAATGGAGATTGGCGCAGCGGCTATCTCCTTCCTAATCGACACATGGGAGGGCCACCTAACTCCACCGGAGGCCGCCAGTATAGCAGATCGCGCCTCTCGTGGCTGCGACCCAAACATGGTTCGCGCCGCAGCGGAGCTGGCCTTGTCATGTCTGCCACACGCAGCAGCCCTCAACCCGAATGAGATCCAGCGCGCCATACTACAGTGCAAAGAGCAGAGCGACGAGATGCTCGAACACGCATGTCTCACTGTGGAGAATGCCGCTAAAGGAGGCGGTGTATATCCGGAGGTGTTGTTCCAGGTGAGATTAGGGTTATACATATACGAAAAAACGTTGAAGGTTTAATAATTCTGGAAAAATCAGTTCCGGAGCTGCTTTCCAGCCGATTGGTTTGTGAACTCAATCGAGCATTTGCACAGATTGTCAGGAAAGTTGGAACCACTGAGCATCTTTGCACTGTTCTGATAGAAATATTCTCGGCACAATCTTCTACGATTCTTTTGGAAATCTGTGTGGCTGGAATTCGAAGATCTTCATGGGACAAACGTTTAATGTAGCGATCCAAAACATAATCGTTTTTTTTTTCGGTCTTCCGCACCTGTGCCGCGTTGCTGTTGATCCGTATTCTTGATATTTAATAATTTTCGAAATCGTCCATTTGTTCATTTTTAATCCTTGAGAAATGTCAACATTTCTGACACCACTTCTAAATAATTCAGTTACTTTGACTCTTAAATCTTTTGAACATTCTTTTACTTTTTCCATTCTCACTGATAATATTTACCGCACGCAATATCATAGTATCGCAGGACGAATAAATACGGCAAAACTGAAATGTCTCCATACCTTTGTCGTTACAAAAACTGTGGTATTTAAAAAAAAACGCGTGTTTGAATATTTGTTTCCAAACTTTTGTCCTCTACTGTAGTGCCACAAAGTTCCAAGTACAACTGCAGCGTTTCCCAAAACAGCAAAAATAACGTGTAAAAATGATTTAAAAGCTGGCATCGGAGAGTAATTTTATTGTAAAATACCTATACAAAGATATGATTTTCCCTATAAAAACACATATTATCGAATTACAAACCTTAAAATTGATTTTTCTAAAAATATTGAAATTGTCGCTTGAAACCCTACGGTTCTCGGCCCTCTTAGTATTGCCGTTTATAATTCTTAGATACTTGAGTAGTATAGTATTTTTCGTACACATCACATATATGTTAATTGTTCAACTTTCAGGTGGCGAAATATTGGTTTGAGCTGTACATTCGCAACACTCCCGGTGGCGAGCAGTTGCTCGATGGCGAACTATCTGTTATGCACGAACCCCTGGTGGACGCCCACGGAGCACTGGTGGCGCTCATCGAACAGCCCGGCGTGCCCCAGGACCCTGCTGCTGCCGTTGCACAGGCTGCCCAGCAGGTGGTTGTCACAACGGCGCCTCCTTACACGGTCGGTATCGCAATAATATAAATTACATTAACTATAAATAAACTGGGTAATTTTTTATACTGAGTATACCGCGCATTTATAGAAGTATTCTGAGCCATCTATAGTCCTCCGTTGTGCAACACCATGTAAAATCTCGGCAACAGTTCTCAGCGGTATACAATAGTCTGCTTGGCACATATACAACTTCTTAGAATTAATGATTATTTCTTACGTCTTAAGTCTGTTGAGAGATGACCCAAAATATCTGAATTCATAGTATAGATATAGGATTTTCTTGTATAAAGGCACCCATCAATAGGACCTCTTGTAACATAATTTTTGTTTTTAAACTACGGTTGATTGACCGTGTAACAGGTACAGTCCTCAGTTCTGTACATATCACTATGGAGTTGACAAACGCGTCATGTGAGACTTTTTGATGACACTGTTATTGACACTATAACTGCGTTAAATATGGTCTCGTGTGCATACGTACGAGTAACTTTTGTCCTGAAAAACTAAAAATGCTTCGAAGTACAATACGTAAAATCGTCAGATTTCTCTGAATTACTGTAAAAGTTTAATATGCGATTTCTTCAAAATGCTTAATTCCTTTTTTTCTTAAAAATGTCGAATCCAAGATGCATCAATGCGTCCGTAGCGAATTTTACTATAACAATACTATTTCTTCCAACAGCACACCGCAGCGCCTCCAGTGGGCATGTACGTAAGTCACTACAACTTCGTGGCGGCAGCAGCCGCGGCAGCCGCCGTCGCGTCACCCCACCACCCGGCACATCACCCAGCAGCGGTGGCCGCTTCACCACTTGGCTACGGGGGCCCTCTACACCCCCTGCCGCCCCCGGGAGCAGCCGTACCGCCTCCTCCGCCCCCGGCGCATGTGCAGATGTATCAGTTCACGTATCCACCACCAGCGCCGCCTCCGCAAGCGCAGGGTGGTGTGGTCGCAGCACCCGGTGGACCGCCGCCAGGCACGCCGTTTCAACCGCCACCACCGACCTCCTACACGACGAATATGCCGCCTCCGCCCCCGCAACAGGTAAATGAATGTTTCTACCGTAAGTTATCGATTTATCTTGTGTAGGGAACGACTGATGCCGATATGCACAAGGGTTGGCCTAATTTGCCGATATACAGTAGCGGACAAAATATTTGAAACAAATATTAACATTATTATGAACTATTCCATATACCTAAATTAAAATTGCGAAGGAACAGATAATATAAATATTAAAGTCTACCTTTGGCTCCTGAACTAATACAAGGTTTATCTTATCAAAATTCAAATTCTCTGAAAATAAAACACCCTTTTTTTAAATACCACAATTTTTGTAACTACAAAAGTATGGAAACATTTCACTTTTGCCGTATTTATTCGTTCTGCGATACTCTGATATTGCGTGCGGTAAATATTAACATCAGTGAGAATGGCAAAAGTAAAAGGATTTGTAAAAGATTTAAGAGACAAAGTGATTGAATTATTTAGAAGTGGTGTCAGAAATGTTGACATTTCTCAAAGATTAAAAATGAAAAAGGGACGATTTCGAAAATTATTAGTAAATATCAAGAATACGTATCAACAGCAACGTGGACCAGGTGCGGAAGACCGAAAAAAAAAACGATTATGTTTTGGATCGCTACATTAAACGTTTGTCCCATGAAGATCCTCGAATGCCAGCCACACAGATTTTCAAAAGAATCGTAGAAGATTGTGCCGAGAATCTTTCTGTCAGAGCAGTGCAAAGACGCTTGGTAGATTTTGGGCTTTTTGGTAGGCGTCCATTTCAAAAGCCTCTCATTTAAAAAAAAAATCGTATTGCTCTGGCTGAATTTGCTGAACCTCATCTAACTTGGACAGAAAAACAATGGAATACAGTTTTATGGAGCGATGAAAGCAAATTTAACTTGTTTAGATCTAACGATACGGCATATGTGAGACGTCCAATACAAAAAAAAATTGGACAAAAAGTATCAGTTGCTAACATTTAAGCACGGTGGAGGCAACATCATGGTTTTGAGGTCTTTTTCTAGTTCTGGAACGGGTCCAATTGTTAAAATTGTTGGGAAAATGGATCAAAAACTTTACTAAGATAATCTTAGCGAACACATGCTCCTTTTTGCTGAAGAAGAAATGTGTTTCAAAACACATTCCAGCAAGATAATGACCTCAAGCATATCTCAAAATTCTTAAAGGACTAGTTAAGAATAAAAAATGTTAATGTTCTTACATGGCCTTGGCAACCCCGGACCTAAACCCCATAGAACATCTCTGGGAGCATGTTGAAAGACAACTGACAAGAAAAACTTTTAAAAATAGGAAAGATTTGTTTGATTATGTAAAAAATATTCGGCAAAATATCCCAGCAGACGTCTGTAAAAAATTGGTGTCTTCTATGAGCAGCAGATTTCAGGCAGTGTTGAATGCCAAAGGCTATATGCTACCGAATATATGTTAAACAGTGGATTTTAAATCTTTTTGTAGAGTTATTGTATTTAATTTTGTAATAAAAAATATGTTTCCATACTTTTGTCGTCTCATTTTTGGTCATAAAATAATATGATGGTATTTTAATGCTATAGTCTACAAACCGAAATTATCATTTGTATCCTCCAGACTGTAAGCAAACCATATGAGAAAGAAAATAGTCCATAAATTTTAAGTTGCGTGAAAAACTATGTGAGGCATTGGTCATATCTATACTAAATTATTGTAATGTCGTATACTATACTTGTTTAGACAATTACACTAAAAACGTTATTCAAGTTATTCAAAGCAATTGCATACGTTTCATCTTTGGCTTACGTAAATTTGATCATGTATCAGCGAAATATCCCGTTCTAAACTGGTTAAAAATTAATTACATGGTCGAGTATCACTATTCTGTTTTTGTTCACAAATTGCTGCTCACGTCTAAACCCTCTTACTTGAGGGAAAAAATTTCATTTGATAATGATGTTCACTGTAGAACTCTCAGAGAAAATAATATTAGAATACCCCAGCATACGTCTACACTTTTTAAACGCAGTTTTCCTTACAATGTTGCTATTATTTATAATGACCTTCCTAAAGTATATAAAGAATTTTCATTATCTGTCTTTTGACAAAACGTTAAAACATTATTACTCAACCCTTTAAACATATAATTTACGTAATCATTTATTTCTTTTTTCCGTGTTTAATTCAGGTTAATAATTTTTTGGTGTACTTGAGTTTCTAAAGTATGCCTTTTTCTTTTTTTAATTTTTACTTTCGATGTAATGAAACAAATCTGTTCGTGGATAGTGTATACTTTTGAACATCTGCTAGCGACTATATGCTTAAGTGTAAGAGTAGCAGCATGTTAAACTTCGCCATGTAAGTCTGACATTTGGCTATACTACAATGTAATTGTGGATAAATAAAGACGTCTATTATTTTCATTATTATTATTATTATTATTTAGAAAGAATAAGATTCTGCGAAGAAAACATAAATCAGATAATACCCTCCTCTTAGCAAGTGACATGATTTTGAAATGTTCCATTACCAAGCTATAATGATACTCGCCTTATAAGCCAGAATTCGCAACAACTTATGTTGGACAGACTCAATTCTCCTTATGTGAACTTCGTACTGCGGATTCCAAATAATAAACGCGAAAGAGAGATTACTATGTATAAACGCATAATATAGTAACAGGGCTGTTGAAGTGTCTACAGTGTCTTCTAATAAATCATATTCGTTTTATTTATTGGTTGATACTAAATAAATTTGACACTTTGCATTTTTCATTTCAGGTGGTGTTCACTAGTGCCAGTTCCCATCAGTACGCGGCAGCCGTAGCAGCGGCCGTCGGCCAGTCCGCTCAGCCGTCTCCGTTCGGCGGTCCCCCGCCACCGCAGCAGCCGCCTCCACAACAGGCGCCGCCCCCACCGCAATATTACGCGCCGGCGGCCGTCACGATCGCGCAGGGCCTATGCGCTCAACCGCCTCCGCAACCGCAGCCGCCGCAGGCGCATATCTACGCTGCGCCGCCACCGCCGCCGTCAGGTGAATATCCTCAGCATTTAATAATCCTTAGTTGTGCCAAATGATTTTACACTACTGTTATTGACATACAAACACACCATAGCGACAGCGTGTTTTCTATTGTCGTTTGGCATAATTTTCTATAAAGGGTGATTAAGAAATAGCGTTTAATTAATTAATGAATGAATTTACAATATACCGTAAATGAAATCTAAGGGTCAGCCAATGCAAAACAGCTGTCTGGTGGCGTGTAAATTCAGGCCCTAGCACAATAAAGCGGAGAGTCGGAGGGGTTTAGAGCGCCAGTGACTTAAGATGGATTAAGCCACAAATCTCCGAGGTGTTAATCGGAACTTGTTTTGCCTGACCACCAACACAAAAGAGCATAATTTCTTAAAAAAATGATACAATGTCACTTTTCAAGTTAGGTAATACGGGTGCCGTAGTACCGTCCATCTGGCAACGTCGCGACTTATCTCCTCAATACCTCAATGCACGATGCGTCAGACGTGGCAGGACGCAAGTCAGATACTTATTGATTATTAATGATGTGTGAAATATATCTAATAGGTGCATAGAATTACCAGGGTCGGGAGTGTATTAATATACCAACAAAAAAAATTGTGATACGCCCTTACTTTTCTCTACAACCCCCCCACCCCAATTTTTTCCCCAAAAGATTTTTTCAGAGATGATCACGATCCTCTGAAACGTCAAAATACGAAGTTTGAGCTACAACGCTTTTTCGTCCTTCGCAGAGTAGTAACCTTCGAGGGAAATCTGGAAAGATAGAAGTAGACGGCGCTAGTTAGATTATGGGTCATGTCTGAGGGTATAAACTGATTAGCTGTTCTCGTAAATAGTTGTCTACGTGATGAAGTATCTTGAAAACAGGTTACTTTGCTATCAAATTTGAATTTTTCTACTTTTGACAGTTTAACTTCCAACCATATTATAGCCGCCTAGCGAGAGCAACATTGGTACTTTGCTGCCATTGTGTACATATAGTACAAATACAAACAGCATATGCAGTACTTACTAGGCATCGACCGATATCGATATTTAATAAGCCGATATAGGCCGGCCGATATAAAATGAGTTGTTACTGTCGAATTAAAGATACGATACTAAGAAAAACATTCACTTTATTTAAATAAATTAAAGTAACATTGATCTCTCACATATATTTATAAAAACGAATCGTAACAGCCATTAAATTTTTGGCAGAAGATGAAAAATAAGTAAATGCAAAAAATACTATAGAGGACTGAAGCTTTAAGAGCTATATAAATTAAAATATTTAATATTTAAAATCGATCGGGATTGTGGAGCGTGTCGTTTTGGACACATAGAAGACAGTCACACCTAAGTGTGTAAAGTCATAGTCTATGAAAAACCTGCGACCAAAGCCAATAATGGAAACTTGGTACCTCCACCTTGACAACGCTCCAACTCACCGCGTCAAAGCCTGCACCTGGTATTTGACCACTACTGGACTGAAACTTATTGAGCATCCTGCTTACAGTCCAGATCTTGCTCCCTGGGACTTTGCACAGTTTCCGCATGTGAAAATGAAGCTAAAAGGAAAACGGTTTTCTAGCGATGAGGACCTTCTGAGTTCTTGGGATAACGAGTGTACCGCACATCCGGGTGAAACTTGGCAGAGCTGGCTTAAGAACTGGTTTTGGCGGATGGAGAAGTATTGGAAATTACTTTGACCGAAGTCAATTAATAAAGCTGTATTGCAAAACTTTTATAGTACCCTTTGTACTTTGAATTTCGAAACATTCTAAGCGGCATTTTGTTGATTACCCAAATACGCAACTTTGCCCCCATGTAAGCAACTTCGTACCTCTTACAGTTACCGAGATCCTAGTGGTGAGGGTCGAATTTGAAACACCATGTATATATGGTGAAATTTGGTGCATTTTAAGTCCCCTATCACTCACTGGAAGTAGTACGTAGAATTACCAGTAACCCTGCATAATTAATAACGTTTAGTTAATCCAGCAACTGACGACTGCTCTTTTCTTTCTCTCATTAGATTTTGGTTGTCTGTTTGCAGCAGGCTCGTTCCTGAGCCCGCCTCCGCCAAACCCCGCCCAACCAATGGTGGCCGTCTCGACCGCAGGCGCCGCCTCTCCAGCTGCGGCGGCAGCCGCGGCGGCCGCCGCTTGCGCGCAACAGGCTGCAATGGCAGCGGCTGCTGCCGCCTCCGTCCGTCCGCACCGCCCCCATCAATTCAACCAGGCGCAGCTCAGGTATCTGCTCACCGCTTATCGTGTGGGCATGCTAGCATTGGAGACGCTCGCTAGGAGGGTGCATGATGACAGGCCGCAAGCGAAGTACGCCAGGAACCCGCCGTATGGGGAAGATGTCAAGTGGTTGCTGAGGATATCCAAGCATTTGGGTGAGTCATCTATGCGTTTTTAGACAAACACAATTATACAGGTTGTTTCAGTTTATTGTTGCATAACTTTAAGATTCGATAGAACTTTTAAAATGAATGCATAAAGTCTATATAAACATGGGTCGAAAAATGCGTATCTTCCGAAATACAGGGTGTTTAAATTTACTTTCTAAAACATATTTTTTTAAATATTTCGAACAATATTTGATGTATAACAGTGAAAATTGGTATGCAAGGGTTTTTTGGTACGACAAAACGAACCATGGGCATAGTTTTACTGTAGCCGCTACAGGGCGCTCTCTACTGTACCTGTAGTGTATTAAAATGACCGAAAAATTTTTCTTAGTGCAATTTTTTGCTTTTTGAATAAAAAACTGATTCTTCGCACTTTTCAATATAAAAAAGTTCTCGTGTGAATTTTCGTGATAGTTAGCCGTTTTTGAGATATTTCGATTTTTAAGGTTCGATGCATTTTTAATTAGTTATGATAAAATAACGTTAAAAAGTCAGTATCTCGATAATTTTTAGAAGTAGGCTGTGCCTGCAAATATTTTTGAAATTGAAAGCAGAATAAGGTTAAACGTCAATTAGTTGACAGATAGTTTTGTTGTCTGTTGAAACCTGAAACGTTTTTTTGCAATTGTGAATGCACGAAATTTAGTTTCTTTTACCTGTCCTTTTTTTGTAAGTTTTATAAAAATGCCAGTTTTATTCTCCAATCAAGAGTTAGCGGATATTCATTTTGTGTATGGCTTTGTAAATGGAAACGCAGTAGAAGCAGCCAGAGAATACGCACGAAGATTTCCAAACAGACGACATCCAACTCGCTCAGTATTTGTAAGAGTGCATCGCCAAATAATTGAAAATGGTTTTGGAAATCTCCAAAGGGATCAAAACATAAATGTTCGTCAGCGCAGATTTACCCGTATGATGCTGCGTGAGTTTGATAGAGATCCGACCACAAGTGTTAGGAGAGTTTCTGGTGCCTTGGGAATTTCAGCAAGCCATGTTCCACCGTGTTCTTAGAAATGACCATAGACGTCCTTACCATTTGCAACCTGTGCAAGGACTACAGCCAGGGGACGGAGAACGAAGAATCACATTTTGTCAGTGGATTCTTGATAGAACTGATAATAATAAGGAGTTTTTAAGTAACACTTTATGGACCGATGAGTCATGCTTCACTAGACGTGGAGTGGTAAATTTTCATAATCAACATATTTGGTCGCATGAAAATCCGCATGAAGTTCGGGAAAGAAATTTTCAGCATGAATTTAGTGTGAACGTGTGGATTGGTATCTACCGTAATCGTCTATTTTGACCCTACCTTTTGCCTGCAAGGTTAAATGCTGCGACCTTCTTGGAATTTTTAAAAGTATGTGGGATGATGTTAAGAAGATTGACCTGGTTACAGCTTGATGGTTGTCCAGCTCATTATTCGAGAATAGTTAGAAACTGGCTGGACGAAAATTATGGATCGGCCAGGCGACTGGTCCTCCACGATCCCCTGACCTAAATCCATTAGATTTCTTTGTGTGGGGATTTTTAAAAGAAAAAGTGTACCAGACTCCCGTAACCACAAGAGATATGCTAATAGACAGAATCAGGAATGCATGTGGTGAAATAAGGCCTTATTTGAATAATGCTATACCACGTTCGATCATTCGTAGATTTGAATTGTGTATTGAACAATTGGGTTTACATTTCGAGCAACTACTTTAAATTTTGTATGTTTGTCCTAACTATCCAATAGCATTTTAGTTGTAAATAATTAATTTAATTTGTTAAAAATAATATCGGAAAATTAAACAAATTAATATTCTGTTTTTTTGTGTTTATTTGGAGTTAGGAATTATTGCTGTGTTTAAAAACACAATCTAAACGATCATCTTAATTACTTGTAATGCCCAAATCGAAAATTAAAAAAAAAATCATTTTCCCATAAATAATTAAAAATGCATCGAACCTTAAAAATCGAAATATCTCCAAAACGGCTAACTATAACGAAAACTCACAGGAGAGCTCTTTTATGCAGAAAAGTGCGAAGAATCAGTTTTTTTGTTCAAAAAGCAAAAAATTGCACTAAAAAAAATTATCGGTCATTTTAATACACTACAGGTACAGTAGAAAGCGCCCTCTAGCGGCTACAGTAAAACTATGTCCATGGTTCGTTTTGTCGTACCAAAAAACCCTTGTATACCAATTTTCACTGTTATTCATCAAATATTGTTCAAAATATTTAAAAAAAACTATTTTAAAAAGTAAATTTAAACACCCTGTATTTCGAAAGCCACGCATTTTTCGACCCATGTTTATATAGACTTTATGCATTAATTTTAAAAGTTCTATCGAATCTTAAAGTTATGCAACAATAAACTGAAACACCCTGTACAATTGAGAAAGATTTGTTTCAATTTGAAATAATTCATTGTTGCAATGTTATTCATAACTGTGGACGTTCTTTCTTTGCACACTTCCATGGACTCGTGGTCTCACGGACCAATACATTTCAAGGTTAAATTAATATCAAAATTCTTTCAAATTTTCTTATATTGGAATGTTATTTCAATCCCCGAATCCCGATCTTCTATTTTAATTTCAGGTACGCAATACCTCCACCACTTCTGCGTATGCGCCGTCAACTCGATCGTCTCCCCGTTTGTGTTACACGACGTGGCGATCGAAGCTGCGCAATACTTGTCCAGGAACAATCCGCAGCTGCTCATGCAGCATTTGCGCACCGCGCTGACACCGCTGGTGCAAAAGTGCCAGCAGATGTACATACAGTGTATGCACCAGAAGTTGTATCATCTCACCGCTGCTGATTACGAAGACTTCGTTAGTATAGTGTGTGCGGCCAGGGCTGCCTTCCAGATTACCCCAGACGGATCGGCGCAGTTCAAAGAGTGGCTGCAGTCAATTAGAAGGTAGGCTGATGTCATTTACAGGATCCTCGCGAGAATAAACATGTTCTGGCACTGATTTTGCTGTGATTAGGGTTCGGCATGGGAAACAGTTTTCGGATTACCGTTTGAACGTTTCTCGTCTAAACGTTTAAAGCTCAATTCCACCAAGACTAGAGATGGTAGGTTAAACTCGTAGAGTGGTAGGAAGCCAAAAGTGAATGAATTTCAGGTTCTGCGCATGTGGCATCTTTCCCTCTCTCTCTTGCTGTCATCATAACTAAACCACGAAGCAGATGTTCTACGCGCACTAGATTTCCGAGAGCCACGCCCTCCTTAGCGACAGAATTCGCTTGCTACGAATGCGTGTATCTCTTGCGCAGCTTAACCGCCTATCTCTAGTCTTCCTGCTCGGTTCATACAGGGTTATCCAAATTAAGTGTCCACCATTAGTAACTTTGTTATTAGTGAAAATACAAAGTTGTTTGAATTAGCAAACTAGTAGCATTTTTAACGCTGGTAAAAATGAGAAATAAAAAAAAACAATTGAGAGTCGTTATTTTGATTTTTTTCAGTAAAATAACATTTTTTTAAATTGAAACCCCTGTATATTATATTTTTTTCTGTTAAAGCATCAAATTTTAAACAAAAAAGTTCATAATGACTTTTCCGCTAAAGTCAAAAATAAAGTCAAAATAACGATAAATATTTTTAATTATTTGCAGTATTATAATATTAAGACGGCTATGAAAACAACATGGCGTGCGCGATTTGACAGCATTAAGATAAGCGACAAATTGTTAAACTGGACATACTCGCAACTAGAAGGCTTTGGAAAACAATGATAAAATCAAATAATGTCAAACATTAGTGTAAATACTTGTTTATAAGCTTTATTGTGTCATTAATTTAAAGAAAAGTGTGATATGTTAGAATGCTATTTAGTGTGCAGAAAATCCTCCTTGAGAGCAAGAGAATACTACAGTGAATTATATCCCGCTCGCATTCAACCGTATGAACGATATTTTCTGAGACTTTATCGAAAATTTAGGGGCAACGAAAATGTTTTTGCTAAAACAAGGGCAAAAAAAGAATTCATAATAAGCGAGGCCACGGAAATTGCAGTTATTGGATATTTTGAAGCTTATCGTGAGAATTCAATAGCAGATATTCTCAAGGACTCTAATTTCAGTTATGGTACTGTTCAAAGGATTTTAAAAAAATACAAATTTATTCCGTATAAGTACCGACCAGTTCAAACGCTTTTGGCAGGGGATCCAGAGAGAAGACTTGTTTTTTGCCATTGGTATCTTAGCTTCTGTCGCCAAAATGTAAATAACTTTCGTTACCTTTTATGGACAGATGAATCAAATTTTTCAAATTCTGGAATGTTTAATAGAAAAAACCACCATTATTGGTCAAGAGAAAATCTTTTGTTAGTACATCCAAGAGGCCCACAAGTCCGTTTCAGTTTCAACGTTTGGTGCGGTATAATTGGTTCAAAAATTGTTGGCCCGTTCTTTTATGAGGGAACCCTAACTGGTGAAAGATATGTGGAATTTATGTCAGAAATTCTGACTAATTTCTTAGACGAATTGGATCTTATAAGTAGACATCATCTGCATTTTCAGCAAGATGGCGCACCTGCCCACAACTCCAGAGGTACTTATCATTTTCTAAGTACTACTTTTAATGATCAGTGGATAGGAACAAATGGCCCAATACAGTGTCCTCCCAGATCACCAGATCTAAACCCACTTGATTACTTCTTGTGGGGTTACTTAAAGAACCAAATTTACAAGCGAAGGTACGATAACCTTGACGCGTTAAAGACTGCAGTTAGGGAAAAGATAACCCAGATAGATGGTAGGACCATACTTAAGACAGTTCGAGCAGTTGAAAAACGTGCCCAAAAATGTATTGAAGAACAAGGTGGTGTTTTCGAGCATCTTCTTTAAAAAAAATTGTTATTGTATTTTGTAAGATTATAAGTTGATGTTGAAAATAAAGTTTGTCGATACAATTTAATTGTTTCAGATTGGAGGCCATAACTTCAACAATTTGTAACCTAGGAGAAAAGTTATTGTAAGCTTTTTTGTTTAAAATTTGATGCTTTAACAGAAAAAAATATAATATACAGGGGTTTCCATTTAAAAAAATGTTATTTTACTGAAAAAAATCAAAATAACGACTCTCAATTGTTTTTTTTTATTTCTCATTTTTACCAGCGTTAAAAATGCTACTAGTTTGCTAATTCAAACAACTTTGTATTTTCACTAATAACAAAGTTACTAATGGTGGACACTTAATTTGGATAACCCTGTATAAGCGGTTGTTACGTTGAACGTTTATTTAAAAAAGTTTAAACGCCTAATCGTATTTCACTATTAAGCACCCTCAGATTAAACATTGAATAGCTTAAAAAAGTTATGAATACTGCATCAGGAGGTATATTAATAAAATATGTATTTCGGCAACAGTTCATTTTCCGACTGTAACTACTTAGAATATTTTTTGTACCAAATGTCGGGTTAATTAAGAACCTTAGTTGTGATGCTTGAGTTGAATTAATGATGTCCTTGTTCTACAGGGCACGTTCCTTTGTCACAACCCACGCACCGATTTGTGCTGTAATGTCATATTATATATCATAGTATCGAGTTTTCCAATAGGGACTTGACAACTTTGAACTTTCACTGTGAACGCACCTTTAAAACAATTACCGAACTGTCAATGTAGAAACATTCAGTAAAGAAAACATTTTCATCACGGTGAAGTATACGAACGACCAACGCTTACAAATAATTAAAATTTACTACCGAAATTCCGAGTCGGTGACTTTAAGAGCGATAACGCCAATTTTTGGTCGTAATCCTCGTCCCAGGAGACAAGCAGTCATAGTCTAGTAAAAAAATTGAGTCCATATATTCGCTGCTGGATGTGCCCGTGCCAGTACCAGTGAGACAAGGCGTTGGTCGAAGTGCCGAGAATATTGCTGCCGTTCAAGCTTCCGTCGCAAACGAACAGAACACGTCGATTACTCGGCGTTCTTAAGAATTGGTCATCGCTCAGACCACATTATGGCGAATTTTGCGAAGAGATCTTGGCCTGCACCCTTATAAGATCATGTTAACTCAAAAACCAAAGCCGTTCGATCACATGAACCGACGACGTTCTCGAATTGGGCTCTAGAAATGTTGCAAGAAAATGACCAATTTCATCGAAAAATAATCTTCAGGCGGCGCATTTTTGACTAAACGGCTTCGTCAACAAACAGAATATGCGTTATTGGTCATGTGAAAACCCTCATGTGCTTCAAGAAACACCACTTCATCCACAGAAAATAATTGTATGGCTTTGTTTTCATGCCGGTGGTCATTGGGCCGTTTTTTTTTTTCGTTGATGAAAATGAACGTCACGTTACAGTCAACGGAGATTGCTACAGAGACATGTTGCAACGTTATTTTTTTGGTCAATGGGATGGGCTAGACATTAATGATATGTGGTTTCAACAAAACGGTGCCACAAGCCAAACAGCGGGTGAAACAATCGACATATTGAAATCAAAATTCGGTGAACGTGTTATATCGAGAAATGGTCCTGTCGAATTCCTAGATCGTGTGATTTAACACCTCTAAACTTTTTTTTGTGGGGCTACCTTAAATCATTGGTCTATGCCAACAAGCTGGCGTCGTTAGAGGTGCTGAGAGCCAATATTGAACGAGATATAGCGGCCGTTTCTGTCGAAATGTGTGGCCGAGTCATTGAAAATTGGGTTCAACGAATCGATCGTTGCGAACGTGCCCCTGGTGGACATATGAACGAGGTCGACTTCTATACATAAATGCTTTGAGTATACTTCAATCCATTAATAAAATCTTCAAGATATCTCAAATGGTTTGCGTTTTATTTAAAAAGAAAATTGTCAAGTCCTTAATGGAAAACCCTTTATATCTGCAGAGGAAATGGAACCATCTGACGTAATTTGTTTAGTGTCCCTCAGTTATTTTTTGAATAAATCAAGCTAGCAACCTAGCCGCCACTTTGAACAATTTATTTATTTGGAACGGAAGGAGGTCGTGTGAAACATTTTGAAACGTTGTGGGTAGCTTATAGCCCTTGAGAATAATGTTCACTATCTTTGTAAATGGTCGACTGGCGGGCCGTAAAAGTTGAGCGTTATTCATCATCAAAACGTTACAGCAAAAAGTAGTTATATCAAGAGAAGACACTTCGCGGAATGCCTGTATAATGCCGTCGGCCCCATTGACCTTGGAGGTCATCTGCATTATAGTACTGGAGTACATCGTAAACTTTCTGTTACATAATCTCGTACTGATATGATGCGATAAAAATTGGTAGTAGAAATGTATAGCAAAATGCTTTCCCAATAATGCGGTGGTGTATATGAATTTTATTTATTTTAATTTAGGTCAAAGTCGTGCAAGAAAGACCTTTGGACGCAGATCAACACCGCCTTGCAGGCGAACGGCAAATGACAAAGGCAGGACGCCGCAGGCGAGTGCGACGCCGGCGCCCACCATCACCATCATCACCACCACCATCATATGTCCCATCCTCCACCCCAACCGGCTCCAGGAGGCGGCAACGTCGCTATGGAAACCGGCACCCCAACGACATCGGTCGAAAACATCGCTGTGGGCGGTGACAACTCGGCTGCTAGCGGCGGAGGTGGTGAGGTAGTCCGGGTTTGCAACACCGCCGCTTCGTTTGCGGTCCAGCCTCCGCCGCAGCCGGTCATGTACCACTTGGGACGGAGACAGTCTCAGCCTCATTGGTCCTATTATTTTCCAGAGGAGCCTGATCCGTCTCCGCCACTCAGTTGATTTCCTTGCGGCCATTGGGTGTTCTTTTGGTGAGATGATTGGTTGTATATGACACAAAAAATTGGCGCTGAAACCTATTCTGTTTCGAATGTTAAAATGAGGGATTTCTTTTCAGCTTGGGGCAGTAGTCTGTCATATTTAACCTCTGCAAGAGTTAGGTGTGACAGTTATATTTTGTTGCAAGTATCAACATACACGATAATTTTAAATACTTTCATTTCCTACCTGAATCGCATGTATCTGTTTAAACACATTTTCTTCTAATCGCAATTTAGTGGTTACATCTGACAAACCAACTTAAATCAACTTCAAGCTGGAAAGCTCCAAGATCTCATCAACTATTAATTTCGATTTTCGAATGACTAACAATAGGAAATTGTAAATATCTGTTGCCATCTGTATCCAGTTGCTCATATCAGTTCCACAGACGCGCTATGTGATGAAGAATATTTTGAAATTGCGATAAACAAACGTTTTAAGTACAGACCAATTTCACTAAAGATCTCATACATTTTCATTGACCATTTCACCACTTTCAGCGCTGTTGGGACACTAAGAGTTATCTTTTTTTAATAATTTTTGCTCTAACAGAGTCCTCAAATGGCGGCAGATATTTATCTCGCAAGTCATGAAAGAAATATACAAAATTCATTTTTCATTAATGCATTCGATTCAGTACTGGATTGGTATGGGGAAAAGTTTGTGAATTTTCCTGAAAATCTATACCTTAAAAACTAATCTTTTTGACGTTTCCACATTTTTTAATGCTAAACCTATATACAACTTAAAGGACTTGACGACCATACAGCTCAAAATGACTCGACAGCTTTGAGGCTGAAGAAATGGACATGACAAGTTTTTAGAAAATTTCACTGAAATATAATAATTCTGATTGTCGGATTTTATTTTAACATTAAACTAATGAAACCTGATTCTAATCTTGCATGATTTACGACTTCTGCATACTAGAACAACTTTGTAGGTGCCTTAGTCACAGTGTAAGTTTCAGCTAACCAATTTTCTGTTCAGCAAATATGTTACCACCATCTTCCTTAATAGCGATTCTGATCATCGAGGAATCCCAATCATACTATCAACTAAAATCACAAGCAATACATTCTTCTGGTATCAGAAAGAATAGAGGGCTGGAAAGCAAAGTTACATTGACCCCATTAAGGGTGGCGTTCGTCCATGTCGTCGTTTTTTTTTTATTAAACTCGGCACTAAATCCATAAACAGATTTTGTGTGATTCCCATATGACTGGGATATATTAATCTTAAGGTAATGTATAGAAACTCTGATGGATTCTCAGAATAATGAGCTACTTTTTTTGGGAGCAGTTCACGAATATATAAAAAGTATAAAAAAAGAACTATCTAAGTTCCTTTTGCATGACAGCTTTGTTAATAGTGTCGAGTTGTTTTCCAATAGTCTGTCATTACACATCAGAAGAGCTGTATGTATATTTCTTGTCTATCTCTTCTGTGTAATTACACGCTATTGTTTCCGTTTTAGTTAATTCAAACATTTTACACTAAAATGTTATTTAACGATGAATTCAACCTATTAAATAGAGGAGTGACATCTGAAAATCAGCTTATAAAATAAAAATCACAATCTGTCATCTTTACTTCCGAATTCTAGAAGTTGTCAAATATTAAGAAATCCAAAACAATTCAATCAGTGTTCTTCCTCTGTTTATTGGGATGATTTTGTTTTGTCATTTATGTGGGCAAAACGTTATTATCGTATGCATGAAAAACGATTTAGTTCTTAAAAAAAGAAGTGCTCAGGTACTCTACCATCTTTGCCTTCATGTAGTTAAATTATTGTAACAAGTAATTTAGTAGCCCAATTTATAATCTTATTTTCTATTTATTTCGTAAGTATCTTCTCTTAGTGGTTATGATCGTATTCAGTGTGCGTTTCTATGATGATATTCAACAATCTTTTTGACACTGAATAACCAACGGATATGGTAACATTATGGAATGCTTTTCAGACAATAGACAGCTTTGGCAGTCACAAACACTCCATACATAAACGTGAATGTTAACTTTAGTGCAACATTCCAACTAAATAATGCAAATGCAAGTGGTCTTGAGTGTGAAAATAATTTGCTAAAAGCTAAAACGCGTTACCTTTCAGCTTGGTCCAGGCACAAGGTAACATTTTGCAATTTTGTCGATAGGTTGAATTACCATTCCTAAACTTCTGAAGCATCATCTGTAATGGTTTTTGCACATCCTTGGAGTATATCATCATTTATCGAGTTGTTCAATACAAGATTTGGAAAGGCATATCTGATTTTAGGAAAAATTTACATTAATTTCAACTTAATCTTTGTTACAGTCTTTAAATTTTCTTCAGCATATGCAACTCCATTTCTGACGTAAGGTATAATAATAAATAATAAAAATAATTTGCATGTTATCCCTTGCAATACCTTACATTACTACCACTTCAGAACAAATACGTAATATATGTAAAGACGACATATTCATTTCAGTGGATACTTTATCGTAGTTGAAATAGTAAGAAAATAGTATACAAAATATTCAAATCGAAAAATTTGCCGAATAGAAGATGGAAGCATTTCACTGAAAAAAAAATAATCGATGAAAATTATGAGGTGTAACTTCGAGCTTATTGAGATTAATGTATCTTTTGACTAAAAGTACGGCTATATCATCTTTGAAAGGTACATACATCAGTTTACCCGAAGTATCTTTCTCCATTTCATTAAACCGTCTTTATTTATTTTGATATTTTTACAGTCCATAGACATTCAATTTTAAAATCATGTATGTATATGCTAAATAGTATTAAAAATCTTGAAATATATATATTTATGGATATATGGTATGGTTTTGCTGTATTGAATATATTCCATTTTGACTTTCTTTTTCAGTAGTATGTAAGTGCAAGCATCTCCTAGCTATAAGTGTTTTTTATGTGTTGATTAAATAAATTTTTTGTTTTCGGTCGTTTTATTACCGAGTGCACCCTATTTTCTGTGCACACTGACTTCGGTCAGGTTAATTTCTTGAATATAAACATTCGAATAATTTCCAAAGTTTTTGGAAATGGTCCTTATGAAAGAATTTTTTGAATCGTCCAAAGCTGTCCATGATCAAACAATGCTGTATGCACAAAACGTATATTATTGATGTGAAATACTAGCAGTGATTTATCATAATCAAACAGCTACGGCATTTTTCAGCTGCAACTTAAATTCTTTCATTTATATAAAGAACACAGCAATAATATTTTAGAAATGGACTTCGGTTTTTTAGGAGTACACAAGCAATAACATACTCATACAAAATCGTCACTATAATTTTTATCATTTCAATAGGCGGGGAATTGGGAAAAGTATTGAGCTACAGATATTGTTTTTTGTTTCATGATCTATTCAGACGAATAACTATTCCCTGCAATATAATCTGCCGCGATGTGATGAAAAACTTCTTGGGACCCTGTTTTTTCACTGAGGTTACTTTCTGATTTATCAGTAGGATATTTGTAACAACAAAAAATACTGTTTAGCTAATATTTGGTAGCATAGCCTTTAGCATTCAACACTGCCTGACATCTGCTGCTCATAGAAGACACGAATTTTTTACACACGTCTGTTGGGATATTTTGCCAAATATTTTTTACATAATCAAATAAATCGTTCCTATTTTCAAAACTTTTTCTTGTCAGTTGTCTTTTAACATGCTCCCAGAGATGTTCTATAGGGTTTAGGTCTGGGGATTGCGAAGGCCATGTGTAATAACATTGACATTTTTCAGTCTTAACCAGGCCTTTACGAATTTTGAGGTATGCTTGGGGTAATTATCTTGCTGGAATGTCCATTGTAAAGGCATTTCTTCTCCAGCAGAAAGGAGCACGTGTTCACTAAGAATATCTTTGTGAAGTTTTTTATCCATTTTCCCAACAGTGAAGAACTGGACCCGTTTCAGGACTAGAAAAACAGCCCTAAACCGTGATTTTGCCTCGACCATGCAACTGATACTTTTTGTCGAATCTTTTTCGTATTGGACGTCTCACATATGCCGTACCGTCAGATCCAAACAAGTTAAATTTGCTTTCATTGCTCCATAAAAGTGTCGCTTTGTTCATTTTTAATCTTTGAGAAATGTCAACATTTCTGACACCACTTCAGTTACTTTGTCTCTTAAATCTTTTGAAAATTCTTTTACTTTTGCCATTCTCACTGATGTTAATATTTACCGCAAGCAATATCAGAGTATCGTAGAACGAATAAAAACTGAAATATTTCCATACTTTTGTCGTTACAAAAACTGTGGTATTTAAAAAAAACGCGTGTTTCCATTTTCAGAGAATTTGAAAATTTATAAGAGAAACCTTGTACGGGAGCCAAAAGTAGACTTTAATTATTTATATTATCTGTTTCTTCACAATTTTAATTTAGGTATATGGAATAGTTCATAATGATGTTAATATTTGTTTCTAAACTTTTGTCCGCTGCTGTACATGTACAAAGATGAGTTACATCGAGCTTGACCCACGGAAATCAGACACATCCATCAACGACATAGTCTCTTTAGGTAAAAAGAGATGTATGTAGACCTATCATTTTTATTTTTGGTTACAAAATAGAAGTGACTGTTTCTGATGCGAAAACAAGAAGATTCCTAGAAGATTCAATTTCACATTTCGCTTAAAAATCAACTTAAGAGAAGGCGTTATGCAGTGGGTCAAAACAGTATTGACACACCGAATTTTTTTTCTTGAAATAAGACCAAAAATAAGACCAATCATATAACCACAAGAAAATGAGGCATGTTAGTCCAACGATAGGGGAAACGTTTTAGTCTTGGACTGCTTGTCGTGGAACGGCGTTGGTAAGCTAAGCCACATGGCAGGCTTCATGAATACAGACAAGTATGTTGACATTTTGCGCAGTTACAGCAGTACTGAAAAAATGGGAATCGGGGATGCACAACTCAAAACTCCACCACAATCCTCAGATGCCGTCCCTTTAAACATTTGACTAGACCTGAAAGCCCGAAAAAATAAATATTCTGCTAAACGACAGCTACGCAGGCATGAGATCAAATTGGATAAAAAGTACTAACTAAATAAATTTTATTAACACTTGTTTGTTTTTAGTGTGTAAATATGTTTTTCACTCTTGAATGTCATAATTCCTATTGTTATTCTATTTTTTTTATTTGCTTAGACCATCAAAAATGATTATTTGAATGTTAGTTTTCAAATAAATTGAGATTGAGATTCAAAGATGGGTGTGTCAATACTTTTTCGATCCACTGTATCTCCATGTTCTACTGACGCAAATCAAACTACACAGTGGAGCAAGTTCGTAAACATTCAAGGCCACGGCTCGCACTGTAATCAAAAATTACCGCGCACTTTTAGTAAACTTAAAATTACACTCTAACAAAACCCAATCAAAATTTGTTTAGTTCACCTCAAAATTAATCCGTGTACCAAGTCAAAAAGCCTAGGTGTTTCCTCTTAAACTAAACACTTCTGTTTTTCTTTGCTCTTCTCCTTTTTTACTTCTTTCCCCTTCTCCTTTCCTTGACATTGTCTGGTTTCTGGGCAACCAGGAGTGACAGATTCGACTAACGTACATTAGACAGTGACTAATGGGCAAAGGTCCTACGGACCGCCCAGACAAACAAATGACGAATAGTATCAAACCTATGTAGAAACTAAATGTCTACTATAAATTGATTTTCAGACATTTTGTTCTGCCTCTTTGATAAGCTTGCTTTTATAAAATTTGTACTTTTATTTGACAACAAAAACCGTAAATAATTCGATTATGACGAAGCAGCACTAAACCGTTTTTTCATTACAGATTTTTATTGAAATAACATTTTATTTGGATCAAATCTTACTTGATTTGATTAAAACGGCAAAACAGTTTAGCGTCGGTTCGATGATATTATTTTTTTAGATTTTTGTTGTTAAACACTTTCATGGTATTTACAAATTTTACAGAAGCAACCATAAGAATGCCATTTGAAAATCAACAACTGTGTAAAGTAGATTATGGATATTGATCATTGGAGACAACTACAGGTTTTAGGAGTTATATTTGCCTTATTATGCTGAAAGTTTTTGATCTTTGGATAGTCGAGGAATGTTATTGTTTTTACTTGGAGTTTTGTATCAAGATGAACAATGCAGCTTTCAATTTGGAAATTGTTTGAATGCCGGATGCTAACGAAAAAATTCTACATATTTACTGCACATTATTGTAATGAATTATATTTAAGGACATGTAAATTGTTGTGTTCAATATTTGCTTTTCCATGTTATACACTTAAAAAAATAAAGCCATTGTCTTGGATGAAAACACTACAGATAACTGATCACTACAGTCTAATTTTTCATCCTTCTCTCATTTCACGAACTGTTGTTAGTATCTATACATATATTTTTAGATAATTTTTACGTTACATATAAAATTTTTGTTGAGAAAATGAGATTATTTGGATTGTCTATTTTCATAGACTAGACTGTGATGGTCAGTTCAATGTAAAATTGTACATATTTATATAAAATCCACTTAGACTGTTGATGAACACCAAAAATATTTTCTTTTCCCGAGTCTTGTGAAAACTGCAACTGAAAGTTTAGTTTGGTTAGTAAAAAAAAAAAAAAATAGAGAAGCAGCAAAAAAAAGAGAAAATTCTGTTAAGTAACAACATGTGTTGATAATAGTATAGCAAATTTGTGTAAAACCGATTTTGCAATCTGTTTTGGTAATAAATCTGTTGCAATTTATAAATATGTAAACATAAAAGTGCTTTGAATTTAACAAATAAATGATTTTGTAAAAATTACATTTTCAGCTTTACCAGACTCTTCCAAATAGCATATTCCATGAAGACACATATCAAAATCTGTTCATTCTGCTCATATAGTATTTCTGGTGTTTATTGAAAATACCGTAATTCTTCCAAAAACAATGGCTTTTAGGAAAAAATGAAATGAAATTGTTTAACAGCCCATTTTGTGCAAGATGATCTCACTATTTATTACATTTTCTGTAGGCGTTCAGCAAAGATCTTCTTGGATGTCCGACATATTTTTCAGAAATCATTTTTCTAAATATACCGTTATAAAATGCTTATTTTGGATGTTTGTACATAACCAAATGACCTTTAAGACCAATTATTGATTTTCTATCAGCGAATTCAATCATGAAAATATGCAATTATACTATTACATAATATCAAATCTGTTTAGAAATTTTAACATTCTAAACATACATAAGATATATTAAAATACCTTAGTGTGAAAAATGAATTTGACTTCTTGATGCAAAACATAAACGAACGTATTGATATCAAATATTTCTTATCAGTCCTCAAAGCAACTATTTTGGTAAGCTCATACTTATTAGTCTTATTACATATAATGATAACTGTTATGTGATTAAGCAAACCAAAACTAACTTCAAAATTTCGTAGAAGCAGTTTGTGTCGATATACGTGCAATTTCTTAAATATGCGTTCAAAATAATCGCAAAATAAAGCTGTTTGAGTTGAATGTGTATTAGTCTGCATCTGCTCGAACAAATATTATAATCAGGTTTTTTGCATAATTTTATATTAAAAAATGGCGTCAAGTAGACTGACTGTATCTTCCACGCATATTCGAACCTGCCTCAACTTTCATTTTTCTAATAGAGAACTGAATTGAATTTTTTCGAGCGTAAAATTTCCAGCATAGTGACGTCTCACAAGTGCATAAAAGATTGGAGTATCATCGAAATATCATCACACGTAATGTTATGTATTATTTTTTTTTTTAAGGAGATCATGGTTTATTTGTCAGAAAATAAATTTAATAAGTTACGCATGTTTTTCTAAGAAGGCTCTGACTTTGACGTTAAATAATTCATTCAAAGTATTAATGAGTGGCAGGTACGTTTTCTCTCATTAAAATCATAAATCTGTTTGACATGCTAGCTCTGTACTTGCAGTCACACAGAAACGCCGACATTACCTCAGCAAGGTACTTGGAGGCGTACCCCGAACGACGGCAACCTCATAAAACCTAATTTAGAAAAATAGTACTTAATTTAACGAACAACCTAAAAGCGGATACAATATTGAAAATGAAAATCGCGACAGAAACATTTTCAAGCTGTCAATGAAATCCCTAGTGCATCAGTAAGAACTACAGATTGACGTCTCAAAATCAACAGTACAGAAAGTGTTAAATAAGAATAAGTATCATCCATACAAACCTAGAATAGTTCAAGGACTTAAAGACAGTGATTTTTGAAGGCGAATGCCAGTGGTATACTAGAAAGTCTAATGAAAATCCCGATTTTGTAAATCATGTCTTGTGGTCCGACGAGAGTAGATTTACGAATTGTAGAGTTTTTAATAAGCACAACACTCATCATTGGGCTGTGTAAAAAATTCTGAAACGTCAAAAAAACGAAGTTTGAGTGTTTTTTATTTTTTTTATCGCATGTTTTAGCCGTTACTGGAAAGTTTTTCAAAAACAACAAACTAGTAACATTGTTCCAAAAATTTCATCAAAATCCGAGCGGTACTTCTAAAGTTCAAGGATTAGAGGATAGACAGACCGACGGACATACAAATCGACGGAAATGAGTGACATCATTTTTCGTGATTTACATGTTATATAGCATCCAAAAAGATATCTCATTTTCGAAAATTTTTGCGAATATAACGCCCGTAAAAAGGAGCCTGTTGACGAATCTGCATGTTGCTAGGTCTAAAATTGCATCAAAAATTACATTTTTTTAACAAAATCCAGAAATTGTTTTTTACCCCGTAAAATGCTTTAGGATTTTGTTAATGTGTGTCTGTAGGATATTTAGGAACTTGGCAACCTAGAAATTTTCGTTTTTTTACATTATCTTTCGGGGTCGAAAATAACAAATTTTCCACTTTTAAAAGTATTAAATCGCTCGTATTTCGAGAACTTTAGAAGCTTTTCTATATAGAATGACCCAAAAAACTACGGAAGTAACAAAACAAATTTTGGAATTTGTCTAAAAAAAAATAGTTTAAATCACTCTTGACGCGATTTTGGGCCTGGCAACGTGCAGATTCATCATTCGAATAAAATTATGCAAAAAACCGAATCATAATATTTTTCCAAGTAGATGCGAAGATACTTCCTGTTAACATAGCTTGACGTATGAGTTACATTACCTAAAAATTCCTTTGAATTACGGAGTACTGCCTCTTCTGTTATGCGGTTGGTACCTCAGAGTGCTACCTTAACAGGTATTACTGCAAGACAATTGACAATTGTTTGAAATATTCGATTAAACTAAGCGATGACATCCAGAAAAGATCTTTGATCTTTCATCCTGTTTTACTATTGTTTGAAATTACTAGACAGTGCTGTTCGTACACTGGATTTATTTCGAACTTCAGCTTTCGTTTCGATTCAGTTGTAATGCTGATTATCAGTGAAATACTAGCAAAAATATGCTAGGTTTATTTTCTTTTCACGCCAGTTTGCGAGGAATTATTTCAATCGTGAAAATTTAGAAAATGAGATTGCTTTTTCGGTGTGGGATCACGAAAAAACAGGTTATTTCCATGACACTATCTGTCTGTCCCTAATCCTTGGCCCCTGTATAACTACGATAGTACTGCTGTGATTTTTACAAAACAAAGCTATTTCTATGCTACGCACAAAAAACCATTGTGGATTTCGAAAATCGATGCAGTAGCGGCGAAGAAACGGGCAAAAAAAACGAAAAAAAATCATTGCTAAAACTCCTCATTTTTGGGGTGGCATGGGTGACATGTTTATGCAATTTTAACTCGGGTTGTTTTACACACCTATTCACACATTGATTTATCCCCTACATTTTCCTTTAAGACCTAGAATGGCCTTAAAACAGAAATATTTTCAATATCCGCGTCGAACGGAATGAGATATAGGTACTATAAACTTGTCGCATCCTGGCCTCTGCCGAGGTTGTATCATCGTAACTGTGAGGACAGGAGCATTGGATGACAGGTAGGCAGAAGAGAAATTTCTAGAACGCAACGCTTTCAAATGTGTAGAGACCATGGACGAAATTGAATTGGCCTGTTTGTCTGACGTGACCTATTTAATTCTTTTTGTGGTACATGTTCTTAGAGGAGTTAATTTGTTCAGGAAAGCTTACTTTAATGAATTGATGACACCGTTGCATGGGAAGTGCAGAGTTAACCTAGTTGACGTCATTTTTTAACAATATGATGCGGGTACTGGGGTTATAGGATCTCAGTTTTGGCATGACTCCTCGCTAGCACTTGGATGAACGGAACGGGGCGACATATCTAAAAATAGAAGTTTCAGTTCTAATATAATCGACTGAATGGAGTGAGTTTTTGACGAACCAAAATGGTTCTGAAACTTTTCCGGATCGGATCGCTGTTACAGCTTATGCCATAACTATTTCGAGATCTCTTGCTAGCACAAAGAAGTAGCCATATTTATTTTAAATCAAAAATATCCTGGACATTTTTAATAAATGATGAAAATAATGCGTTTGGTTCATGTGGATTTACAGTGGCGGTTGGAGTAGACATTTTTGCATCTGAGCAAAGCTGAGCATAAAGCTCTATGTCGCAGCAAGATAGTAAGACTGACGTGTTTATTTTCCATATTTCAGTGACTTGCAAAAATGCTTAAAATATAAGAAATTCGAAACTAAATCGAGTGGATCGACTTTGTTTTTGTAATATATATAGGGTATTACTTAATGATAGGTCGAAATTACAAGGGCGCATTTGTGAACCATTGAAGTGGAAAGGTTCATATAAACGTGTCCTAAAAGTCTAGTTTCCAAGATGCAGTGTGTCAAAAAAAAAATCGGTTTTTGAAAGAGGAAAAAAATGCTAACTTTCACTTTCAAAGTCAAAAATATTTTCATTTTTCATTTTACTTTAACAATTGTTCGACATGAAATGAAGTAGTTTTTATTTCATTCCTCTAAAACGAAGTAAGAAATCAAGAAATCAAAAAAAAATATTTTTTTTGAAAAGTCAATGGCGTACATTTTTTGGTTTATATTATTTGTGACGCCACTTGAATTCACAATGTTCTATTTATCACTAACTTATCGTTTTATTGCAATGAACAACACTGCCAAAATTCAACAAAATCGGCACAAGGATCTTTACGATCTTAATAAAAAAACATTTTTTGACTTGAAAACTACATTTTTTTGATACATTTCAAAAAGAACTTTTCTACTTAAATTTGGTTGTGAAAACAGTAAAGGCGGCTTCCATAAACCAGTTTACTTATTATATTTCAGGATATCCTTTAGAGATGATATCAGTAAAAATGTGCCTTGGATTTTCTAGTTACATATTAATTACAAAATTTCTGCAAAAAGCTGGTGTAAAGACATGTAAATAGTTTTACGGGAGCCGGCTTACCGTGCATATTAAATATTCGATTCACCTTCCTTATTTCTACGATGTACGATCTCGGGATAAATAAGTTTAGGTTTAGATTTTATTTAGTTAGGTGTTGAATGAATTTGTTGCAGTTTCTACACTAAACTTGGTTCATGTTACACTAATGTATTGAAGTGTCGTAAAATCCTGAACAATCTTGATTAAACCTTACAAGTAAGACTACTTAAAATAACATGGATAGGTATAAGTGAGCTTGTTTCAGTAACAGTTTGAGTTGAATGTAGATAGTCAAATATCTATTTTCAGCTTTCATTCTTATTTAAGTGCTTCTGTTCCTCAGAACGTTATCAGCTATGGAGTTTATGGTTCACCTGGAACTTATGTAAATAAAATATTTCATCAATATGAGAAGCGTTAATTTGTTTCTTTGTTTTGGTAAAGTCAAAGTATTTCGTCAATGCGTACAAGTTATAAGCAAGTCATATTTTGTGAGGTCTACAAAATAATACTGAAAGAGCTATCCGATTTATTGTCAAACAACACTTGTTTAAGAAATTGTGACATACAAAGCTGAAATAAGTAGTTACCTATCGATATTTATCAATAGTCTAGACACAGTTTTGATTTGAGTATATAGAGTTAATTATTTTAACTAATGCTTAAACATAAAACAGGAAACCAAGTTTAGTGATAAAAAGTCGATTCAGAGAAAAGTATGTCAAATATACATTTGTATAATCTAAATTTGTTTTATTACATAATTCAGATGAATTACTTATTTATGTAATACAATTTTTGCGTGACTTTTTTTTAAGTTATGCGGTATAGCTTTCAATCGTCCTACATTTTACTACCCATATAAAATGTATAAATAACTTATTTCAAACAAGTAACTTTTTTTACTGTAATAAAATGTATATCATGTTTTAACTCACACGAGAGAACAAGGGCTGATAAAACGAAAAGTAATGTATATAAATACGGTAATTGGAATTAAAAAACTGATGTAAGTCTAAAGCTTTTTTTATTTTGTTGTTTTGTCACTTATACATCTGGTAAATGAAACCTCAGATGAGGAAATACTTACTTCACTGGCATCTTTTTGGCCACGAAAACGAATCACAAACTAAAAAAGAAAAAAGGAAAATAAAGGCTTTAACCAATTATTTGACCTGTTGCTGGGGCAGTCAAAACGTAGCATTTGTATAAATTCATCTTTTCACCTATTGTTCTGGCATAGTAGGAAATGTATCAGGGAGACAATACCATATGTTTCAGGAGTTATATTTTCTGATCCAATTACATTTTTGACTGTCATTTTAGCTTGGCCATGTGGCAAATTCAAATTATACTAATTTAATTTTTTTTATAAGCAGGAGTAAGTATTCAAAACTGAGTTAGTGTGTTATTGGAGGTATATAAAATTGGCAACTTCAGGAGTTTTATGTAGGAATCATGAGATAATATTCTTAATGCTGAAGCTACAAATATGTAGCTACCTACTAAATTTGTATAGCGAGTCAATTTTACCGCGAAATTTCACATATTCCCTGTAAAAAATTAACTTCATAATCCTCTAGGCAGGTGCTCGACATCATAATAATGTTAGACACAAAAATCTTTTTAATGTAACACCTGAAACTTATTCTGTTGTTTCCATAGTGGTACAACTCTAGAAATTTCTGGCCAAATGAAATTACTATGAATAAATTACTTTTCACCGATGTTTTTCCTATCACAGTGACTTTTTTAAAGATCAAATAATGACACTGTATTATGGTGAGGAAAAGAAAAGAAAAAACAAATGGATTGTCACATGTAAAACAGATAAATATACATTTTTTATAAATCCAAAAAAAAACTGCAGTAACTGAAACGAATTTTTACTTATGTTATTAAATTTTTAATATAGGTGTGCCACTTCTACTACTAAAAGGAATTCAACAACTCATATGTCAAAATCCATGGATCCTTTTAGGCTGTGTCATGTGAAATAGGAATTTCAAGGCTGTTTTTTTATTAAAATCCTCCATTTTGTTTTCATAAAATTGTAATGCAGCCAATGTCTCCTGTACTGCTAAGACGAATCCAATGACAACTTATATGCCTTACAAGCCGTTTGACCTGTATCCCGTCAAGTAGACTTTTTTGATACGTACGAGGCGTACTAGAAACGAAATCTGCCTAGCCATGAAACAAAAGACGTACGATTTTTTTGATTTTATTTTTCAATATAATCCGCCCCTATATCGATCCACTTGCCCAATTTCTCCTCGAGTGAACTTGTACCCTTATAAAGAATGTTTCCTCTTGACGCAAAAGAGTCATCGATGACTGCAATACAATACAATAGTCGGACGGAGCGAAGTCCGGACTATAGGAGGGATGGTCTATCTCAATGAGGCTGCACTCCTGCACAATTGATTTAATTTTGGCAGCCTTCGCGATTGGAAAAATCGGGTCTTTTATGGTTTATTGCTTTACGTTTTTGGCATATATATAATGAGCAGGTAGCACCTGATGTCCCAAAAAACTAACGTTATCAATTTTCCAGCAGAGGGTTGCGTCCGCGCGTTTTTGGGGGTAGTATGAACCCACTGCTTGGAATCCGTTTTCCTCTCAGGATCCCAGTGATGCACCCGTCGCAATTTGTGGCAAAAAGTCAGAATCGTCGGTCAAAGTTTACAAATGACTTTCTGAAATTTCCAACTTGCCCAATTTTTTTCAAGTGTCAGCAGACGTGGATTCCACCTGGCTGACACCTTTACGCTGGGTTCCGATATATTCAAACCAATACTAATGATAGTGACCTTCACACGCCGACGAACCACGACCCTAGAGAACTATGGCTTTGGCTTGTTGAGTCATTTCATCATTTGTTGCTGTTTTGAGCCTTCCAATTCTAGGATTGTCTTCAATGGATTCACGCCCCCATCGAAATGTAATGTATATGATAATAGAATGGCAATCATTCTCTCAAGAATTATTTTCGGCTGATGGGCCTCTTTTGTCAGAAATTTTATGACACTGCGACAATTTGAAGTTACTGATGAAAACTGTGTCCTTATAATTCACTATAAATTGAAAACTAATTATCAAAAGTACCTCAAATTTTGCAACTTATCCCTATTTCTGAGACAGTGGGGTAATAAAAAATATATTGTCATTGACATTATTTGTATTCTGAAAAAAGTCACCGTGGTAGCCGAAAGCTCAGTAAAAAGTTATTAGACTTTGAAGTTGAGTCATTCATTTTCAGATAATGATTGTAGAAGGAAGATAAACCAAAATATGTGTGTAAAAATAAAAAAAAAATTAAAAAAAAAATTTTACCTTGTTTTATAAAGTATCCTCCCGACAAGTATTTCAGTGCGGACCTGTATTTGATCGTGAGGTCCCCTGTGAGGTCTTAAGTCACCTGATTCACGAGTCCGTTGTACTACATTAACAAAGGCACGAGGGGTTGGTTGCACTCGATTGGGAAACCGATCCGCATAAACATGTGCCATTTTTTATTTCGTTTGAGCCACGCAACAGACACTATTCACACGCTTTACCGACTGACACTGACTGTATGTATAACTGAACTGAATAAAATAATTGTAAAAACATCGTTCCAAATTCTTTCGCTTTTTTGTTTCCGATGCGATGAACCGATAAGGCGGATTATATCCGTTGTTGCCAAACACGAGCACATGATATTATTATTGAGACAGGGCGGTACTCAAACTTCCAAAGGGCTATAACTTTGTTACTTTAATTTTACCAGAAAAATGGTAGAGGAAAAAACCATTTCTTTTGATCAGATCTACTCACTGTTAAAATAAATGACTCAACTTCGAAGTCACCCTGTATATATCGAGAGAGAGAGAGAGAGAGAGAAAATTATCATGCGGAAAAAGGTATATAACAAAAAAAATTAGGAAAATAATGGACAGAATCTGCAAAAAGAAGGAAAGTGGATTCGAGCAGAAATACGATAGGTAACCCGAGCGATACGTATTTCTGCTGGTTGGCTTTATCAGGCCCGAAATGAATGCACATATGCAACTACAAAAGTAGATATACATGCTCTTACGTCCGGATACGGGTATAACCTGAGGAAACGAAGATGGAGAGGAAAAAAAAAGAATAAAAAAGAATAAGACGACACAAGTGAAGTATTTTCAGTTATTCCACCTGTTGATATCAGCAATATCAAAAAGTTAGATTATTAGGAAAACTAGTTATGAAATCTCTGAGTAATTGATCTTTTAACAACTGTGAACTCGATAGCATTAAGCAAAAATATAGAATTATCTTAGCAGATATTTTTCCGACGGAGGATAGGAATCTTTTCCATTGATTAAATTATGGTTCGACACACTCTTGAGATTCAGACTTTCAATTTGGCCGCGAAAAACAAAACACTCATGAGCTTTGGACTTTGACTTTGGATGTGAGGTACTGAAAAAGTCTGAATGTTTGTCATAAGGTATCATTTGCATTTCGTCACTATTTACAGAAAAATCTAGAATTTGTATGTGTTTAAGGTAGGTATTGTATTGACAAATGTTTCTGTTAAGTTTGAAAGAAATCTACCGTTTGTTTATTGAGATTTTTTCTGGACAGGTGAAAGCCTTTATAGCTCTAATGTTAGCAGCACTTCGTCATGGTGGGTAGCGTTACGTTTTCATCCCAGACGTATTCAGTCATCTGATGTACAACCCAGCAAGTAGAAATTCATTATTGGTTCCTCGGTCTGTTCTGATCATCTTGTACCTTGTTCAGCATCGTCACTACAATCGAGTAGATGAGCAGGAGTTGGACCCAATTCGCGTATTCTCTTTTTCCTACCCTCTTTAGGTAGCTGTCGAAACAACCATATCCTGTAAGGATCTGTGCAGTATATAGTAATTTATCCTCACCGCCTCCTGGTCAATCTCAGTTTAAATATCTGGGATCAGTTTTTTAATCCATGTACCATGTCTAGTTGTATCAAATTTCTGCTGCCATCTTACAAAAATCTCCTCTCTTTCGGCGCCCTTTCATATCTCCTCAGCCGGCAAATCAATTGGCGGGATACCAGCCACCATCCGTCGATACCGTTCTGTAAGCGTATAGGTACCGTGCGCAACACCTTCTTTCGATGGCTTCTTAGCATTAGCTGCCTTTAATTATTTTTTTCTCAAGTCCTTGGTATAGATGGGCGCTCAGAATAGCGTAATCGAGTTTGACACCCCTGCCGGAATCCTGCGCCTCTCACTGGTACCTCCATCGGATGTCATTAGACGTATCAGAGATGCAACGACTTTAACTTGTTAGTCGTGCGCCTTACTTAGTTCAGTCATTTTCTGGTCCTTGTCGAGCCACACGCCCTGATACTTAATAGATATCAATCCATATAACATCCAAATCGATAGGGGGGGGGGGATTCGAACCCGCCCAGCTCACGACGACTGATTAGTAGACCCATAGCGTCTACCCCTACGATACCGCTTTTGTATTGTAATTACTGATTATTGTTACTGCAGAATTACAGGTAAACATTTTGTGCGGTTTCTTCTGTAAGGAACCAGTATGAAGATGAATTATTATGTACCCATTATGTGACTGATTATGAAGATAAATCATTAAAAATACAAGTGATCCAAGCTCTTTTAGTGTTTTCATTACCAGCACCCCTCACACTTCAAACCAGTCCTCGACGGCAGATATTACCTTTTGATTGATGTTTCGTAGATACGAAGCATGACTGGTACCAGACCACAAAGCTTGGGTAGATTAATACAAAAGAGTGCATTTCGTATTTCCAATTTCTTAACATTGAACATTTTTTGAGGTATGATGATGGGATTCCAAACAAGTGGGCGTAACAGGGTCAACTGCCATACCCTGCATCAACTTTTTTCTCAATCTTAACAAGGTTCTTTCCACCTCTAGCTCTTTTGTTCAAAATTTGTTTCTTTAAAGTTAGTTAGAGGTGTTATGAGGGATGAAGTTTATGGAGATAGTACGGAGTCTTAAGGAAACTGATGGGGTCCTTTTTATTCCTCATGCTTTGTACCAAATCTGTTGAACAAAAAGAAAGTGGTAATCCTAACATCGAAAATTATTTCATTTTCCGAGACAATGACCCCTAATTGTATTTTCGTAGAAGTTGTTATTGCAAGGCACTTTCTCTGGGATTATAAATAGTTGTGCGTAAACATTTTTACTACGATTATCGTCAGCAGTTTTATAATTACATATATTGCTAAAAAATAAAAGTGGCAAGGTGACTATCAGTTGATATAACGACGGAAAAATACTACACAATTGTTTTGCCTGTATAATGTTCCATACTGATATTCACCAGCTTTCTGTTTTACCTGATTAGGCGCCTCCATTTTTATTGTACCTCGATTGTATCCAAAATATGTACCTTTGCAATATACATATTTGCATGAGTTATTAGAGCTGGCTTCTATAAAAGTTGTAACAGGCTTTGTCAAATTAAATTTGCACGAGGATAATGTACCCAAATGACGGAAAATTTTAATTTAGAATTATATAGCCTTGTACAACTGGGCCAGCCGATAGTTCTGATCTCCAAACACTAAATCCACAGATTCACATGTCGCCAACTTTGGATGTTCCATACACTCTGTAGATAGTATGTATAACGTACAAAAGTTCGATCTTCACTATCGGCTTGCCCATTTGTGGTGATGAGACCTAGGGAATGGTCGAAACATGCATTAGTCTAATCATATTAGACGAAAATACCCCTAGTTTGCGAAATAATAGTCTGGTGCTATTGGCGCAAGTTGTTTAAGGGGGTATTTAAAAAAAGAACGCATGAAATGGGTACAGCAATTTTGGAAAAACTTTATCCGATAACAAAGAATGAGAAAACCCGTTTTTTGGGATTCAATCGAAAGTATTGACAGGAACGAAGAAACTCTTCAAATAAGATTTTCAGGTACTCATGAAACCTATAAAATGAGACCACACGTAAAAAGATCCGAAGAATAGTAAAAAAGTTATGGCCCAATACAGAGGCAAAATGCAGGTTTTGGCACTTGTTACTAATGCGACTGCTACTTGAAATTCTTCAAATTCGTAGGCTTCACACCACAACAAAATTGGAGTCGATTGGGGAAGTACTTTTTGAGAATTTCTAATTGGTTATCCCAAAACACCTGTCTTCCGGCCATCACTACTAGTTTACTGAGCAATATACAGGGTAGGTTCAAAGGGCATTTTATAGCAAAATATAGAATTTACGTTGCCGACGTAAATCATGAACTATCCCGAAAGATAATTGTTATTTTTATGCGAAAAACGAAGGGTTACGTTTTTTTCTAATAAACAAATTGAAACATTTAGTATATGTAAGAACTGAACAGATTCGCTACGATATTCGAAAAACATACGTTATTATAGATACACATTTTAAAACAAGGCGGATGTGTCTATCACCTTTTCTTACGATGAAAACAATTTTTCTCCAAGATTTCTTCATACTGATGAAGTTTAGAAAAAAAATATTCCATACTGAAATGCGCTGAACTATTTATAAAGTTAGCGCGCAAACTGAAGACACAATTATGTTTCAACCTGACTAGTTAGGATGTAGCATGTGCTAAATGGCTGCAATATTGATGACTGCATGACTTTGTCAAAACAATAAGTAGGTCACGTAATCCAGTTTCTTTACGAAGAAATATAATTCCTTAGACTTTTTTCCTGAAAGTATTAATATAGTACACGTCAGTGGCGAAACGTCCATGTAACCATTGTTACCATTGGTAACAGTTAAAAATCTTAAAAATAAATATTTTATGACTAAGTACTGTGAAATAAGTTCATTTATTTGTTTACGAACAGCAATATGTTATAGTAATTCAGTACATAGCAAATTAGCCACACGAAAATAATGCGCTCTATAGTGTCTAGGTTATGCGAAAACGATGAAGTTGACTCGCCTCGACTTGGTTGTCGGTTGTTACCATTTTCATTTATGGATACACTTGGTAGTCCGTCGGGGACCGTCGGTATCGGCTCGTGTCTTATCGCCTCGTTAGTAGCCGTTTTGGTTACCGGCTGTACTGAGCGTGCAATTAATCATAGATGAGTGTCGCTGCGTAATGGATCAACTACTTGAAAAGTAATTCTCCTTGTATAATTTTTAAGAAAAAAGGAGATCAGTGAAAATGGAAGACCAACACCTATTTTAGATAATTTTAAAAAGGATTAACAAAAAACGTAATTTGATATTTTAAACTAAGTTGGTATATGGAAACTTTTGGTTTTGTGGTTACAAAAAAACAAATTGTATATGTTGGCTATGTATACAGAACAAAAAGGGTGGACCAGCAACGGAGTCAACGATTTAAATAGTTTTAGGGCCCTCAAGAGGAAACATGAAATTGCTCCGTTACATGTGAGATGTGTAGCCAATTTAATTCAGTTTGGCAAAACAAGAATCGAAAGTTGTCTTAACCAAGCTTTTAGGCAGCACACTTCTAGATACCGTATGTTTTGTGGCAAAACATTAATTACTGTTCATTTTGAAGGGGATGACTCTGACAATTAACATTTATTGCCAAAAAAGATCAAACATTTTCCGAACATCTAGAAAGGTCGACTGTTTTTTCGGACGGCTTGAATTAGACATAGCATAAGACGATGAGGTATATCAAGTGCCCCAGACGCTCTGTCCAGGAATGTTTACCTTAATTTAAAGCAAAAACTTATATTTACTTATATTTGGGAGGTTCAAAATAAACTTTTTTTAATAAGATTTTTCACATCTGGTTTTGGCAACAGTTTAGGAAAAGTCACGTTTCGCCACTGGTACACGTCTGTTTTCAAATCTTGTTCGATTAAAACGGTTGCCAGTTCAGAATGTTGGAAAATAAACTCCAGAAAACGAAAAAATAGTGGACAAATGCTCGGTATTAGTCGCTAATATATTATTTAAAGATTCAGCATTGTATCTTGTATAGTTTTCAAGAGTACTGTAATTGTTTATAATAGATTTGATATGCCTCCAACGTTTGCTTGACATTTGTCAGTGTCAAGGAAAAGCGTCCAGTAAATTTGGAAAAATAAATGCATTTTCACATTATGTGTACTTGTATTGCAATCAAACAGTTTTTTGTACGCCGTAGACAACGTAAGCTGGCAAACGGGAAACCAGAGGTATACGTATGATAGTTTATATATTTGTTTTATATTTCTCTTATACATTTTCTGAAACAATATGTCGGATCATAGCAGATAATTTTTGAACATAAATATCTCAGAACTTATTAACCAATAATAATGAAAGACATATCTCAAAGTGTGAAATAATTCTTTTTTTACATCTAAAACTATATGAAAGATTCATGGACATTTTGTATTTATCAACCATAATGCTGCTACATATTTTTTCGTGTTGTTATCTGTTCATTGTGTTTCACCACTAACTTGAGGTATGTAATTCATATACAGCATTAAACATCCTTTCAATAGCGAAAGGTGAATAGAGACATTTTACCGATAAGTGTTTCTCTGAGATAATATACAATAAAAGTACACATAATGTGTAAAAGCATTTAATTCTTCAAACAAAAAAAGTCAAACCTTCTCATTACTCTACGACGCCTCTTGTTGGCTTACTGGATCCTAATACCAATATACTTGAGACTGACAAATGTTAAGCGAACGTTGGAGGCATATCATAAAGAAATACAGTACTCCTGAAAACTACACAAGATACAATTCTGAATCTTTAAATAATGTATAGGGACTAATACCAAACATTTTGCCTTATTTTTAAGTTCGCTACAACTGGTTGATATTTGTCCTAAATACCTAAAAATCTTTATAAAAAGCTTTTTCGTTCCTGCCAACACTTTCAACTGGATCCCAAAAAACACGTTTCCTCATTTTTTGTTGTCGAATAAAACGTATTCCCACAAAAATTGGTGTACCCATTTTATGCGTCCATGTTTTAAATACCCCTTAAACAGCTTGCACCTATAAAATCCGACTTTACAATTATTTCGGTGAAATTTGCTTATATGATTAGAGTACATGTCTACAACAAAGCTATTCAAGTAAATACGAACATACACTAGTGAAAGTAACAGTAACAGATTCCAAGGCGGTGGTTGGACTCTTCAAAAAAAAATAAAAGGGGGAGAGGACGAGTTCGAAAAGTACTGGTATATAAAATATGTCTTCAATGTCATTTTTTGATTTGTACTTTCAAAACGGCCGTCGTTAGTAAATTTAAAATTCTACTTCTGCGGTTTTATTTGGCGGCCAGCGGAACACGCAGATTCATGCGTCATTTCGGATTTTGACAAAAGTTCTCTTTCCATATGTTTCTGGCTAGTAAATCGAACCACATTGCAAAAGAATTTATTTAACATGTTTTGATTACCGACCAGGATGACATGGAGAATGGAGATAGATCATAGATATATAGCCAGGTGGAATTATATTGACGAAACTCATTGGCCGCTTCAACATCAGAGGAGAACAGGGGCATTACTGTAATAGCTACTTCAAAAGCTGTTTTGGGAACTTCATTGAAGTAGTTGCTCATTTTGGCATTTAGGCTTGACGTTTGCCGCAGCATGGCATAAGTAAAATCAAAAGTTCGTCTTTTAGTAGGCTACCAAGCAAGGTAAAAATCGATCTAACATTCTCCGGGGTCGTCTAGGGGAAGGCTTGAACTTTATTTTTGACACCTTTCGACCTAAAAATTCGTGATCTTTCACGGAGTTTTTAAGAATTGAAAACGTCCATTCTCACGATTTTTCAGACATTAGAACATTGTCAGCTTCACAGAAAAGTTACAAGGCCTTTTTTGTTCAGAATGATCTGAAACACCAAAAAGAAAAGCAAATAAATATTTTTTTTTATAGTTTGAAAATATTGTTTAAACTTCTTTGAGAAAATGCTTTGTCATTCTGGTTGATCGCTGGAGATACATGCCAGCGTGACGCAGGTCGTATTAGCTGACATAACTTTAGCTGTAAATCATTGATCACAAGCTTTGCCAATCGAAATGATGCAACTAGAGCGATCACATAAGTTCCAGGTCAATAACACTCCTTGAGCGTTGAGAATATCTGTAGTAGCAGCAGTGGCGCTCCCAGGATTTCAGTCTGGGAGGGGTAAAATGGAAAGAAAATTCTCAGTGTGACGTACTGAAGTGTTGATTTAACATTAAAAGTACGAACATATATGCAGATATATGAAATTTAAATATAAATAATATAATCTAGAGTCGTCTGGGGGGCGGGGGGTAATCATCCCCTTTGCCCCCCCGTGAGTAGTAGCTTCAAATGTAAATATAAGAAAAATGGATAATTTGTCGGCTAGAATTGCTGATTCCAAACAGACTAGTGACTTTCGCGATATCCAGTGACCATTTTTAAATACGTGCGGGATACTAGTCGAGAAAATTTTGGGTTCGTGGGAGAATTTTTCCATTTTTCGAATTTTCTCAAAACCTCGTTTATTTGTTCCTTAACACGAATCAAGAGGTTGCTGTGCGGTAACTTGGAGCAAAGTTTGTTTATGTATATTGGATCTTTGTAAACAAAAAGTCATTACTAGCTCTTGAGTTGAACTTTTTCGAATTAAAAGCGATTTAGTGTCTGAATGGGCACATACAATGCTTGAAAATATTGTTAAAAATCATTATTTTTGAGGTTGCTAAGCATCTAAATTAAAGTTGAATCTGCCTCTATAAAACCTCATTTCATTTTAAAGTAATGTTTAACCTTGATTAAATGGGTTAACAAATTGCTAATTCTGATTTTAGCAGACTGTGCGCTCACTTTTAGATACTGATATAAATTTTCATCTATAAATGGAACGAAAAAGGTGAATGTCTATATAGATAACGCTACTGTGTACGATCTTGCGTCAAAACTTCGTCCGCAGTTATTTTTTACGAAATGTGGAAAACAAGCGCAGCCGATGCTCATCTTATCGTGCGCTACTGATGCTTTTGAGAAACGTGATTCTTTCACGTGCTTCCATACCACAAATGCGTGCGCATCTACAACTACTTATAAATAAAGTTTCTGTCGCGGGAGACGCAGGCATTGGTCAGTTTTAGGGACTTGCCTACCGACTTGTCAGTCACTCATCGCTGGTTGTCCTGCACTTAACCATCGCATTGTCACCAGCTAGTTTGGCGAGAAGTTCACCTTCAAGCATGCAGGACTTAACGAAACAAGAAACCATCGCCCTTAGGGAAAAATACATAGGGTAAGATGCTCCATTTTTTTGTTTTTTCTACGACTGCTAAATTTTTGAAAATAAAATTTATCGATCCATATAACAAATATGAGGAGCACTCAATATAAAAATATTATAATGATGGACTTACATTTAGTTTGAGTTTAATCTACCTTGAAATTATTATTTGAATGTGACAAGGAATTTTTTTATCCGTTCTCGCAACTATTGAATCAATCATAATGAAATTTGGTAGCTATTTGGCAAATATTTAATGATCTTGCATTGGGACTTGAGTAATTATCAAAAAAAATAATACTAAAATAGTTCATCTTTGTGCGTTTTGAATTAAATCCAGGCTTTGTTCTCGAAAGTTCTTGTACAGTTTAAGGTGTGAAGATTTTTCAATTGTCATTGTTTGTGACAAAACCCTTGCCTATCTGGTTGAACAACTACGATTATATACCATATGGCTAGTCACTCAGAGTGCTCAGAATATTTACCGAAACACCGTATTCACAATATAGTATCGTGCAGTAACCCACGATTTGCAATACGATACTTTATTTGATATCGAGGCAGCGTTAATTGAAAAGATGAAATACTGGAAAGATGTCATTTCGATCGTGACAAGATTTATAGTACCTATCAATATTAATAGTAATAGAAATAGGTAATTTTTTCCTACAATTTTGACGACAGAAAATTTTTTTGATGATATTTTTAGATTATTGCTTCCTAATGATAAGTTCAAATTGGTGTTATTACAGGGTTGAAGTATTTGCTGAAATTATGAAAAAAGCGTTTGAGAGAAGATTTCGGAAACCATCAAACCTATGTAAAAAAGTAATAGGAGTAACTCTGCAGGGAATTAAATTATTTATCATTTTGCTTCTATGAAAATTTGTCATATACAGGGTGTCCCAGAAGTCGACGTCAAGCCGAAACCGGCTGATAGGCAAAGTCATAACAGCTATCAGAAAAATATTTAAAAAAATTTTATGTATGTGTTTTGAAAATTATAGGTCTTTGAAAAAAATATAGAAATTTCACACCCTACGGCAGTCTGTCAACACCTGTTACTACAAATATTAACTTTTTTTGGATTTTATTTTTACAATGTAATGATGAATAATGCATCTTCAAACTGGTGTCTCAACCTTACTGCCAACTTTTCTCGTTCAGGAAAAATTGCCACTTATTTCCCAACCAAGTATTCCAAAGTAAACCTTTGCTCAACTTCAACTGGCTGTACTGGAAAAAATGTACTACGAGAGTTTGGCAAGTAACCTTAAAAGTTGGCGCATTTAATAAGGATTCCAAAATGGTATAACACTTAGAAGATTACTCGTTAACTTATGCACAATTTTTATTTGAAAAAAACTGATGAACATTTTTCAAAATATCCTAATTAAACAGCGATTATGAAAACGCACAAGGACCCTTAAGGATAACTGTTTACACAACAGTGGGCGTCAAAATGCTGCTGATGATGATTTACCTTTACAGCAAATGCTCAAACTGTTTTCCTTCAGCCGCAATTCACGCTCGACATCTTCTTAAAAAAGATCGGGTTATTAAACGAGCGAATCCATGGTTATTAACAAACTCAGCTGCTTCCAATAGTCTTTGCCGTAGCTCAGCTACATTTTGAATCGGCTTGAAATACACTTTTCCTTTTACAGTTCCCCAGTAAAAAAAATCCTACGGATTCAAATCTGGTGATCGGGCTGGCCACGGTATTATACCAGACCGCCTTATCCATCTGCCTGGAAAGTTTTGATCGAGATACTCTCTCACTGAGAGTGCATAGTGCGCTGGGCAGCCATCATGCTGAAACCACATGTCCCTGTAAATACTCAGTGGCACGTCCTCCAATAAATTTTCTAAATGATTTTGCAAAAAACCTAAATAAACCTCAGCAGTCAAAGTCTCTGGGAACTCAAACGGACCGATTATTTTACCATTTAAAATTCCTGTCCAATGGTTTATCTTGAAGCGATATTGAGATTTATCTTCTCTCATCAAATGTGGGTTTGCTACGTGCCACTCGTGTAAGTTATGCAGGTTCATGTACCCATCTTTCTTAAATGTGGTCTCATCTGACCATAAAATTTTTTCAAAGAACCGTGGATCTTCCCTGTGTCTTTCTAACATTGTGCGACAAAAAGCAACTCGGGGCTCATAATCCCGGGACAGAAGAGCTTGAACACGCTGTACGTGGTATGGATGGAGCACGTTTTTTTGCAAGATTCTATGGGCTGTACTTTTGGGCACACCTGTTTTTAGTTCTATTGCACGCACTGAAGTACTCGGGTCTTCTTCGACAGCTCCTAGCACCACGTCTTCGTAAGGAAGGAAAGATCTTCCCTCACCGTGGGATTGGTTTGGTAGTTGGCCCTCTGAGAACAGTAAGCGGTGCACATTTGTGAACACTCGATGATCTGGATGACGAGCTGCATTCGGGTACCTCTCACAGTAAAGTCTCGCTGCAGCACTAGCGTTGCATCTGCATTCCCCATAAATGAGGTGCATGTTAGCATATTCTTGTACGGTGTACACGGACATAGCGGCACTGCACAATCACACTATCAAAGATAGTCTAAGGAAAGCAAATGTTGTTTTGAAGAGCAATTAAACAGTCCAAATCCAAATCACAAGCGATCAACAGTCCAGTTCACGAATCCAAAATTAGTAACAGTACGAAATCAACAAGCACGAACATGTAAAGATGTGCAGTAAACGAAGGAGTACTGATCGGTATCAAAGTGTGCAATAGCAAGTAAGTGATGTGCTTCATCCATACCACATACAGCGTGTTCATCCTCTCCTGCCCCGGGATTATGAGCCCCGAGTTGCTTTTTGTCGCACAATGTTAGAAAGACACAGGAAATATCCACAGTTCTTTGAAAAAATTTTATGGTCGGATGAGACCACATTTAAGAAAGATGGGTACATGAACCTGCATAACTTACACGAGTGGCACGTAGCAAACCCACATTTGATGAGAGAAGTTAAATCTCAATATCGCTTCAAGATAAACCATTGGACAGGAATTTTAAATGGTAAAATAATCGGTCCGTTTGAGTTCCCAGAGACTTTGACTGCTGAAGTTTATTTGGATTTTTTGAAAAATCATGTACAAAATTTATTGGTGGACGTGCCACTGAGTATTTACAGGGACATGTGGTTTCAGCATGATGGCTGCCCAGCGCACTATGCACTCTCAGTGAGAGAGTATCTCGATCAAAACTTTCCAGGCAGATGGATAAGGCGGTCTGGTACAATACCGTGACCAGCCCGATCACCTGATTTGAATCCTTTAGATTTTTTTACTGGGGAACTGTAAAAGAAAAAGTGTATTTCAAGCCGATTCAAAATGTAGCTGAGCTACGGCAAAGACTATTGGAAGCAGTTGAGTTTGTTAATAACCGTGGATTCGCTCGTTTAATAACCCGATCTTTTTTAAGATGTCGAGCGTGTATTGCGGCTGAAGGAAAACAGTTTGAGCATTTGCTGTAAAGGTAAATCATCATCAGCAGCATTTTGACGCCCACTGTTGTGCAAACAGTTATCCTCAAGGGTCCTTGTGCGTTTTCATAATAGCTGTTTAATTAGGAAATTTTGAAAAATTTTCATCAGTTTTTTTTCAAATAAAAATTGTGCATAAGTTAACGAGTAATCTTCTAAGTGTTATACCATTTTGGAATCCTTATTAAATGCGCCAACTTTTAAGGTTACTTGCTAAACTCCCGTAGTACATTTTTCCCAGTACAGCCAGTTAAAGTTGAGCAAAGTTTTACTTTGGAATACTTGGTTGGGAAATAAGTGGCAATTTTTCCTGAACGAGAAAAGTTGGCAGTAAGGTTGAGACACCAGTTTGAAGATGCATTATTCATCATTACATTGTAAAAATAAAATCCAAAACAAGTTAATATTTGTAGTAACAGGAGTTGGCAGACTGCCGTAGGGTGTGAAATTTCGAAATCTTTTTCAAAGACCTATAATTTTCAAAACACATACATAAATTTTTTTTAAATATTTTTCTGATAGCTGTTATGACTTTGCCTATCACCCAGTTTCGGCTTGACGTCGACTTCTGGGACACCCTGTATATAGTCAACAAGTAACGAGAAATTTAAAGGTAAAGGTACATGTAATGATATTTTTGCTTATAATGGCTAAACCAACAACAAAGGCATATACAAACTGATATCCTTTTTAGTAGAAAAACATCTACAAATAAGGTCATTATCGTTTATGGAGCTGTAAATATAAGGACCATTAGTGAAAAAAACGCATCAAAACGGTCGCGTGACATATTCTCCCTACGTTGTTCAAATGTCAGCATACAACAATTTTTCACGTATCAATATCAATACCTACGATCAAGAATACCATTTTCTACTGCGACGCGTAAGTATGGAACACATAATATTTGCAATGATTTTAATGGAAAGGGAGTGATACCATAAACCAGCATTATTTACTTCATCTACTCTTTCATTAAAATCGCTGCAACGGTTACTGAACTTACTCAGTGTGACTAAATCGCCAATAGACAACCTGTTGGGCGTGAGTGACTGTATCTTTCTAATGAAAATATTACAAACTATCAAAAAATATTACAATTTGAGTTTTGAACAGCATAGTTGCACAGACGAAAGAATGGATCAAGTTTCCAACGACCAACCATGAACTGATGAAGGCCAAGCGGATATGGCAAAGGATGTATAAATTTCCGACAGCAATTGGTGTAATTGATTCTCCACATATAGGTACCAACCAAATCGCCATGGAGAAAAGGGAAAACTACTTTAAATGTACAAGCTACTTGTGATGCCAGAGAGATGTTCACAAGTGTTGATGTCAGTTGGCCTGGATCAGTGCATGATTCCAGAATATGGAACTGTTTTAAAAGCTTATTATAATTTATTTCTGCACCTGGAGTAGGATTTCTGAAGGGAGTCATAAGGCATGGCTCAATATCATACCCGTTATCGCCAAGTAGTACAACATTTGCTTTATTTATTAGTTGTGATGTAGTCTGTGGATTTCTCCGTATTCTGGAATCATGCACTGATCCAATCTAACTGACATCAACACTTGTGAACATCTCTCTGGCATCACAAGTGGTTTGCACATTTAAAGTAGGTTTCCCTTTTCGATTGATATACTCATCTCCATGGCGATTTGGTTTCAGTATTCTTATATGTGTACAATCAATTACACCAATTGCTGTCGGAAATTTATAAATCCTTTGCCATATCCGCTTGGTCTTCATCAGTTCATGGTTGGTAGTTGGAAACTTGATCAATTCCTTCGACTGTGCAACTATGCTGTTCACAACTTTATCCACAGTCCGAGATAGCGTTGCTTGACTAACACCAAGATCCTGACCAATACCTTGTTGATATCCAGGGTTACCGAGATAGCGTAGACATATCATCATTTAATGAATACATGAAAGTGCTCCTCTTCGAGTTTCCTCAATCTCAACTAAAAATCTGTCCGCAAGCTATTGTACATTTGCTTCGTCGAACCGATATAATTTTTTTAAGTCACGACCAAGTAAAGGTGAACGAGGTTTGTACGTTTTAACATCCACAATTTCCGCCATCATCGTTTGACCTCCTTTCGTTATGAAGTTGAGTCTGCTACTGACCACACTCAGAATTTTTGAAGGTTATGCTTCCTATGCCAAGTATAACGTGAAGATTATGAATATCCTTTTACCTATGTCACTGCTTTGAAGGATATGCTTATACTCAAAAAGCAAAAGCATTTACTTCAAATTATTATAAATACCATCTGGAGGATTTCTTTCAAAATTTGCAAGTAGCAACAGTAGCGTTATATACTCTTATGGTCGTTGTTTAGCCATTATAAGAAGAAATATCAGTGAATGTACCTTTATCCTTTAACTTCTCGTAAAGCGTTGACAAATTTTCAAAGTAGCCAAATGTTGAAGAATCTAATTCCCTACCAAACTGCTTGTATTATTATACCTTTTTACACAGAGTCAACGGTTTTCAAGATTTTCGATCAAACGCGTTAACCAAACTGTTAGTTTCGTGAATATGATAAAACTCGTAAAATAGGCATTGTATTTTTTTCTATCTTTCTGCTTGACAAAATCAGATATTATATAACTACTAATGGTAGCGTAATGGTAACAGATCTTTTTTATTTGTAGCAAGTCATGTCAACTATTTTTTCGAGACAATCCTTTGAAAATTGTGAAAGGCAAGGCTCAATATTTGTATGATGAGAGCGGGGATCAATATCTCGATTGTATCAACAATGTTGCTCATGGTAAGTAATTCAGTAACTGACATATAGTAGGTCTCTGAGCAGTTATCGTACATGTATTCGATTTGTCTGGACCATGGAAATTTTTAAAAATTGGTATATTGTGTGGTAGTCATAACTTAAAGTATCCAAAAGAGTGAAAATATAATAAACATTTCGAATTCCACTAAAGGTTGGGTGGCATTACCGGTTATACCCAGTATGTTACTCAAGTTTTGAACTCTACGCCAGCTTCTAAGTACAGAGCAACCCGCTTATAATGGACACGGCGGGACTGTGACAAATAGTCTATTATAGACGGATGACTATCTTAAAAGAATCTTAATGAAAAAAAGCAGCAGAAATAACATATTAAAAGCTTAAAATGTGTTTGTTTAACATGTAATGCATAAATAAAGATACATACAAAAAGGTTATACGTAATTTTGAAATTTGCATTTTTCAAGAATCTGATACGCATATTACAGGCATACGTACTGTGTAGGTATATGTAGAAACCGTAAATTATTTGGTAAAGAATCTAGTAATTTCCATTTGAACAGATTGTTTTTTTTTGTATAATTATTTAGAACAGCAAGTTGAATTTTACTTAATTCGGTAAGTAATCGGTTCTGGAGTAACCAATTCCCATGCAATAGTAATAAGCAAATTTATAGCATCTAAAATGGTGACAGCATCTTAAATTTCCCTGAAATTAAAAAAAAGGTCATAAATTCTTTGTAGCACTGCCATTGAATATCAAAAAAATTAGAATACGGATTTCTATTCATTCACTTACCTATTATCAATAGCTTCCGTTTTTCAGTACCAGAAGCAAATCATAACAGTTATTCGCTCTTTTGACAGTTTCCCTCCATTGCAAGTTACACCTTTTAATTTATGAGTTTTATCTGGTAGCATTCTATAAAATATCCTGGTTTCATCTGCATTGAATTTGTTATCATCAGAATAATCACTGGATATTACGGGCCAAACTTGAGAAATCCAGTCACTGGTAACGTTCTTGTCAACTGAAATTGACTCACCATACATTTTTCCAAAAACAATTTATGTCTTTCCTTAAACCCGTCTAGGCAACCGGAACTACATTTGAAGTAATCTCCAAACAATTACCCAAATTCTTCAGCCTGTATTTGTAGCATAGGTCCACTTATTGGAAAATTATTAACCTTGCTTTTCTTGAAACCAGTTAAACAGCATATCATCGACTTGGAGATGTAGCGATAGCCGCATTTTTTTCTTTTGACTATTTGATTCCCAGTCATTTCCAAATATTTGAAACAGAGGATTTTTTTTAGCCATACGAGCACATATATTTGCTTGAGATGAACCCTGCTCAAGCTCATTAATTATTGTGAACTTTTCGTGTAAAGTGAATGCACGTGTCGCACTTTTCGACATGTTTATAACTCTGATAAATACAGTATACGAATTATTTACTTAACCTTAAATTGTGTCCATTATATACGGGTTTCCATTACAAGCAAGTTCATTATAAGTGGATTCCACTGTAAATTTCACTTGTGCCTGTTTTACCATTTTTGAGACATCTCAATTTTTGCGTAAAAAATGACAAAGCAGACAATGAATTATAAAAATTGTTCTAACATGTTTGCCAATGTCGTTTCTGTAGTAGGGGACCTAATGTGGTAGACTTTATTTCAGATTTGAATAAGGAATAGTACAGGGTGGTCAAAAAAGAGAATCTGAATTGAATTCGAAAAAACCCAAAAAGTCACATGGAAAACAATTTGTTTTATAACTTCACCGTATTAAGCCTTAAAAATAAGGTTAAGATATATGAAAATACTCGTTTACCTATCAGGCTGTTGCCGCGTCATGGTTAACAGAGATTATCTTATTGTAAAAGCCGTATAAAGCATTTAAGCAAGAGAACTAATTATTGTAAAATTGATTTTTGGGGTTTCTTAAAATCCAGTTCATTGTTTATTTCGACCACCCTTTACTATTTGTTATCGAAATCCGGAATAAAATTTACTAAAGTAGGTCCCACCCAATACGAAACCCGTTACAAATAGTTTGCCAAGGCGAAAATTCGCATTTGCCTACATTTGTCATTTTTACGCAAAACTTGAGATATAAAGGTTGATACACCTGTAGGTACATAAAAAAGGTATTTAGAATCTCGCACAATGAATGATAAATAGGGTGTTCTATTTAAAATAAGCAAGTTGGTCTCTACTTCCGGTACAATTGGAAATGCTGATATTTTGAAAATATTCTAACTTAAATGCTCCCATCAGTTATTCTATGAACCCATACTTTCATAACTGTCTTTCGTCAATATTTTGAGTAATCGATCCCGCAGTTGTACGTATGCCTAATCCGCTATTCAGATTTCCTCAAACACGATCAAGACAATCCTCGCAAATTTTGCTTCAGATGTCTTTCTAAAAAAATTGTATTCATTAATAAAGCAATCGTTGTCATAATTCCAGTGGGCCATTGTCATCCAGACGTAGTAGAAGCAGGCTGTGCTCAAATGACTGAATTAAACACTAATTCCCGTTTCTTACACGACAACATCGTATTGTGCGCCAAACGGATTGTCTCCACCATGCCTCGTGGGCTGTCCGTTTGCTTTTTCGTAAACTCTGGCTCTGAAGCAAATGATCTTGCCCTGCGACTGGCCCAAATTCACACCGGTAACAAAGACGTCATCGCATTAGAGCAGTAAGTATGAAAAACGCTTGGTATGTCGAATTTTCGGCTAAGTCTGGCGGGTAGCGCAATGTGGAAGGTATCTTAAGGCAGCACATTAAAAAGAGTAAGAGCTGTCGCACACAAGGCCATAGGTGGTGTCCTCCGGGTTGACACTACTGGTGGCCAAGTTGAGCTACTAGGAGAATCTCACAATATAGGCATGCCGAGTTTTTCTGTCTGAGAGTGGTTACAAAAGCTTTCCCCTATGAAAAAAAAAATAGTTTTGCTACTAGGCGGAGCCACATTCTAATTCACTATTGTGGAGGATCCCCTGCTGGGTACAGGAGGAGTCCTCGGCGCTTGTTCTGTATCGCTCTGGGATACTACAGGGTAAACTATACTGGAGTCATACTCAACTTTGCCAAAGATAGAGGTGCAAAAGAGCGCGGCATGTTGTCCATGCATCGACTCCCTGTGGCTGTCGGAATGCCTCTAATTTATTTATTTATATATTCGGTGATTCATTCATTCACTATTCCATCGGTTTTGGCGACCATGGTCGGAACTACGTACGCGATATATATATATATATATATATATATATATATATATATATATATATATATATATATATTGTGGCTTAGACCAGTTAGGTGAAAAATAAAGCTTCCGCCTTTAGTTGGGTACTTCGACAAAATTCAAACAATGAGGAATCTTTATACTTTATTAGTCTCTAGCTTTCAATGGACTATGCCATCATCATAAGGAGCTGCAATAACATTGAGAAGAAATATCAACATTTGTACAAAATGATTTTGAATTACTTACAACAGTATGTTATATATAATAGTATGTTATATACAATGGTATGTTATATACAATGGTATGTTATATACAATAGTATGTTATATACAATAGTATTGTTGCTAAATGTTATTAGGGTTAAGTTGAGGGAAACATTTAATTTAATTGTCCATCTCATTAACAACATAGTTTGTTCAACTGCCTCTGGTCTATTGACAAGTTTTTTATTTAACATATCTTGATCAATCACACCATCTCAAGTGATTTGCAAGAGCTGCAATTACATAGATAACAGTAGCAACAATAGTGTAAAATGATGAAAAAAAAATTAAAGCTTCTGCCTTTTGTTGGGTACTTGACAAAATTCAAGCAAGGAGGACTCTTTATACTTTTTTTATTTGCTCTAGCTTTCAATGGTCTTTGCCATCATCATCAGGAGACTAGTATGTGAGGATGTTGCTAATTGTTGTTTACGTTAAGGATGAGGGACACACCCAGTAACATGGTGAAAGCTGGATAAATGGTACAGTGGTCAAAATTATACATACGACACACAGCTGTATGACAAGAACAAGTTAAAAACAGATTAAAAAATATTTAAAATGAAAGTTAAGCATTACATCGTGAAGCCACTTGATGATTGCACAAAATGGTGGGCCTTAACGTAAACAATAATTAGCAACATCCTCACATAATACTGTAAGTTAATTTAAATTCATTTTACACTATTGTTGCTACTGTTATCAATGTAATTGCAGCTCCTGATGATGATGGCTAAGACCATTGAAAGCTAGAGAGCATAAAAAAAGTATAGAGTCCTCCTTGCTTAAATTTTGTTGAAGTACCCAACAAAAAGCGGAAGCTTTAATTTTTCACCTATATATATATATATATATATATATATATATATATATATATATATATATATATATATATAACGGCCATTAGTAGCATTTCTGTGGCCACCAGCGTTGGCCTGATGTGCGGCAGTGCTACAATAGCGAGTGTTTTCTCCAATTTTGCTGGACTGCATTAAGGAATCTCTACCGGGTGTCTCAAATTCGACTCTATTGTTATCTCAGAAACAATAAGAGATACTGAGGGCTCTATTGTCTGCCCGAATCAAAACGACCGCGGTGGTCGAAACGTCCTACAATAAACAGAAATCTGAACACATGTATATGGTTTTGATTCGGCCAGACAATGGAGTCTTATGGACGTGAAAACCACGGGATAAGTTTCAGGAGTTACATTAGGTACGAACCTGCTTAAATGGGAGCAAAATTGCGTTTTTAGGTAACTAACAAAATGACACTTAGAAAATATGGTCATTCAGAGTATAACCGGAGAGAAAACACGATTTTTTCCAAATTGTATTTCATTTCCTCCCACTGTATTTGAGGCGGGATTTCTGAATAGATTGCACATTAGCATTGCCACTCTATCTTCTCTACAAGATGCATGATTAGAATTTCAATATGACGTTTGCACAGGTTGAAATAATTCTTAATTTTATTTCAAAAAATTGTAAACCTAAAATAAAAACAACAAAATTGTCTATGTAGGCCTTGAAATTATCAACTAATCTTCCAGTGGCGACGGGTGACTTTTCCTAAACTGGTACGAAAACCAGATGAGAAAAATCTTATTAAAAAAGGTTTATTTTGACCCTACCATGTAAAAGTTTTTGCTTATTTTAGGTATTGTATTTAAACTTTTTTTAAATTAAGGTAAACATTGCTGGATTGGGCGTCTGCGGCACTTGATATACCTCATCGTCTTATGTTATGACTAACCCAAGCCTTCCGAAAAACAGTAGACATTTCTAGATGTTCGGAAAGTTTTTTATCTCTTTTGGCAATTAATTTTAACAGTTCCCAGTAATTTCCTCTATTGTCAGAGTCATCCTCTTCAAAATGACCCCGAAATGGTAATTCTTGTTTGGCCAAAAAACATACAGCATCTATAAGTGTGCTGCCTAAAATCTTCGTTAAGACAACTTTCCATTCTTGTTCTGCCAAACTGAATCAAATTGGCTACACATCTCACATGTAAAGGAGAAATTTCATGTCTCCTCTTCAGAACCCTAAAACTATTTAAATCGTTGCTGGTCCACCCATTTTTTTTGTAGAAAACAGAAGACATGGCCAACAATATAATCTGTTTTTCTTGCAACCACATAACCAAGAGTTTTCAATATACCAACTAAATTTAAAATATCGAACTACTTTTTTTATTCCCTTTTAAAATTATCTAAAATAAGTTGGTATTCCATTTTCAATGATCTCGTTTTTTTCTTCAAAATTATACAAGGAGAATGACTTTTCAAGTAGTTAATCGATTACGCAGCGACACTCATCCATGTTTAATTGCACGCACACTACAGCCTGCAACCAAAACGATTACTAACGAAGGAGAAGGGAGTAACCAAAACAAAAAATGGTAACAAGCCTACATAATAATCGCGGCGGCCCAAGCACTTGGGCGACCGCGATCAGACACGAGCCGGTTCCGACTGTCCCCGACGGACTATCAAGTGTATCCATAAACGAAAATGGTAACAACCAAGTCTAGGCGAGTCTGCTTCATCGCGTTCGCAAAATCTAGACAGTATTATAGGGCGCATTATTTCCGTGGAGCTAATTTGCTAGTCACTGAATTACTAGTACATATTGCTGGGTAAATAAATGAATGAAATTATTTCATAGTAGTCATGAATTATTTATTTTTAAGATTTTTAACTGTTACCAATGGTAACAATGGTCACATGGACGCTTCGCCACTGTAAATCTTCGTTTCATATCATTAGTATTCCCCATTTCCTATTTTAATGATGTGATATATCATGACATGGATTGATATTTTGAAATTTCGAATGTCTAAAAAAGTAATCTTCCTATACTTGTTCTTAACTTCGGATGAAGGAGATGATGCCAAGCTTTTTATATCACTTAAGGGTAGGGAAAATTATTGAAAACGGCATAATTTTAAGAACTGATTTTCGAGCGAGTAAAAGCCTTGATGATGTTACAGGTTGCTAAATAGATTTCATATTCATCATATATATAACCAATGCAGATATCTTGCATCTAAATACGGCTGAGGTGTCACGTAGAGAGGGTCGTGTAGGGATAACGCTTGTTGTATTCGATATATGGGCAAATTATCTGAATGTTTTTCAAACAAGCTTCTTAAAAACTTAAGCAATCTTTAATTGGTTATGTGATTGGATAAACAAGTGATAACCTCCTATTTTTATAGTTAAAAATGAAAACATCAGTTTTTTGTAAATAACTAAGGTTAGGAAATGTATGACTAATTATACAATTTTTGGAATCAGAATTTAAAACTACTCTACCATGCAAAAATCCAATATGGTGTCCATAAGAACAAATAAACTTGATGATATTGAAATTATAATTATGCCACGTTGTAAAGTAGACGGAGCGGCAATGTTAATGTATAATTTATTTTGAAATAGACGTCAAATAAAGTCAGGAAAAAATAAAAACGATTTTGTTTGTTCCGTTTACCTCCGGAAATACTGTGAATTCAGAAGCGTTACAAGTGCCATATTCTTAGTTGAATGGTGACAGCTGGATATGAAGCACCCGGTATATAGGAATAGAAGAGAATGGATATATAGATGCACCACCATATGATGTCATGAGAACGGTCTACCATGCTCTGACAATCACTTTGATGTTACTTTGGCTATATGGGTCTTATATATCTCTGATTATATGTATTTGTTGGGTTGAAGTGCATATCACAACATTGAGTAATAGGCTATCCATCGATAACATAGTAAAAGAATGACTGAGCCCTGTTCGATCGAGTTGAGAATCTATATTTATATTTGAAGCAGTGACAGAATATTCACTCCAAAGAACAATTTGACTCAATTAATCTATTTACTATGAGATACTCGAATGTCATGGTTCATAATTATAATCATTTGACAATACTTACTTATGTCTAAAGAGCTACAAAGTATTCACAGGGTAGCTAATATATAACTTACTATCTATTTGTGATAAACTGGAATAGATCCAATTTTTTTGTCTTAATATTTTATTTATTTAAAAGGTTGTGATTTACGTATTTAAAGTGGGAGCTTAACAAACATGAGCCGTCATTTTTGGTATGTTCCAGGTTCTGTGAGGAATATTTTGATTAGCTTTCCGAGTATTGCTCTTCGGCTGCTCCATAATGCTTGGTTTGTTGACTTTAACATATTTTTTAATGTCATTATACAACGGCGAGACAAAAAAGGTATGGTCCAATGACATGCAAACCCTTGCTGGCACTGGTGACATTACCGCATAAGCGGCAAAGTTTTGTGGCTCTTAAAATTCGACAACCTACAACAACTGTGGTTCCAGCAGGACAGAACAACTACGGTACATAGTTATAGAAACCTTGCAAAGCATGCTTCAGGGCGTTGATCCTTCCATTGGGCGACCACACTTCTTTCCATGGGGATTTATGAAAAATGAAGAGCAGAAAGCTATTCAAAATACTCTTTACGAAACTAACCATACAAAGCCTCTGTGGCTTGGAGGGCACTATTTATTTATACGATATCATTTTCCATACATAAGTATCATAGTTCCATAATAGATTAAGATAAAAAAATGGATCTATTTCATTTTATATTGAAGTTAGTAAAGAATCAAATCAGTCAGTTACTAAATATTCATTCCGGTGGTTCAAATCACAAATCTTACCTATATGTGGGTAAGTAAAATGAATTAATTTTACACAAAGATGTATCATACAAGTATTTATATGTAGCAGATAAGTTAATGATAAAAATCAGAAATATTTAAAAATATCCAAGATCGAATTGAATGAGAGAGGTACGGTATATTCCAAAGCCTTTTGATATCTAATCCTCTCATTCACATTATCTCGATGATATTTAGTGCTTATTAAATAAACGCAGTATAATTGAGAAAATAATTTATCAGCTGTTCAAACTGGATATATCATATGCCCCACTTTTCAGGCCACGAGGGTCATCAGAGCTAGAATGTAGTTTATACTTAATTATTTTTCCTACTTTTGGTAAAATGTTTGCTGGCTGATATCGAGTGAGAGCAGATTTTTATGATAATTTATCTTTTACTAATATTAGTTCAATGCTGTTTTGTACAAAAAGTAGATTAGCGATAAGCATTGAAGCATCAACTCAGTGAAATAGCACACGATACAAAGGCTTGTAATATTTTAAATTGCAATTGAAGCGTGAAGGAAAATTCCTATTCTCAACACTTGTTTATCTTATATCATGCAGAAATATTTCCATGAGACGCTAAAAAATCCTAAATAGGTTGTGAATGCTTCCACTTTGTCAACATCATTAGCAGCATGCACAATAATCTATTTTAGTATTATTCAAAATACCGTACCGTGTAGATAGGAATTGTCTATCTAAAGATCCGAAATGCTACAAATTGATAGAGACTAATAATATTATAACTATATGTTTCACAAAATAGGTATTACAGCTGCAGTATCATATCATTAGTATTTTAAATGATTCTTAAAATTCGTATTAAGTGCTCTATCAGTCAAATAAAATTACAAAAAAACTTTCACGAGGACGTGATGAGAATCTGAGTCAATCTACTTGACAGAAATTTCATTTCGAAAGTACGCATTTGTTTAAATTTTGTGTCAGTATAATTTCAGCAATAATTGCCAAGAGCTAATATGTGTAATGGGTATACAACTTAGGAACAAACAGTTACAGTGAATGACGATTATACAAAGCTGCAAACAAAGCTCTGTTCGTATATGTATGGAGTGACAGAATCTAATAGATTTGTTTTTATTTTTCCTGTTAGGTACAACTGATAAAATTACAGGCCGAAGATCAAGGATACTGGACAGAAATCAGCTATGGCAAATCCTCAGCAAATGATCTTTTGATCATTCCAACATGATACATGCAAGAATGATGTGCGCGTCTAAGCTTGATGCATGAAATTACCATATTCGTAATATTGTATCAGAAATCGGAAAAAGGATGACGAAAATATGTTTTCATGAGATTATATTGTCAAAAAATATCAACTCAGTCTGCAGAAATGCCTACTTGTATTTGTGTTTAGGTATTTCTTGCATATAAGCTTAGAATACGTTAGAGTGTTATATATAATGTTCTTTGGGAGTCAGGCTGTGAGTGGATTCGGTAAAAAAGGCGGATACGAATATGATATTTTTTTAGTGCTTACCATGGCCACTTGACCTCTTTGATTGAAATATCGCATTACAAATTTAATTTGCCTGGTGGTATTGGACAGAAAGACCATGTTCATATCGTAAGTATATATCTAATTGTATTTAAGTATCTTAAGATTCTCGGGTATCCCTATCAATTCTTATGGAACCTCTGAACGGGCAATATCTTTACTGCTTTATCTAGCTTAAACAGAGTAGACAGAAATATATGGCAATAGTTTTAGTATAGCCCGACTACATAAGCTAGACATGTTTGACATTATCCAAATATTTTCTAATACTGCTGTTAGTTTGACGAGCGATCGAAATCCTACTCAATGTGATGTAGACTACTACAACTCATATCATTTCGTCATCCATACTTGTTCGGAATTTGATCACAAAGGCAAGTGTATGTGTCTACACGTCGCAGACAATACCGTCAAGATATAGCCGAGATACGGCCGAAATATATATGCTGCAATATGCTCATGATGACTGGACTATAGTTGCTATAATTATATCCAAATACAGTGAAAGCTCCCATAAGCGGACACTCACGGTTCCGTAACTTTTGTCCGCTGATGGGACGTGTCCGTTTAAAAGAGAGTATGTAAGTATAGAGTATAAATAACGGGGTATATAATCATGAGGAAATGAGGTATTATAATCATGAGAAAAATGAAACAGAAACTCGCCACATTTTTAAAGTATGTATTTATGCTATATATCTATATAATATATGTACATATACGCATACAAAAACATAAATGTTTCAATACATGGTACGAGAATTTAAAAAAAGCATTATTCTTTAGCTTGTTGAAAAAAATTTAAAATGTTTGTCTGACGAAATTTCACCATCTTTTGCTGAAGGAGACAATTTTCGTAATAACTTTCTAAATTTTTCAAATGTTGAAATGCAGTGAAATCATCTTTAGCAAATTTTTTCAATATAGAAATATGATTTAGAGCTTCCCCATATGAATTTATCGTTTTTGAACCGCTTAGTGAGTCCACCAGTTCCACTTCTTCTTCTGAGTCGTTTGGACTACCATATTCAAGTTGGCCTGGGCTGCCAAAACAGTTTTTAATTGTAGAGGAATTTACTTTATTCCATGCTGTTTTTATAAAATACAAAGCTTCTAACACATTGATAGACTTTGTAAGCTCAGATAAGCTTTGACCATCGTCAATTTTTGTTAAAATATGTTTTAAAATCAAGTGCCGATAATAAAATTTAAAGTTCTGTATGACACCTTGATCCATGGGCTGACAAACAGAAGTTGTGTTTGGCGGTAAAAATATAATTTTCACATTTTTCATTTTCATATCACGAGGATGAGAGCATGCATTGTCTAACAATAAAAGAACTTGCCTTTTTTGGATTCTCATTTTCCGGTCGAATTCGACTAACCACTCAGACATGATTTCTCGGGTCATCCATGCCTTTTTGTTGGATTTCCAAGTCGCTGGTAGATCCTTAATAGCAACGTTTTTTAAAGCACGGGGACGAGCCGCTTTCCCGATCACAATCAAATCGCATTTTTCACCGGCCATATTTGCACAGAATAAAATGGTTAGTCTATCTTTAGACAACTTTCCACCCACACATGTTTCTCCTTTAAAGGACAGAGTTTTGTCGGGCAATGCGCGAAAAAAAAGTCCACTCTCATCTGCGTTGTACATATCTTCTGGTTTGTAGCCAAGCAACATGGACGGAAGTTTCTCCAAAAATTGTGACACATCAACTTGATCTACTGCAGCAGCTTCGCCAGATATGCATTTGAAACTAACACTACGTCTCTTGCGCCACTTTTGCAGCCACCCGTCGGACGCACTGAAATTATTATAGCCCAAAGTAGTGGCGATTTCTTTAGCTTTCATTTTCACTAACGGCCCTGAGATTGGAATGTTCTGACTTCTAGCTTTCACAAACCACTCAAAACATATTTTGTCTATACCTTTTTTAAAAAATCCTTCTTTTGATTTATATTAGTTCCTGATTGCCATTTACTCCTGATATCTTCCTTATTTTTGGCAATTTCAGCTGCTTGCGTTTTCCCAATATTAAACCTCTTTGCCAAATGACGAACTGAAACACTTTCTCTGTCTAATACGTTAACAATTTCCATCTTTTCCTTTAACGAGAGTATCCTTTTTTTTGGTGCCATTTTACAGTTACAATAATAAAATACGTAACTCAATCAACTACGAATTTGCCTGAACTGAAGACAAGCCACAAGATTACATACAGGCTACCCAACGAAATGCGTAAATGGCGAATCACCTAATATAAATCGGGGAATTACCGAATTTTATGTATGTAGATATGTGCATTGCAATAAGCGGAACTAAAAAATCGTCCGGGTATTAGAGTTTCGCGTCCGCTTATGGGAGATTTTTTGATCACATACAGGAAAATCTAGTGTCCGCGTCCGTTTATAAGAGCGTCCGTTTATCGGAATGCATTTAACATTGAAAATTGATGGCTGAAATTCGGTTCCAGGAACTTTGTCCGGTTAAAAGAGATGTCCGCTTATAGGAGCTGTCCGCAAGGAGAGCTTTCACTATATTACGATAAAAATATTGGTCGTTTAGAGGCTCCGTTATGCAAATACACCTCATCTATCATAACGCCTTTACTTTGGACAGTCTTCGAACGAGATGCTATATTATAATTTATTAAGGTAAAAATAAAATAAATAAATGCGAATATTTTTTTCCGTGCATCTAACTTCTTTTTGGAATGCCTAATCAGTATGTTATTATTGTTGAGAAGGGAGCGTTATAAAAGCAAATAACTCATTATTGGCCCTTATCAAAAGACGTGAGTTCGAACTTTTCACCATTTCGACTTGCCTTATTATTTTGATGGTTTTAACAATGATTGTGATTACTACACGAGAACATAGCTATCATCACTTGTGTGTAGCAAATTCAAAGTCATTTGCCTCTAAAAGATATTTTTTACAATTATCTTAATCCGTAGTGCGTATTGATATTCCTAATCAGTTACTTTGGTGTTTACTTCACATATTTACAATGAAATACGCATGTTACGAATGTATGGCGAAAGGTCAATGTACATTTTGTATAAAATTAAACCATTGTGCAACGCAAACATATGCTTAAGAAATGAAATTTATTTATGAGTGATAGGCATTTCTTATAGTGTTTTAATCACGTGCAAATAGTGTGACTATATATATCAAGATAAAGTATTAATGGATGTAGCACTTGCTCAAACAGTTTAAGTAGTAATAAATTTTACCGCAGTTTGTATCAGACAGATGGTTTTTCTTATCACATTCAATTGTTGATATTTCACTCATAATGTATGCCAGATACTTTTCAAGATCTTTTTATCAGGATGAAAAAGCCCCGAATGCATTGTCGTCCCTGTACCTTGTTTATCTTGACAGTTAGGTGCAAAGAGATAAGTGCCAAAAGAAATTAAGTTGATGTTCAATGATTTGTAGTCGTAGCTAGTTTTTATTAGGAATATCCAAATCCAGTTTAAGTTGATATTTCAGACATTCCGGTATCTTTTTCAAGGTTTATTTCTTGATTGACTGACATCAAAATATTTCGGATTACACACTTTGACGCAAACTCTGTTGCTTGAACCAAGTCGCAGAATAATTACGCTTCAGATTGAATTCTGGTAGCTTATTACATAGTTTTCAAAGATGTACTTCGGAAAGAAATTCAGAAATAAAATATTATAAATAAATCGTCTGTAGTGAAAGTATACTATTAGATATGAGGAGCTTTTAAAAAAAGTCCACCGATTGTCGCGATAAAAATGACGCAAGGATTGGATACGATGTTTTAGTGCAAAAAGTAATGTTTGAAAATTTAAAAATGGCGAGTGAGAGCCATTTTTTAAATGGAATGCGGGCTTACGTGGCACGTAATTTTCTAGCTCCTTATTAATACCTTATAACCCTAGAATATAAAGTCACAAAATCGCGAATTGCCAGGCTCTCAAAGTTATATATTGAATGGCTTATGCCTAAATAACCAATCATCAAAACGGTACAGCATGTTATACCAATCTTCTCGGAAAGACATAGTAATGTACTCTCTAGATCTAGACATAAAGGGACTGATAAAGAGTTTCAAAACGAGCTATCGGATGAACTCCAATTACATTTAAACCATTTAAAGAAACTGTTCAAGATGTCGTCTAGCTGTCATTTCGAAATTTTCAATTGAAGGGAAAAAGATGAATGCCACAAAAAGTAAGTTTCGACTCGAATCGTTGTACATGGTGGGTCAAAGATCTGACGGAGTACTATCATAGATTCTTTATAATAAGAAATTAGAAAAAGTTAAATTATAAATGAAAAAATATTTTTGATATACAGGGTAGCCCAAAAGTGAAAGCAGACCAAATGTTTTTTAATGGCAAATCCTTTTGATTTTTTATTTTGAGATTCTCCTTATGATTTTTTGAGATATTGAGATAAGAAGTGAGCGTCTCGTCATATGCGACATCCTGTAAGATCTAAGGGTTGATTAGCCAGCAAAATTAGGTTCTACGATCTAATATCAGAACTACCTTAACAGCAAATTTATTACACAGAACACGAGAAAAAGGTGATTTTCTAACTCAGTAGCTCAAACAGAATTAGCACAGGTAAAAAACAATAAACCAAAAAAATCTTTATTCAAAATAATATAGAACACACAAAACAAAATTAATGGTAAATGCTTAAAAATGATTTCTCAACGTTTATTATTTTTTTCATACAACGGCTGTGACATTAATACTTTTTTTCCTGCACGGCAAGTTTTCAATTGGGTACAACTACGTACTGTCATTGTTTTTGCGTGTTTCCGATACCGCACGAGATTGTACTGTGTTAGGACTACATGTTACCGTTTTAACTACAAATTATATTATTTTTTTTCCTTTTCGTATTAATATATTCAGATCCCAGCTTGCTAACTTGAACCCTTGAAAATCGCTGTGCTTTACCATCCAAGCATAAAAAGTATGATCAACGAATACTTAATTGCTCATGTGTTTTAGGCACCCATTCCTGATTCGTACCGAGGTAAATACAGAAATGATAGATACAGTGATGAAGAAATAGGTGAACTATATGCCGATGAAGTTGGGCAAATATGCGAAAATGCAAAAAACAAAAATGGAGCTGGAATTTCTGCTTTCATAGCTGAGAGTATGATAAGTTGTGGGGGGCAGGTGATACCCCCAAAGAATTACTTTTCACAGGTAAATTGATAAACACGTAGCTTCCAACCGATGTGATAGGAATATGTCATTACTGTTGTTCACATGTACACTATGTATTGAGCGGATTGCTATTTTTACCTTTATTTAGTTAGTTTTATTGGGATTAGTATTATTTGTGAACCTTGAAGTGCTGCTAGATAAAATCTAGTGTAAGTTCCTACGAACTTTTACAGACTATTGAGAAACATATAATCTTATATTATGCAGGGTGATCGGAATCGACTATTCACCTTTTCTGAATTTCCCCTTTGAGTGATCTTAAAATGACCTGATCTCTGATTTGGAATTAACGACCTGAAAACCTAATGGTACGAATCTGGACTAGAATGCAAGACTTATTTAAAATTGTACTTGAAGTGACTTTGAAACGACTCATTGGCGTCTGATTTGGACTCAATGACCAGAAAAAGCTAAATGGCATGTGACCTGGTTTAACTGCCCTGATGTTCTTGGAAGTGCATTTGATATGATGTCGAAGTGACCTTCAAATGTTCTCATTTAGACAAGCGTGATATCAGTAACTCAGAAAGCATTGCTGTACTGAATATCGTATAAATGCCGTAGAAATTGTATTTTTTACCAGTTATTCACTCTTTGGGCGGATGAAAGCAGTATTATCAGTGGTGTAACTTTGGTTGTGAAAAGACGGTTGTTTCAACCGCATGAAGACTGGGATATTGCTGTAAATAAGAATAAAACACAATACATTAGAATTGAAGCCGGTGAGTTGACGACGACGAACATACAACATCAAGGATTGTGAGCAATACACAAATAAAGGGTTTCCGTTAAGGACTTGACAATTTTCTTTTTAAATAAAATGCAAAGCATTTGACATATCAAATTAAATCACTGGAGTGACGCCTAGTTGCACTAGAAATTAATTTCTGCAGAAGATCAGCCAGAAATTTCAGAGTTGAAATAATACTAAATGAACAAATCAGTAATATTATGGGGGTCAAGTCAATCATTATAGATGAAATTCAATCCAGACACCTGATTCAGTATGGTCTCGTAGTATGAACGGATAACGTGAGACTTCCAAAAGAAAATTTGGAGTGGGCCCCAGAGTAAGAAGGAAGAGAAAAAAAGCGCTGTCGGAGAATGAGCTTCAACTCGGCAGACAAGAGTGGAGACTAGGGACTGGAAGACGTATAACGCTATAAAAACCGGCTGTATACCGGGCGTTTCAGATGTGACTCTCACCATTAGGATCTCGAAAACGCTAAGACAAACGAAGTTGGTTAAATGGAGGAAAGTTGAGCATTTAGGCAACTAAGAAAAATTCAGAAAATTTTCCATTTCCAAGTATTTCCGGAGTAAGACGAAAGAAACCGAATTTTCCCAAAATAGTTTTTATTTTTTCTGAATTTATTTGCGACGGGACTTCAAAATAAAAAGCAAATTAGTATTGTTACTTTTTCTCTTCGATAAGGTGGCATTATAAGAATTACAGTGTGACCTTTCGTATCCTATCTTCAATCATCACTTTTATTTTTTATTGATGCCATACTGGATGTTTGCACAATTCTGATTCTGAACATATGTCATGCATTGACATTTCCCGACCTAAGTTGTTTAAACAAACTAATATATTCTCGTAGTTGGCCTTGAAAATTACAGTCTATCAATATTTTCCCGATTAAATCACAAATGCTCGAAATTTTTAGAACCGTGTTCACTAGACATTCAGATAATTCTCTTCCGTAGATAAATGGTATTAAAATGCAAGATGTGTACATCGGTTTAGATATGGCAGATATGCAGTGTGTTTACAAAGCTGCTATATTGTCGAGACCTTTATCAACTCCAAAATGTTTCCATTAGTTACAAGGAATAATACCCATTAGACATGTACAAAACATGTATAGGGTTCGTCAACAAACAATTTACAGTATGTATATCACAAAAAACAAACAGTAAAATGACAAGCATCAGCAAACAATTGCTTAAATTAGATATTCAAAAATGGACACCATAGGCAAACAACAGCAGATAAAATAGATTAGCTTTCCAGCAGTTAAAATTAATAAATTAGCAGAAATACAATATAAAAATATATAAAAGGACAAACAATAAGTGGATAACAAATAATACAAAAAAAAGAATATCTAAAAAGTCGCTGATGGCGTAACAAGTCTTATTAATAAAGTAGGTTCTCCACTCAGCTTTAAAATCATTTAAGGAGCTAATTGTCTTAATATACTCAGGCAGCTTATTGAATACCTTTGGTCCTAAAATAGAGGGAGATCTACTACCCAGCTTACATCGATCAAAGGGTAGATGAATGTCGTGCTGCTTACGTGTATTTAAGAATTTGAAATATCAACTTTGTTTCTGAAATACACAATTACGACCTTACACTAAAATTAATTAACACTTGAAGGCGATTACTCCAATCAGACCAATATTGTTTTTCGTAGGTATACAAATATGTTCGCGCGGCAGGTGGTGTATGCATAGCCGATGAAGTGCAAGTTGGATTCGGACGCATCGGCCATCATTGGTGGGCTTTCGAAGATTACGATGTCAGACCAGATATCGTCACCATGGGCAAACCCATGGGCAATGGACACCCTATTGCAGCTGTGGTCACTACACCAGAAATTGCTGCCAGCTTTTTTGGCACCGGAGTAGAGTATTTCAATACGGTAAGTGTCTTTTATTATAGATTTGAAATAGAAAGTGTTGCAACCATGCACTCATATACAAATACTAAGTTAATTATTCGAAAATGGGTGAACTTTGAACCAACATTGTGAACTTGTGCTTTGAAAAGAACACTCAAGAATTTTAAAATTAATAAACTTATTTCAATGAAACGGATAATTTTTTAACTGAACATATACATGAACTCAGAATCACCACTTTAAGCTTGATCAGCCTGTATATGTTGGTCATGATCCTGATACGGATAATGCGAATGATAGTTTAAAAAAAACATAAAATAAATAAAATTGTAGGTCATGAAACAGAATTTTGGATAAACTTAAACTTAACTTCATATGCGTGAGAAAAAGTGGTGTCAAGAAGACTGATTTAGCACTTCTCTGCCATCATATACATTTTCAAATTATGTGCAATTTTTTTCTGATGGTGAACCAAAATGGAAAATGGTTCTTAAAAATTTTTGATAAATTGATATTTTGACATAATAATAATAATAATAAACCGTCTTTTATTAGAAAAAAAAACAAATTACGGATAATTCATATGTTATTATCTATAATTAGATTAGTGAGCAGCTAATGGCGAAGCTTAGCTATGGCAGCTATTCTTACACTTAACCATTAACTGTATAAGAATATAGATGGTAAAAAAGTACAGCTGTAAAGAAAATAATAATAAAAATAAATGGAGGAAAATGCCCATGTAACTGATTACAAACTAAATAAACATTAGCTTAAAAATATAATGCTGGAGAAAACCACCTTTAAGAATCACCATTGAGCAGAAGAGCTCTTAAGTGCTTTTTAAAACTATACAGCGGCAGGCTTTTTGTTCTGTAATCTAAGTATTGTACAATATGCATGCATTATATGAGAAGGACCTGTTAAAAACAGATGAACTATGAAGTGGAATTGCTAAAGCGAATGTGTTACGGATATGTCGTTGATGAACATTATACCTAAAAATTAGTTTTTCACGTAGATAAGTTGGACTTCCAGAGACAAGTAACTTATGTATAAAGGTTAGATAGTTGCGTTTAACTAAATCTGTCATCTTTAACCAACCTATTAAAGGATAGCGATCCGAAACATGATAAAAATTTTCTTAAACTAAATATGAATCGTACGCAGTTCTTTTGAACTACAGATATTCTGTTACGACTTGCAACATCCAAACAAGGATGATAAACTAGATTGCAATAATTAAAAATAGATAACACAAAAGATTCACACAACTTTTTTCGCACTTTGAAATTCAGCAAATTTTTGTTCGCATACAGAGTTCTCAGACGGATGTAACTTCTTTGTAAGAGATTATTTAAATGTTCACCAAAAACGCACGTTTTCATCAATAAACACACCTAGACACTTGACACTTTCAGAAAAAGGAAGATTTTGATTGTTAATAGATATACTCAAGGAAGCTTTGACTTCGGCTCTTCTGTGATTTGGACAAAACAGCACAGCAGAAGATTTGGAAGCATTAACGGTTAGGCTGTTATTGGCTGAGTAGGTGCAAATAGAGTCAATGTCCTCGTTTATTTCCATAGTAGCAGTCTGTAGGTTCTCAGGATAAAAGAAGTAAAGCAGTTGAGTGTCATCCGCATAAGACCGTAGCTGAGAATTTTGAATGGACTTAGCAATATCGGCTACATAAATTAAAAATAACAAGAGTCCTAAAATTGTGCCCTGAGGCACACCCGAAGTGATAAAGTGCTCATTTGACAAAACTCCAGAAACTGAGACGCGCTGAGAACGGTGGGTTAGGTATGATTTAAAAAACTGCAGTGCTATTTTATCAAAACCATAAAATTTTAGCTTAGCGCACATCAGTGCGTGATCAATTCTATCAAAGGCTTTGGAGAAATCCAGTGAAACTAAGGCGACACACATTTTTTTATCAAGGGCCCTGATGATGTTGTCCACTAAATTAAGAAGAGCAGTTGTAGAACTGTATGATTTTCTAAAACCAGACTGATGTACTGGTAGTATGTCATTTGACTCTAAAAAATCTATGATTTGCAAATAAATGATTTTCGACAAAACACTCAAAAGACTGATGGGCCTGAGATCCGAGAAATCGGTGGGCTTCCTGACCTTAAGTATTGGCTTTACTATTGCTCGTCTCCAAGATTTAGGAAAGTAGCCCTTCTCAAGACACAGATTGATAATATGGGCCAAGTAAGGTAGTATAATAGGGAGAGATAGCTTAATCATAAAAAGAGATATACCGTCAATACTCTTTGCATTTGACTTAAGGCCACTCACAATAGTTTTGATAGTAGTAGGCTCAACCAGAGTGAAGGAAAATCTCCGATTGCCAAACGTGTTATTGTGATAAAAATTGAATGTTACTTCGTCGGGCTGAGCACAATGAGACACTGATGCAAAATAATCGTTTATAGCGCCTGGATCATTGAGGTGAGATGGAATACTTTCAGTTCTTGTCTTTGAATTAAAGGCACCGATATTTATGTTACCTAAAGCTCTCCAAAGTTCTTTTGACATATGATGCTCTTAGATAAATCAAAGTTTATGTCACCTAATATTAAAACGTTATCATACTGACAGATGCACAAAGGCAGGACAGAGTCCCACACGTTAGCAAAATCGCCAAAGGACTGGGGGTCTGTAACTGACACCAATGCAAAATTTATCTTTATGAAGAATAACCTCTAGCCAGATGCTTTCCATAACTGTGCTGGTATCAATACCAAAGTCAAGAAGTCTCACCTGATACATAGATTTAATATAAATGCCAATGCCACATCCTCGGCCTTCTCTATCTCTGCGATAAAAGTTATACTCTGGAACTTTAACAACTTCAGTAGGTATATTGCTAGTCAACCATGTTTCGGTCACCGCGAAAAAGTCGTACTCTTGTTCAGTTAATATATCCACAAAGTCAGAAAAACTAGACAGGTTAGAACGAACGTTAAGCTGACCAAATGTCACTGTTTTCAGATTACCATCCATACTTGATAATTGAATTGTTGAAGTTTCACTGGAAAAAACGGACAAGAGAGACTTGTTACGGACTGTTCAATCGAGAATGAAGATTTTTTAAGATTGGAACACTTTACATTTCCCATTGCCTCTGATTTACAAATTCTTAAAGGTGATATACCAATGATGTAAGGATCATGCTCGTAAATAAAATGCACAATGTTAATGATACTAGAAAATTGCGATATAACGGTTATTTGTGCTAATTTAAAGTTATGTTGGAGTTTAAATAGCATCGTAGTTGATTTTAGATTTAAAACTATTAATGTGATTTTGAAGAAAGGAGGATCTCTAATACTTTTTCACTTCACCGTCCCTTACAATGACCCATGACCTTGCTCCGTATCGCCCTCCAATTTCCTCAAAGCCGGACAAAAAATTCACTAACAATAATGAGATACGTAATTCTTGACTACACTACTTTTATGAATCCTTACAAGGTTTGAGCCACCTCAAAAAATTTTATCGACAGATATTTGTCAAAACGCGTAAGCACCTTTTGTTATCACCGAAATTGTAGAAAATGCATTAAGAGACACTGAGCTTCCTACTCGACGCTGTCATCACTTCAGCAAGGATTATATTCGGTAGAAATTAGTTCCTCTTACAAAAAAGCTGACATCGAACATGTATACCAGAGGAATTGAAGGGATCATGTCAGTCAAACAGGCTCATACAATTAGTCCATACTCCCCTTGGATTTGACAACATTGTAATCTAACCTGCCCTCTACCGATAGTACCGACCACCAAGCAAGGTGGCAACTCAGCACAGTCTTGCATTCACGAATACACGCACCATCATGCATTTATCCCTCAGCATACGAAGCAGATAGGCACGCGTATATCGAAAATAATTATTAAAAATTCAAGTTTCAAGGGCAAATATACGAGAAAATATGAAATATATAAGACAGATCGACAGACAGACAGACCGACCGTGATAAGTTACTGTTTTTCGTAATCTAGATGTCATGTAACGTCCAAGAAAAACGATAACTCATTTTCGGAATCTTAATACAGGAAGTCAAATATATAGTTAAATTGCCTGGACAATTATCATTTAAAGTGAAAATTGGAAACTTGCTCTCGAATCAAATATTTTTTTTTCTCAGTATGGTGGCAATCCAGTATCCTGTGCAATCGCAAATGCAGTTTTCGATACAATCGAGCGGGAGAATTTGAGAGAAAGAGCAGTAACTGTTGGTGAATACCTATTGGATTGCTGTCAGCAGTTGGCTAAGAAGCACCATTTGATTGGGGATGTCAGGGGAGCAGGTTTGTTCGTAGGCATCGACATTGTTGAAGACAGACAGAGTAGAAGGCCTAATAGATCGTGTGCAGAATTCGTCAGGCAGAGGTGAGTAACACCTATTTATAACAGGCTAAAAATTCAAGCATTTCCCTTGTGGAAGCAAGACATTAGGCATGCTTTAGAAAACGCCTTTCACAATTTTTATAGTTTTGTCCGACGTGCAGTGGTTGCAATTATGTAAATAAGAACCTACCGGCTCCGGACGAATGTTTGCCATTATTAGTACGATTTTACAATGAACGAATAGATTTTAACGAATTATACTTTTAGCTATATCGAGTTGAATTTTTAGGACAAAAATTGTTTGTTATTTTATATATTCGAAGGCACTTTTTATCTTACTTTTATTTTTGGTATGTTATAAGACGATATAAAATGATTTATTTCAGTGTAAAAAGTTATTAAATTGTACTACCAGTGAACATGCCCTAAAACATCTTTTTGCCAAAAATTGGTACGCCACTGATATTTCTTAAAGTGAATACTTGTTATGGTTAGCATTATCATGTCTACATAAAAACCCTAACTTACTATTTCTCCTCAGATACCGTCTTTGAGTAAGGCGAAAATACAGGGTGTTTCAGTTTATTGTTGCATAACTTTAAGATTCGATAGAACGTTTAAAATTAATGCATAAAGTCTATATAAACATGGGTCGAAAAATGCGTGGCTTCCGAAATACAGAGTGTTTAAATTTACTTTCTAAACATTTTTTTTTAAATGTTTCGAGCAATATTTGATGTATAACAGTGAAAATTTTTATACAAGGGTTCTTTGGTACGACAAAACGAACCATGGGCATAGTTTTACTATAGCCGCTCTCTACTGTACCTGTAGTGTATTAAAATGACCGAAAATTTTTTCTTAGTGCAATTTTTTGCTTTTCAACATAAAAAAGCTCTCCTGTGAGTTTTCGTTCTGGTTAGCCGTTTTTGAGATATTTCGATTTTTAAGGTTCGATGCATTTTTAATTATTTATGGGAAAATAATATTTTTTTTACATTTTCGATTTGGGCATTATAAGTAATTGAGATGATTGTTTAGATTGTGTTTTTAAACACAGCAATAATTCCTAACTCCAAATAAACACAAAAAAACAGAATATTAATTTGTTTAATTTTCCAATATTATTTTTAACAAATTAAATTAATTATTAACTAAAATGCTATTTGATAGTTAGGACAAACATACAAAATCTAAAGTAGTTGCTCGAAATGTAAACCCAATTGTTCAATACACAATTCACATCTACGAATGATCGAACGTGGTATAGCATTATTCAAATAAGGCCTTATTTCATCACATGCATTCCTGATTCTGTCTATTAGCATATCTCTTGTGGTTACGGGAGTCTGGTACACTTTTTCTTCTATAAATCCCCACACAAAGAAATCTAATGGATTTAGGTCAGGGGATCGTGGAGGCCAGGCGACGGCCAATCCATCTATCTGGATAATTTTCGTCCAGCCAGTTGCTAACTATTCTCGAATAATGAGCTGGACAACCATCAAGATAGAACCAGGCCAATCTTCTTAAATCTAACATAACATCATCCCACATATTTGCATGTTCAGCCTTTAAAAATTCCAAGAAGGTCGCAGCATTTAACCTTGCAGGCAAAAGGTAGGGTCCAAATAGTCGATTACGGTAGATACCAATCCACACGTTCACACTAAATTCATGCTGAAAATTTATTTCTCGAACTGCATACTTGCAATTTCAAAAATATTTGCAGGCACAGCCTACTTCTAAAAATTATCGAGATACTGACTTTTTAACGTTATTTTATCATAAATAATTAAAAATGCATCGAACCTTAAAAATCGAAATATCTCAAAAACGGCTAACTATAGCGAAAATTCACAAGAGAGTTTTTTATGTTGAAAAGTGCGAAGAATCATTTTTTTTATTCGGTCATTTTAATACACTACAGGTACAGTAGAGAGCGCCCTCTAGCGGCTACAGTAAAACTATGCCCATGTTTTGTTTTGTCGTACCAAAAAACCCTTGTATACCAATTTTTACTATTATACAATATTGTTCGAAATATTTAAAAAAAAACTCTTTTAGAAAGTAAATTTAAACACCCTGTATTTCGGAAGCCACGCATTTTTCGAGCCATGTTTATACAGACTTTATGCATTAATTTTAAAAGTTCTATCGAATCTTAAAGTTATGCAACAATAAACTGAAACACCCTGTATAATAACTGTTGCTGAAGAACATTAGAGGCGTACCAATTTTCTTGTGAAAAAACATCACACGACATTTTCGCAGGCACGCCACTGGTGGCGTAGTTGAACAAGTTTTTATACTGAGATATGTCATTTTATATCCTCTTACGATATGCTAAATTTGAAGATAAGTACCTTCGAAAATAAAATAAAATCTAGGTTTTCTTATATTGTAAATTTAATAGCCTTTATATGTTCATAATTTATCTTTATTAAATTATCTGTAGCATCATATCCTGGAATATCAGCACGTCATTAGGGAACACCCTGTAGTAATGTGTAATAGAAATAATGTGCGCTCAAACCGTTTCCTATGCGTATTCTTGCTGAAAGTGTGGAAAACACTTTTTAACTACGTCAGAAAAGGTGCTCCAACTAATCTGAAAGCCTCTAGGGGAGACCATAAGATGTCTGGATAGGAGACTGATATTGTAGACGTTAGCAAGAGTATTAAACCTGTCTAGATAACTGGATGAAGCTACTTCACAAAATAGTAACGTAGTCTAGGAGGTTACCTATTTGATCTCGACTCAACTAGCTGATGCATAACACTTTTTTTTATAAATGTCAATTGTGTTTTATCAAGGCTCAATAGCTGCGAAATCCTTATGATGAAATAACGGCCATGTTACAGTCGTGACAGTCCCATTTGCCTTCTACTCAGCATGTGAGCCAAGAAAGGAGTAAGTAATCCTGACGGTAAATTTTCGTTGGATTTCATTGAAACATTTATTACGTTCTTGGTGTAATCCGATCTTCTAGAATGTTTCTTATCTTTCTTCGTTTAGGTATACTTCCGCCAAAGGTCTCTTCCGAGGCTTTCAGGCTGTGCGGTCAAACGTTCACGCCTGGAAAGCTACCCAGATGCTCCCTCCAAGTGAGGAATGGTTATTATAGCTATTAGTCAAATCACATTAGTAAATTTCCCCGAAATAATTGTAAAGTCTGGTTTTATCGATGCAAGTCGTTCAAGGGGCTATTTAAAACATGGACGCGTGAAATGGGTACACCAATTTTTGTGTGAAAACTGTTTATTTGACAACAAAGAACGAGAAAATGTGCTTTTTTTGGGAATCAATCGAAAGTTTTGACAGGAACGAAAAAACTTTTCATATAAGATTTTTAGGTATTTATGAGACCTACAAAATGAGACCACACGTAAAAAGATCCGATTAATAGCAAAAATGTTATGACTGAAAAACGATGCAAAATGCAGGTTTTGGCACATCGCATAAAAATAACATTTATCTTCCAGGATGGTTTGTGATTATATCGGCAAGTTAAACTTGTGTATTTTGCTATTAAATGCCCTATGAACTAACCCTGTATATTGCTCAATAAACTAGTAGTGATGGCCGGAAAACAGGTGTTTTAGGATAAACAATTAGAAATTCTCAAAAACTATTGGACCAATCTACTCAAATTTTGTTGTGGTTATTAAGAAGTACGAATCGTACGAATTTGAAGAATTTCAAATATCTGCGAGAAAGCATCGTCGCATTACCAACAAGTGCTAAAACCTGCAGTTTGCCTCGCTTTTCGGTCATAACATTTTTGTTATTAGTCGGATCTTTTCACGTTTAGTCTCACTTTGTAGGTCTCATAGATACTTAAAAACGTTATATGAAGAGTTTTTTCGTTCCTCCCAACACTTTCGGTTGAATCCCAAAAAACAGGTTTTCTCATTCTTTGTTGTCGAATAAAACGTTTTCCTACAAAAATTGGTGTACCCATTTTATGCGTCCATGTTTTGAATGTCCCCTTGAACTAATTGCAGTAATGAAACCAGACTTTACAATTATGTATTTCGCAAACCAGGGGTATTTTCGTCTATGATTAGACTAGTATACGTATCAAACCGAGAAATAAATAAATAGTTTATGTGACTCAAAACATGGTTAAAATAATCATTTTTGTAAGTAAATGTTCGAGTGTAAAAGCCAGTCTTTTTGATTATTAGATTGTACATTCGATTGAAAAGAGCGTCTGCATTCTCAATCATTTGACTTGTTTGCAAAAATTGCTGTCATTATAAGCGCTAACTCAATAACTAGTTCGGTAATCATTTTAAGCTCTCAATGCTGAACTTAAAAAAGCGTAATTTAGTGTTTTGAATTATAGTTTACTAAACACCTCTTTTTCAAAGGGTTAGCCAGTCACGTTATAAGACAAACTAGTATCTGTTGTTTTGTTTTCCAGAATGAGGGAGGAACACATCCTGATAAGTCTAGATGGGCCAGACTGTAACATCATCAAGCTGAAGCCACCGATGGTATTCTCCAAGGGAAACGTGAACGAAGTGGTTGCTGCTCTAGATACAGTATTAGAAGAATACAAACATAAAACGGATACAGATACGATACAGACGCCCGCTGCGGGTAGGGCGAATGTCAAAAAACACAGGCCTACAACATCCACCTTTAAAAAACTTATCAAATCTATGTGATAATTTACTTTTGCGGCTGTATTCGTGGTGCATATAATTGATTTGACATTTTATTTTCTTTGGGCAATCGTAATTCAAGGCATTTGTGCTGATATTTTCACTAAGCAGGAAGACTGAGGAGTTTCATTTTATTGGAAGAAAAATATTTATGTATATTTATATATGAACATATTTGATGTGATATGACGATTATCAATGTTTTAATTGGTGTAATAATAAATGAGATATGTAAAAATTCTTGTTTTCATTGAAAGATACAACAAAAAAGTACAACAAAAAGAGAGAATTGGAGAGTAATGCGTTACCTACCTTAAAGACATTGAAAACTACTACTAATTAACTAACTTGACATATCGTTACCCAGTTCTGCTTATCCAAGTTGACTCTGAACTTCCCACACAGTAGCTGAAAACTAAAAATAATAGCAAATGTAAATAAACTTGAACTGAACACAAGCAAAACAAAATATACGAGGGATGTCTTCTAAGTTTTGCATATAGAAACATAGTAGGCCTCGCGGATCGAACGTCAGTACTGAATCTTAACCTCACTCTTTAGTAAACTTAAATTCAAAGTTTCACAACAATACGTGCAGTGTTCTCACTACAGTGAATTTTTAAGTGTCACCAAGTCATTAGAAAAATGGAACTCAACCGAGAACATTTTTCTTGCTGAGTTACTGTCTGTTTTCGGCAACGAAGCGCCACATCAGTTGACAATTTCCCGTTGGTATGGAGAATTCAAACGTGGACAGGTGAGTCTTAGCGACGGAGGGAGGGTGCACCAAAAACGGCAGTCACCCAGGAAAACGTCGATGCTGTGCGCAAACTCATATTGAAGATAGACACGCGACATATCGCGAGATTGAGGCGTCCTTGAAGATCTCAAAGACCTCAATTCAAAAAATTTTACATGAAGAATTAGGAGTGAGAAAATTAGTTTCTCGTTGGATACCCCACCTGTTGACTGAAGAGCAGAAAGCAGCCAGGGTCAAAAAACGCTTGACCGTTTCAATTCCGGAAACTCAAAAAATATGTACAGCATTGTTAGTGGTGATGAATCGTGGGTTAACTGTTATAAACCAGAAAATAAACGACAGTTGGCTGTTTGGGTGTTCGAAGGTGAATAAAAGCCAACAAAAGTCATCCGTTCTCGAAGTGTTTCGAAAAAGATGGTCGCGACATCCGTGTCAACAGCGGGTCATATTGCAACATTTCCTCTTAGTGAACAAAGAACTGTTACTGCGGATTGGTATACCACCATTTGTTTGCCAAAAGTCATCACCGAGCTTCGAAAAATCAGCCCCGAAAGAAAAATCATCCTCCACCAAGACAATGCAAGCTCGCACACAGCCCAAAAAACAAGGCAGTATTTAAGGGAAGAAAACCTGGAATTATTGGACCATCCTCCATATAGTCCTGATCTAAGACCTAATGATTTCTTTACTTTCCCGAAAATTAAAAACAGACTGCGTGGTCAAAGGTTCCAGTCACCAGAAGAAGCAGCTGACGCATTAAAAAATGCCGTTTTGGATCTGCCAGCAAACGAGTGTAATAAGTGCTTCGAAAATTGGTTCTAGCGCATGCAAGTGTGTACTAATCTCCGTGGAGGATACTTCGAAAAACAATAAAGTCATTTAAAACTACCTACCGTGATGTTTTATTTCCATATGCAAAACTTAAAAGACACGCCTCGAATGCTAATAGGAAAATCTTTAGTTCAAAACACGATATATCTTACAATTAATCATGAAAAAATTGTGTCAATCGAATGATTTAAATATTTGGGCATATACGTAGGCAGTAAGTTAAAATTTGAAGTACACTATGAATATTTATATTATTCCAAAAATATCCCACAAAATAAATTACTTTTATAGAATTTTGCATAGCCTAAGCGTTTATTATCAAAAAATTGTGTATCATTCTTCCTCATTTGTTATATTGTTCGACTATTTTGTTCACTTCAAATATGAAACTGTATTTTCAAGATTACAAATATTACAAAATAAAGCTATGAGAATCATCTTAAATAAAAATAAATATACTAGAATAAATTTTATGCTGAGAGAACTACAATGGTTGAATATCATGTCATAGCCCACTTGGTTTTGATTTTCATATTCAAGTTAAAAAATCATCTTCTACCAAATCACTTAGAAAATTTTATTGTATTGAACAATGAGTGCCACAATTATTCTACTAGAGGAAGTATATATGTACTTCAATTTACAAAACTGCAGTGGCAATATAACGAGAAAGTCAATATTCCAAAAGGGATTGTACCAATCGAATAAATTAAGTAATGATATCAAGATGTGAATATGTAGTCTTGAAGCCATAATATAATTTGTGATATACTCTGTAATATGGATATTATGGATATTGTAGCATTAATGCTAAATAAATCTGAAACAAACAAACATCACATACTTTGGTGAAGAAGTATGCCATCATCGGACGCACACCACTAAGACAGCGTTTCTCAACCCTTCACCATTCGCGATCCAACTTTCAATAATTATTTTCTCCCCCCCCCTCACACAATAACATGTGTGTATACAATAATAATGTCCTTGACGCTAAAATTTCAGTACAACCTTAATTTCAAATCCTACAACTTACCGAGAATAAGTAAATTTATAGATATTTGACAACGCTGATCTGCTGCAAATTTAAATTTATACCAAATCGTGGATAAATTTTTAAGTGGGTATGCGTGAGCATTCGATACTAGTGAAGCATCAACAAGTGCACAGACAAATAAAATCAAGAAAATAATCTCAATAATACTTAGATTTTCGGCTTAGATGTGTATCATTTGCTCAAAAACTTTAGCAGCAGATAGCATGAAACCTAATAAATTTAAACGACATTTGGGAACGCTTCATAGTGTCAACAATACTTGGAGACTCTTGTAAGCACAATGATAAAACGAAAAAAAAATTAAACAATCAGCTGGAGTTACTACGATTCAATAAATATACAATTTATAAACAGGTAAACTATATCCTACTTTCCCTTACAACGAAAAACAAATTAGACTCTTGCGATTTTTTTATGGTCCTAACAAGGCCCTTGTGCCTTGGCAGGTACAAATTAGGACATCGCCGCCATTGAAGCGACTTAGTGCTGTTCAACATTGTCGTAAGTATTGTACTGAGCTGTCATAAGCTTATGTTGTGCAATACTATCATAAGGATTATCGTTAATACTCGTATATACAATGTGTTTGGTCACGACATACCGATATTTGAGGGGGATATTTTTCAGCTATTTTTATCGACGAATCCACCCCCTACAATGTCCTAACTCACCCCCTTGAAATAGACGCATACCGCTGCGAACGAAATTAGGGCTGACACGGATATGGTCTGCCGCTTAACACGACACATTGTTTTAAGAACAGCAATGTGAAGAATAATGTCCATGTCCAAACTCTCTATAAGAAACATTAATTTGTCATTTTTATGTATGCAAAAGTTTGAAAACAATTTGCATTTTATTACACCCATTTTGACCCATGTTAGATAGCATCTATTGCTTAACGTAGAATACTTAGGATAACAAAAAGTTGTAGAATTAGCACAAAAAAGTACAACTTCACAGACTAGTTTTTGAATGGTGTGCGGAAATGCACAAAATATTCAATTTTCTTCCATATTTTTTTTCTGTTTGTGTCGGTTTTTAAGTATGTTTGACGGTTAGTATCAAAACAAGTTTTTCAATAATCGTGACATGTCGTCGTTCAAATGACATTAAATTTATCATTCTGTGACATTTACGTACTCAGTTATTACAATTTTCATACATGCACTACCGTAATCGTAACGTAAAAATAAAAATGGGTGGTATTTCAAGGGGGATGAGGTAGAACATTGGGGGGTGGATTTTTCGATAAAGATACCCCTCTTGAATATCGATATGTCGTGACTAAACACTTTGTATAGGCCCCAGTAACATTATGCGCCTATTAGCCGTATTTCACATACATGTTATTCCGTATATTTGGTCTTAAGAACATACACCCGACGAATTTGTTACCTAAACTGCAATATAGTACATTATATACACTATGAATAATCAGATACGGGAGAATATTATGGGTGTAGCTATTCAGGTGTGAAACAATATCGTCAACTTTTGGTACCTTTTTCTAAAGCAAATAATACCAGAGCTACGAAAGCTACAAAGAGCAAATTTGTAGATCCTTTGGGCTGGAAGTACCACAGCAAGCGGCTATAACCGACCACTTGGTTGTGGTTAGATGTCGCCTTGAAAAATCGGGGTCTTCTAGCCATTTTATACTACAATGTGCAGGTTGGCTCTTGTTGGGGACTTCGTGTGTAAAACATGTTTTCCTTCTTCATCTTTGTTTCCTCAGGTTACACCCGCATCCGGATGTATGGGCTTGTGTATTTACCTTTGTGGTTGCATATGTGCATTCATTTCAGGCCTAATGAAGTCAAACGCAGAAATACGTATCGCTCGGGTTACCTATCCTATTTTCTGCTCGAATCCACTTTCCTTCTTTTTGCGAATTTTGCCCATTATTTTCCTATTTTTTGTTATATACCTGTCTCCGCATTATCATTTTCTCTTTGTAGGCCCTGGGCTGCAGTTTCCCGTCTTTCGAGGTTTGATATAGACCTTAGTATTCTTTTTTGCATAAGAAAGGCCCTTCTAGAATCACAGGATTTCCCTATTACCATTATGCCATATACCAATTATAGAATGGGCATATGCAAAGTAGTAGGTAGTTAGTTATATTTGAATATTAATAGCATTCACCTTTTTTCAAGTACTACTCTTACCACGTTTTACATTAGGACGCATTCACCTTTTATTGGCAATTAGACCTTACATTGGACTACGTCAGAGTGACACGGGACGTAGATGGGCTTCACATCAATCAGATAAAATCAACATACTTTACTAAAAGTTTTCTAGTTTTCGAGATATTGCCACTTTGAAGTTCTGCTTTTTGCTCCTTTTTGCCTGTTATGGATATAAAGAACTTCTAACTTATTGAAAGCTAGTACGGTACGCTACAAAAAAATTATTACATTTTGTTTCAATGTGAAAACCTTTGCTAAAGTTTGACTAACTACTATGAAAAATAAATGTACCACACTTAATTGGCAAATGATCTTAAAAACTATCCTATTTAATGATCTTTTACAAATATTATTTTTTATTTGTAGTATTTTCCAACAACAAAACTTGAAATTATTCAGTAAAAGGAACCAACAAATGTTATGCAATTTTTGAAAGAACATTAAATAGATTTTAAGGTCTGATTCAGTCTGGTACATTTTTTATGATGACTTTATAAACCGCCGTTCCTTCGGGGAAACAATGATAAACCGCTGATAGACCCAATTAGCAACATTTTCTTCAGTGACGATACGCACTTTCACCTTTCAGGCGCAGTTAATAAGCAAAATTGTCGCTATTGAGCACCAGAGAATCCAAGGCGAAAGTCCCCTACATAGCCCAAAAGTAACTGTGTGGTGTGCAATTTCGACTTCAGAAATTATCGGTCCGTCCTTTTTTGAGAACCAACCAACTAGTGATCGTTATTGTGCAATACTTCGGGAGATTTTGGTACCTCAGCTACAAGAATTTTATGGCTTTGAAAAGGAAACACGGTTTCAATAAGACGGCGGAACCGCACATACAGCCCGAGCATCTGTGGAAGTCATTCGAGAATTATTCCCGGAAAAGGTCATCTCTCGCTTTCTAAACCTAAACTGGCCAGCTAGGTCTCCTGATCTCACCCCATTGGACTTTTTTTTGGGGGGGGTACCTTAAAAAGAAAGTTTAAGTTGATCGGTCTTGGATAATTAGAACAAAAAATACGGGAAGATATTGGAGCAATTATTACACTTGAATTATGTTTCCGTCTATATTGAGTGTATTTTTGATTCAATAAATTAATTTCAAAACTTCAAGATAATTTTTTATTAGCCTATAAGAACGCATTTTTTAGGAGTCCATGTTATTTATTTCACATGGATAGATACCAACAGAAAAAAGCTATGGGACCCACCACCTACATGCAGAGGACCTGGAAATTTTGGGTGATCCTTTCTTAAAGATATGAGCTTCTATCAGCTGTGCCAGGAGCAGTGGGCCAGTATGCTGAGCCTGTATCCAAGAACTCCGATCAAGGTAGTAAACTCAATGAAGAGATGATGAGAAATCTTACAAACGATCGAATTTTTCTGCTTCAGTCTTGCGTTTTGATTTTGGTTGGCTTTTTATGGAGTATTAGTGATAGTGGTCGGAAAACAATACTAGTAAAGAGAATAAAAGTTGAATTTGGAAAAGTTGCTCGATTTTTTCTACCTTCCAGTATTAAGGTATTTCCATAGAGAACGAATAACGATATTGCTACTAATGCAGAACGTCTCTTTTTCTCTTGCATTTTCTACCCGACTTTGTCTAGTACTTGGCCAAACAGACCTGACTGACCTAATAGCCTATGAAAATATAACCATCAGAAGATACCCAATGCAACTGAAACCCATGGCAATAAACATTGCAGCATAGGGATGGATATCTTCTTAAACAACAACAAACATTCCTCGGACCGCTATGACAGCGAATGACGAAAAAGTAGAATTGGCCATTTATGACATTTGCCTTAACTTGACATGAGTTCTTGTTCGGTAAGTTGAATAGAATGTCAATTTATTTGCGCTAATAGTGTCACCTAAATAACATCATCATGATGCACAACAATTCTCCACGTTTTGGCATACCCCTCAAGTCCCAAACACCAGGTGCTGTTGGACCAACAAGCTATATCTTGTGTGATGGCACAGAAAAATTACGTGAGTTCAAAATTCTTGTAGAATTGTTCACTAGATTTATCGTTTACGAGTTAAATGTTCAAAAGTTTTACAAGATATCATAACAAACAATGGCACCTGAGCCAAAAACAGGAAAGTCGACAGAATCAAGATACGAATAAGTAGATCCCCATTCCATGTTTTGCACCGTGAGGACTATCTACAGCAATTTCAACAACTTTTTCAGCCAATCGTGTACCATTTTTGAGCTCAGAAAAAAAGGAGCCTTCATTTTTTGGACCATCGTTCTGTGATGCATTTTACGATGTATGCAATGATCAGACGATTTTGGTGAGTTCTGCAAATGTTGTTATTAGAAATATAGAACTTAGTAGAAATTCTAACAGTAGCTAGGAACTAGGTAGAGGTTTATTGTCTTCGGATCATAGATATGATACAAGACTTGTCACATAAGCCTACACATTATTCTTACCAAAATTTATAAATATGTTTAAGTATAAATACATAAATTGGTAAAATAAGTAGCGGTTAAAATAGAAAGTCGCAGTTATTGCCAAAATCAAATACAAAAATCAACGAAACACAGTATATAAAATAAAAATTAAATGTATTCAGACAAAAGTATCAGAACGCAAAAAAATGTATCCACAGCATTAACCCCTTATTTAATTTTAAGAATTAAGGTATTACTAAATAGTAGCATTTTTGTATTAAGCAGATTTCTGAGCTCTATCTTGAACCTGTTGGGGTATTTGATATCTTTTAGCATTGCCCCCTATGATTGAATGTCTAGAAAGTGCATTTGTAAATGTATATACACGGTAGCATTAACAAGTTATGTTGAGATATTTCTGTACATAAATCTTTTTTTTAATGTTCAATATCAAACTTAAGATTCGATACAAAATTGAAAACAATGTTAGCAAATAGTTTGGATCAATTAATAAATTAAATAAACTAGAGAACACTTTAAATTGAAATATTTATATGGAAAACGGCAAATATGTCGTCCATAAAGGTCTACAAGGATTCTACCACTTGTCCAGCACTATCTTTTGAGAAATATGAAACTACCTGTTTGCCTACCCAATGGGAAAAGTATATGTCTGCTTACCATAGCACACTTCACTGGAGGATAAGCAACACTGAACCGGTATTAGTGTGAACTAATTCACGCTCTTTTTTGGTAATGATCACAGCTAGTACTGAAAATTTAAACAACCATTTTAGGGAGGTACCTCACCAAGGTACAAATCACCACGCTTAAAGAAAGTGGAAGACGATTCAATTGGCCCCGGATATTACGACAAGGATCCTTTGAAGGAAGTCCCATCCAAAGCATGTAGAGGTAAATTACATAACCTCTTTAATTCTACCGATCAAGGACCCAAGTAAAATGAATAGAAGAAAAACATTGATCGTTAAAGGTCTTGACTGGTCGGATATGTATTTATAGTTTTTGAGATATCTGCTTTATGGTGGAGTGAAACTGACAATTATTCCCTTGGCCCTCCGGGAAAGCTCCATTGGGGAAAAATCAAATGATTATGATTTTATTTTACTGTGGCGCACCATGAAGATAACACATAAATAACTCTTTAACTTTGACTCGTAAGTTCTATTCGCTAGAGATGGTTCCGTTCGTTCTAGGATAAAATCCAGGCAAAAATTACAACTTTTTAATTCCAAATCCCAGTATTTCCGCCAAAAAGAAGGCGCTGGGACACATTTGGAGCATAATCTCCTTCAGTTCCTCATAGCACCCGCTGTGCGCTGGTATTTGGGCTTCTTCCTACGCGGCTAACTCAACATAAAAAAAGGAAAATATTTCAGAAAGGACTCCTCTTACTTATCTTTCGACCCAGTTAGGTGAGCAAGCTAAAATTTGGGAGAATGAAGATGACATGTGAGTATTATATTTTAACGTAAAGTTAGCTGGTGGCTTGGCGCTACTTCATAACAGTTTTTAAGTGAAATGGGGAGTCACGTGACACCTTATGTTAAAACTCCTAAGCCTAGAATGTAGTCACTGTCCTCCAAAATGGCAGAATGTCAAAGTTGAGCGCGTTTGTGCATTAAATTGCTTATAGTTCAACAACTAATCATCGGATCTGTATAGGGTGTTATACAAATGAAGGGTGTATAAATAAGAACGCAATATTTGAACTTAGCGCCGTTTGGCAGTCATAATCTCATGATGATTGTGACATGACAGATCGATAGTAGGCAGGCGGGAGCTTATGAAAATGAATCATTATACAATAGAACAGCGTATCCTAATTCGTAAAAATTATTACCAAAGTAGTAAAGATTCACACCTGCAACAGACCATGCACAGCGAAAAGAGCTTAGCAATTGGCTCATTGGCCAACAGTATGTGAAAATCATTTTTAGCGATGAGGTCTATTTTATTCTCGATGGCTTTGTCAATAGACAAAAGTGCTGCGTTTGGGGCACAGGGTATCCAAGAGTCATTAATGAGAAAGCTATGCATCCAAAACGTGTCACTGTTTCGTGTGCACTATGGTTTGAAAGAATCATTGGACCGTTTTTCTTTGAGGACGAGGCGGGTAATCCACTAACAGTGAATGGCGAACGTTATCATGCAATGATTACTCAGTTTTTTGTGCCACAATTAGAAGTCATTGCTCTTAATGACATATAGTTTTAGCAGGATGATGCCGCATGTCATACTGCTTATGAAACATTGGAAGTTTTGCACGAGTTTGCTCCTGGTCGAGCCATCTCCTGGTTTGGTAACCAGAATTGGCCGCCAAGTTCTTGCGATTTAACACCTTTAGACCTTTGGCTTTGGGGTTATCTGACATCACAAGTTTATACCAACAAGCCTGCAACCACTGAAGCATTGAAAGCTGAAATCAGACGCTGTATGAACGAGATACCACGACATGTGTTCAAAAATGTTAACACAAACTTTATCAAAGGAGTGCGCATGTGCCAGCGGAGCTGTGACAGTCGTTTACCTGATGTGTTGTTTCATACTTAATTCCAAAGTGTATACACCATAACCCAACAAATATTTCAGTTGTTTGTTACGAAATACCATGTTTAATAGAACCTTGAAATATTGCGTCCTTATTAATATGCTTCTTTTGAAAGGGTCTATCGGAATATGCAATGAAATATGGGACATTCGGATAGATCCTTCCCAGAGAAGAAGTTTGACTGAACATGCTACAATGTTTTTTGATGATTAGTTGTTGAGTTATAAGATACTTAATGCACAAAAATGCCGAAAATTGATAGCCTATCAGTTCGCCATTGTGAAAGATAGTAACTATTTGCTCTAGTATTATAAGTTACTCACCAGGAGCTTGAAAATAAGTCGCCATCTTGAAACTGTCGAATGCAACTTTCACGATGAAATATAGCATTGATATATCAATTTCATTCCCCCGAATTTGAGGTTGAGAAGTTGTTTTTGAAGAGCAATGATAGTTGATAATATTGTCTCAAATAAGGCTCTGTTTGTAACGCAAACATTGTTTTTTTTGTTGTCTCAAATTTGAATCTTAAAGCGGTGCTTTGAGATATTCAGTTAGAAAATTAAAATTTTGCCTGAGCATTTCTGCATCCACGGTTCACCAGAATACAGGAAAATTGATATTAACAAAAAGTTCTTCGCTCCACCGTGATATGTATGAAAGTTGTGGCTTTATAGAGCTCGCATCACAATATGTCATGTAAAGCACAAACAGTTTTGCCAAATACAGACTCCTCAAAGTTTGTGGAGCTTTGAGTCCGTAAAAGCTTCAAATCTTCAATATTCTAACCAGAAGAGCTGTGAGGGGTTCTTTATCGATATCCACATATACTACGTTTAGTTGTGTTTGTTTTCAGCGGGCAAAGGAAAATTGTATCTATGTCGAGTGCCATACACGTGGTCAGGAGATACTCTACCAAAACCACAAAGGCGCAAGAGCAGGCACGTTGGACCCATGACCTATCACACGGAACAGGTATATGTGTGCATGTGTATTACTCTAACAAAAAAGGGAGGGTCGATGAAGCAATACTGGCGAGCTTTGCTGCCCGAGAGAGGTTATATAAGCTTTCCCTCTCAGTAAATACGTTACTGTGGGTAGCTCTTGGGGCACATGGTAAGGGGTAGGTAGCCACCCTTTACGAACTCTGGAGGGCTGACATGTCGAATATGTCACCACCCGTTGAGGTAACAAGACCTTTCACTTCTCACGACACGAATTTTGGTAATGCAATATTATGTTTTTTGTAGGTTATATGACAGGTACATCACGGAAAACCATGTCACTTATTTTCGTATAGCTCGGATTATGATGAAATTTTCACCCATGATTACGAGTATTCCAAAAACGTAGAAACTGTGTACCTTTTGGAAATCGATCTTGTAAAGCTAGAGGCCTCCTGATCATTTTCAGAAAAGTTTTTGTAGGTTTTGTTAATTGTGTTTTTATTCAGACATGTGTGATTACGAATCCCGGTAGTGTCACAGACCTGTTAGACATAACATCAAACATATTTCATATAAAACTTACGTCTGTGACTATAGAAACACCAGCCACCCAGAAACACGCGATATCCTTTACCTACGGAGGGTCCGATCTGAATTCAGCAACGCTGATGCCGGCCCAGATGCCCTCGACCACGCTCGATACTGTGTTATCATACCAGGACGTAGGAGAGTTGTCTAGATATTATGCACCATTACATATAGTCATGGACCATTACTTATACAAAAAAATTAATTCAGCTATATCGATTCTATGACATCGTAGGTTATAAGGGGCGGCCAATAGAGGATACCACGACGTACGGAAGTTGACTCACATGGTGCATATCCAAAATGATCAACGACACTGTTTTCCACTGATACTCATTCTATACTCAAGGTAGATTGATTTCGAACAATAAACACACGACAGTGTACAAAGGTTGACTTAGGCAACTCTATACACGCTACATATGTAAAGCCCATTTGTCTATAACTGTGCGGAAAGTACAGAGTCAATCTACTCGATGCCATTTTTTATCAAACTAGAAGCGTTTCTATGAGTATTAAGGAAGCACCAGTTAAAGAAGAGGTCATCTGTTATGCCAGCGTGCAAGCTGCAACGATTTTTATCGCAGATCCTGCCGGGCTTTCTGATTGAGCTGGTTGATAGTGGAATAAATCGTCACCAGATGGCGAGGCATGTCCGCCTGAGAATTAATAATTGAAAAGGGAAAAGGATAAAATTCTACAACGGTGAAGTTTTGAAAAAGAAACGGCGGTATGTGAACACACATTCGATTTTATCACATACATAATAGGGATTTTCAATAACTTTGCCCAAGGGAGGTTACAAGGTACAGAAAAAAAACAACTTATTTTTATTTTCAGCCATACACAGGTCCACAAAATGTCCTACTGTACTTTCCTATGTTTCTTTTCCGCTATATATGAGTCTGGAGTTAGAACTGGGACAAATTTTATAGGAACCCATGAAAACTCACAACAATATTAATTTTGGTGGATGTGCAGTCTGGTGCACAATGCACATTCACCTTTTATGTCTTTTACTGAAGCAAGTAAGAAAGAAAAGTTCTAAAATTTGGGTAGTTTGACGAGTTCCTTGATTCACAACTAGATAAATTCCCGGAAAACAGCGGTGATTCCAAAGAACAGTGGAAGTCTTGACTTGAAAGAATTTTAATGACGATTTCAGGGATAATGTGGTCTGAACCTGTTCGCAGGTTACCGCTGGAGGTTAGAGAGACAAACAAAAGACGGAAGGATGACTTGTAGCGACTTTCAACGAGACAGAGCACCTGAAGCTCGTCATTGTCTGAGAACATAGTGCTTTCTTTTACCAACATGCCATCGAACCTTGGTCCTTTCCTCCATAATGCCGCGTTCTTTACCTGCCCGACAAACTACCGGTATAGTCACTTCTTTGTTTCCAGAACATCATTAATGTGAGGAAAGCGTCTCCCCAGTTCTACTAAACATTTGAATCACCAAGATAATTTTAAGCTTTTTATAATAATCGCGCTATTGATTGCTCCTGCTTCAGATTCTTATGAGATTTTACATCGTGAGTGCGTGACCACAAGACTTTGCTATCCCGTGCGTTGAAACAAATAAGAAACTATAGCACCACTAGTGATCACGATACAATGATTGTCATTGGTGTTGCGTCAACGGTTTAGGTTTGCACGCGGCTTAAATGGACTGGTGCTGCGCTACTCCTTAAACCGGTGCCGTGTTAATGCACTGACCCATAATCTAAACATGGTTAATAACTGTTTTATGAAGAAATTTTCCTCCACGTGACCTTAATATTTCCAGAGAGTTTGAATATTATTATTATTACGCATTCCTTAATTATTCGACATTAGAAGCTCTACTACGGTTACTACTATGGCGGAGGCAGCCGTTGGTCAGCAAGTCGGACCCAGCGAAAATTTTGCAATGCTCAAGACACGCCAGGACCAGCTGATTACCAGGTGAGGCCGATCCACTGCTCCAGGAAAAAAAGGGATGAGGAATTCCGGGAGATGGCGCGACTACTGACCTTCATTCCCAGGTATGTGGAGGCACAAGAGATGAAAGCCCAATCAGAGGTGAGTCTTGACTGTACTAAAGCAAATATCATATAGAATGGGCAAAAACTTATGGTACAAAATCACAACGTGGATGTTCGAAATTCTGTTTCAAAAAGTAGATCTCCATAACTTTATACTAATACGAGTATTCGCTAAAAATTTGATCATTGCATCCATGAGATATAATTTCAACTGCACAGTTATGAGGTGATTTGAAAACTCTGAAAAGACGTGTATTCTTCAATATGATCGCCCTTGAGTCCAATATCTTTTTCAGCAATTTTATATTTGATATAATATTCCTTCTCTTGGACTTCTTAATGCATGGAAGCATTTAATGAAAGTGTTAATGTGAATAGTACTAATAGTAGTAAAATCAATTTACTCCATAAATACATAAAATGAATGAATAAACATAATTTATCCATAATCCTGTGCGTAAATCAATTTTATGTTGAATTGCAATATATAAGAGAAGGATGAACAGAAAGAGAATAAAAATACCTAAGTAGGAACATTTTTGTGCGATTCTATTTCAGGGTTTTCCTGGTCCAGGCGATTACAACGTGGGCAAAATCGACATGTGCAAAAGATGCGATAGCATCCATCCTAAACCATTCATTACTGGCAAAAAGAGATTCGCTGAATCAGCAGACATTGGAACACCATCTCCTGGAACTTATGACATCGTGGAAGTCAAATACCCAGTGTCGAAAAAGTTTGTTCCATTCTCTGTGCAAACGGACAGGTTTCCAGACAAACCTCTAGATCAAATGCCAGGTTGGTTGACCTAACTTTATATATATATAACTTGAGACGTGGTCATTGTCGTCTAGACCAGTTAGGTGAAAAATTAAAGCTTCCGCCTTTTGTTGGGTACTTCGACAAAATTTAAGCAAAGAGGACTCTTTATACTTTTTTTAATTCTCTCTAGCTTTCAATGGACTTTGCCATCATCATCAGGAGAGTAGTATGAGAGGATGTTGCTAATTGTTGTTTTTTAAATAATTTTTAATCTGTTTTTAACTTGTCTTGTCATATTTTATATAATCTTGACCATTGTACCATGTATCCAGCTCTCACCATGTTACTGAACGTTTCCCTTATCCTATACGTATACAACAATTAGCAACATCCTCACATACTACTCTCCTGATGATGATGGCAAAGTCCATTGAAAGCTAGAGAGAATTAAAAAAAGTATAAAGAGTCCTCTTTGCTTAAATTTTGTCGAAGTACCCAACAAAAGGCGGAAGCTTTAATTTTTCACCTAACTGGTCTAGACGACCACGTCTTAATATATATATGTATATATATATGTTAGTATATTTCAAAGCTCCAAGCCCCTGAAATTATACGCAACCTACTTGGTATATTTGCGTCTCTTTCTGCTATCTAGACTCAGCAGGCGATATGAAAAGGCACAGCGTTCCCAGATGGACGCTAACTACCGGTAGGGTAGGGAAAGTGTGTGAGTGGACTTATTGTATGGGCTTGTTGGACTAACTAGACCGGTTTATTTTTCTATTGTACATGTTCGTATAGTTGTTCTTGGCGGTTACATCATCGGTGCCATATGAAATAAGTAAACAGATCGAGTCTTCGGAACATGGGCGGATCTTGAGCACAGAGGTTGTGATATGTTAGCCTTTACTTCTCATATTGTAGAAAGTATTCCTAACTTCTGTTTTGACGGCATCACCGGTCTTGCATTTTTTGATTTTGTGAGTTTCCTCAGGTGTTACTACAGGCAAACCTTCCTTATTTTCTGATTTTATTCGCTAAGACTGCGCAGACTAATCTTCAGCACATCTGCTACTCTTTCCAGTACGCATGAAGTGGGTAACAGGAGACCGCTGTTTTCATTCTCTTCCTGGAAATACTGTAATAAATTTAGCACGAGCTGTCGGCTTTTTTATTTGTCGTATTTCTGGGCATTGTACAATTTTATATTGAAGATTGATAACAGGACAACTTAAATTGCACGCCGATGTCAAGAAGTTGTCACTCTGAAAAATATGATTGGAAGGCACTCATACGTAGCGACAACGTTTTCGAGACGGAGATACACAACTAAAAAATGTATGTTTTTTTTATACTCCAACTACCACGAAGGCCTAAGGTCTAAATACCCATTTTGTACCGTGAGGCTATAGGGGGATATAGGAGAAAGGGGAAACGCCACAGGCACACATTCTGGCTCCGCCTACGAGATCCGCCTGGTGGTACTTCCGCGTTCGACAGTTAGAGACCGTCTACCACCTACGGACAATCACAACATCCATAGCCAAGAGAAAAAATTTCTCCTGGGACGGGACTCGAACCCGCACAGCGCACGGCGACTGACAGGAGACCGAAGAGTCTACTACTGCGGCCACCGCTGCTGCCTAAAGGCAACATATGTATGTATGTCTTTGAGCTTACAGAACAAACGTTCACACACATGGTGTTACCTGCCGGAAACATGCCGGTCGTTGATTGCATGTCGAAAATGAATTTGCTATAGACGTGATACCACCTTAAAAGCACGAAACTTTCTATGTTCCTAGGTCCTGGAGAGTACAAGTTGAAAGGCTCAGTTCAAGAGGCGATGGATAGAAAGAAGAACTGGTATATGGACGTGGAGCCTCCATTTTCTACGACAGCTACCAGAAACACGCTCGGTATCAGTAAATACACCTTATCGATACCATCTCCTGCTGAGTATACTATTAACATGGAGAAAAAATGCAAGTTGAAGGTTTCCAGCCCTTTTAAATCAAAGACACAACGGTTTCCTGGATCCAGACTTCTGGTACGTTATTCGAAAGTGTTTAAGCATCGAATCGTTGCCCTTTAATAGAACGGTAAAGGATGACAGATTTAGTCAAATATAATTACCTAACCTTTATACAAGTTACTTAACTATGGAAATTTATTTACGTGAAAAACTAATTTTTAGATACAATGTTCATCAACGACCTATCTGTAACACATCTTTATTACCAATACCCATTCATAGTTCATTTCTTTTTAATCGGTACTTCTCATACAATGCGTGGGTGTTGTGCTATAGTTTTTCTGCTTAACGATTCTTTTTAAAGGTGTTTCTCTGCAACATTATACCTTCTTGCTGAGAAATGTTCAGTTTGGGACCATTTTTTTGCTCATTTTCCTTTCAATTTATGTGTAGTACAGCTGCACTGTTGCAGCTAAACTTTGCCATTAACCTGCTCACTAATGTCATTATAGGTAATATATTTTCTATTTTCCATGTTATTCCATGATTAATATGTCCATTTAAGTACGGAACACACTGTACAGCGGGTTAGAATTCTTAGCACCCAAAATTACCAAGTAAACGGGCTTCTGTAGGGTCGTCTGATACACCACTGTTCATTGTCGAAAATCTAGTTTGCTGTCAACCGCGGTGAAAATGTAAATATGGACGTTGTTGTTTACATAAGCTGTTGGATCTGCGTTAGCGTCGAATTTTCCCTCGCCACGGCTGATGCTGCTGGCTGTGGGAAATATCGCACCCACCAATGCGTTTCCCACACGGTTTTTTCGCAGGCAATAGAAAATCTGGTGTGTTTGAGTTTTAAAATTACAATAAAAAAAAAAAACGGAATCAATATTCTTCAGGCCGTTATATAGGGTGACTTGTAATGTCACATATTCCTGTTAAGGGGTGATAGATTAGGTCAAAAGCAACCGATTTTGTACTATAATGTCCTATCCAGAAGTTAACCATTTTTGAGTTATTTGAATTTTATTTATTTTATTTTTTATTCCGATTTCAGACGGTTAAATTTGAAATACAAAAAAACTACATGTTTGATTTTGAGTTTTTTATCATCGTCGCATAGCGGACATTCCAATAGTTCTCAATAAGTAATAAAACGTTGAAAACTTACAAAAGTTTTAAAACTACGCTTTTGAAATGTATGATTTTCTTATTTGTTTACTAGCTTATTCGATAAAAAATGCAATTTTCTGTAAAAAATCTCCTAGTAATGAAATGTGCAAATTATGTAAATAATATCTCTATCTAACAAGCTTTCATTTGAGGTATAAGAGTTACAACTAACTCAAGTACAAAGACATAAAATTAAAAAAAGATGAGTAAAGTTGTACGAACGATAATTACGTAGGATAAATAAAAGGCTTTTATTTTAATTACAGTTTTATTTAATTACATTTCCTTTAGTATTTTACAGATTCTGCTTTTGTTACAATTTGTTGTAATCCCCTGTTACGAATACACGCCCGCATTCTCTTACGTAATTCACTTTTGGTAACTCTAGTTGTTAAGCGGCTTTTTATTTGGTCAGCTGCACTGATTATCCTTGCAATTAATTCATCGCGCGTTGGTACGGGCGAAACATCGTACACCAGGCTTTTCATATGTCCCCACACATAGTAATCCATCGGTGTGAGATCTGGGCTTCTTGCTGGCCAGGCAATGGGCCCGCCTCTGCCAATCCATTGATTTGGAAATTTAGAGTCTAAATACGCTCGTACTAATCTACTGTAGTGTGCGGGACAGCCGTCGTGCTGGAACCGCATATTTTGTCTGGTCGCCAATGGGACGTCTTCCATTAATGGAAACAAACGATTTTTCAAGAACTCATCATACACTTCTCCATTTAAATTGGCGGGCAGAAAATGAGGTCCAATTAAATATCCATCAATGATGCCCATCCACACATTGACTGAAAACCGGCTCTGAGACCCCGTCGGTCTTATTTTTCGGGGGTATAAAGCTTCTTTATTAGCCCAGCAATGAGCGTTATGGTAGTTAGTGATCCCGTCCTTATCAAACTTCGATTTATCGGTCCACAGAATTTTCTTAAAATAGTCTGGATCTTCTGTATCTGCATGTAACCAGTACCTGCAGAAATCTAATCGTCTTGCAGGATCGCCCTCTTCAATCAGATGCACAGGCGTGTAGTGATAAGGGTATAATCTTGCAGTATGCACAGTAAACCATACTTTGTATTGTAATATACCCAACTGAGCAGCCACAATGCGCGTAGACGTAGTAGGGTCTTCCTGAAACACACGAAGGATTTCCTCTTCATCTTCAGGAGGATAGATTCGGCGTCGACCAGCATCACTATGTTGCCTTTGAACACGTCCGGTTTGGCGGATGCGCCGATACACAGAGTCAAACACAGTAACATGAGGTGTTCGGCGATTCGGGAAACGTTGCCGATATTCACGGCGGGCACCATAACAGAACATTATGTCTGTGTGTTCTTCATTTGTAAAAGTTTGCCCGTGATCGCTATAGCGAGGTCCTGTGCGGATCTTCTGCGTCTGCCATGATGATAAAGAAACCACTCGAAATGAACTGGGAAACTCGAAAATAATAATCGTGAGTAAAACGTGTGCGCGTACGCAGTAGTTGATACCAACTAAACCTAATTCGCACTCGGCGTGCGGCAATGGCGTAACTACAATGATGAATAAGCTCTCTCTCTCTCATTCGTCCACTAAGTCAGCTCTTCTCGCTCGCTTACTCGTCGAGCCAATGCCATAAAACAATCATGGCATGCGAGTCCTTTGAGGACAGTAATAATAATAATAATAATAACCGTCTTTAATATTGACATAAGACATTGACAAAATGGTAAGTGAACATAAGTACATCCAGTGTCAATAAAAGGCGAAGTTCAGTTTGATTAGTACACAGTACCAACAACCTGCTCTTCCACTTAGCCCAGTATCCTCTACGACATATGACATCCGATAAACCGATAAAACATACATGTCACTATAAAAGAGGGACATACCTACACGCTAACAAAAAAAAAAAACAATCAGTCATTCATTCATGCGGTGCTACTGTTTTTTCAGCAGTTCCTTTTTAAACATGGCTTTGAAGTTATCTATTCTAGAAAATTTTAGTTCCTTCCGGACTGAGTTGTAGACTTTATATATTTGGTATGTGAAGCTCCGCTTGAAGATTGACGTTCTAAACTTGGGTGGCGAAATAAGACCCTTACTTCTTACGTTAATGTTATGAACGTCAGTCCGGTAGGTTATTTTTTGATAAAGATATTGTGGTGTTTTGACTAAAATTAATTTATGATAAAAAACAGCAGAGTGGAGGAGCCTACGATTTTCCATATTTAACCAACCTGCATCTTTCAATTTGTGAGATATTCTATGTCTCCTTTTTATACCAAATGCAAGGCGCAAGCATGAGTTTTGAACCAGTTGAACTTTACGTCGATACAGGTTAGTTAAGTGTGGGCCGTAAAGCACATCAGCGTAGTTGAATAAAGATAATACTAAAGTATCACATAGCATGATCTTAAGTTTTAACGAGAGAAATTTCCGGCTACCGTAAATAAATTTCAACGACAAATATGCTCTCTGCATAATTTTGTTGATGTGATACTCAAATCGAAGATTACTATCAATCACAACACCTAAATTTTTTACATTGTCCATTATTTTGAGAGTTACACCATTTATCTCAATTTTAATAAGATTCTCTATAACATTTTTATTTTGTCTAGGTCCAAAAACAATTACGTGAGACTTTGATGGATTTATTAAAAGACAGTGGCGTGTGGCACATTCTACAAAGGAGTTTGGCTCATTATTAATGATCAACGAGAAACGATCCATCAATTGTGGGGGGAAGCTGCAATAGATTTGGGTGTCATCAGCGTAAAAATGCACATTACATAGACTAAGGAAGTGCATGAAGTTAGATGTATAAATTAGAAATAGGAGTGGTCCAAGTATGGACCCTTGGGGTACGCCGGATTTCAAATTTAAAGATAAAGACTGAACTGAATTTAAAACAACTGTAACCGCTTAGTGAAGTAGCACTGAAATAAATCTATAGCGTTTTGAGAAAGACCAATATGATGTAAAATAGCAAGCATTAATTGATGGTTTAAAGTGTCAAACGCTCTGCTGAAATCCAGCAGAACAAGAACAGTACACTCGCCACGATCTGTAGCTCTAATTATGTCGTCTGTTACATGAAGTAAAGACGCCGTACAGCTATGATTTTTCCTAAATCCAGACTGTACAATTGGCAGTAATGAAAATTGTGACAAATGATAAGAAAGTTGCTCCTCCATTGCACGCTCAAGTAATTTAGAGAAAAATGGTAAAACACTAATCCCTCTGAGATCTTTAAGATCTGAAGGATTAGGTTTTTTTGGCAGAACACAGACATTTGCTTGCTTCCACAGATCAGGGAACTGATTATGCGTGAAACAAAAATTAATTATATGAGTTAAATAAGGAATAATATGAGGGCAACATAGTTTAATAAAATTTAAATTAAAACCATCGCAACCACGAGCATTAGTTTTAATACGGCAAATTGCTTCATAAACAAATAAATCATTAACTTCTTTGAATTCAAAATTTGAAGAATTCCTCCTAGTATTTCTGTAGAAATTTATTAAGTTAGGAGAAGGCTGTATATTACGTATACTGTTAACAAAAAAATTATTAAGTTCATTGACATCATTAAAGGAATTTGGAATGGTGTTATCCTTTTGAGAGACTATTCCATTGTTCCTTAACCTTTTCCACATTTCTGTTGAACTGCAACTTTCTAATATGTATGTATGATAAGATTTTTTTTCTCTGATGATAGCAGCATTAACTAAATTACGCAAGTCCTGATAATATCGCAAATGAGCATTCAGTCCTGTTCTTCTAAATCTAAGCAGCGCCCTGTCCCTGAGATTCTGCATTCGCTTCACCACATCTGTAAGCCATGGGGCTCTAGGTTTAGTAACTCTCATTGATACCAAAGGAAAATGCCTATCAAAAAGG